GTCGAAACCTGCCTATGTGCTTTTCTTATGTTCCATTCTCACTTCCACATCGGCCTGTGACAGCAATCAAGCCATAACAACGCATGACGAGCCCATGTTCTCCCATTGCTTTGTACCTCGAAACCAGTGATGAATACTGTCACCTGGTCAAAGCCACCATCGAGCGCATAAGGAAATATCAAGATCAGGAAGAAGCCATGCTTCTACATTTGAATCTAATATAAATTTGACCAGGGGTATATATTCTCGAAATCTTTTTGTTTATCCTCTTTTTTCTTTTCCGTCTCAAAATGTCATACAATTTCCACGCAACACAATGCAACCTGCCTGCCCAAACACCCCTCAAAAAGAAAGAAAGCAACAGCAACAGAACAAAAACGAACTGCCATGGAAATGCAAAAAGAAGGTGACAAATTAACACTCGCACGACCATCATGCATCGAACCCCTTCTCAAAACCCAACCAAGCCACTATCCAGAAAAGGGTCAGTTGAAGAAGAAGAAGAAAAAAAATGATCAGTCTCTTTTGTACAGTGGCGAGAACGAAACAAAAGAGATCAAGCCTTCCAAAGCTGTCGATCATGGAAGAAAACAACTGCCAGTTCGATGCCGGTCAAGTGTGTTGGTGGCTTACAAGGCTGAAACGTGAAAGGATGGACCCAACGTCTGCCCATTGTGTGACTACAGCCTTGTAGAAGGAGCGGGTTTACGCGCTGTATGCGCATTCGCTCAAGCTCTTTTGCGAAGTGTATGTCATACATTCAAGGCCTTGCGCTTGCCGCAAGAACGCCTCCTTAGATGGGCAGACTCTGGATTTGGAATCAAAGCGCAGTCTCAAGAAGAAGCATTGCCACGTCTGCTCTCAATCAAGCGCTCGGCAGCAACATACAGCTCATCCAAATACCTCATGGCGTCCGGATCCTTGAGCATTTTTGAAACCTGCAGCCCTGCGGAAATGAGCTGCAACACATTGCGGTCGTCCTTGAGAGGCCGGCTCTGATGCTTTGCTGCATGTCTCATCTCCAGCGAGTTTTCCAGCACAGTGACCAATTGCTTAATTTGGCCATTGTAGAGCACACGCGCGGGGATGCGGCGTTTGGTCGCCAGGCGCTTGAGCAGATAACACCATTCCGTCCACTCGCGGTCGGCGGGCACGCGCACGGGTCGCTTGTCCGGCTCCAAGGGGATGGGGAATTGGTATTTGGCCACAAAGTCGTAGGCGCATTGCGAGAGGCGGTCGTTGACGCGTGTGAGTATCGAGTCTTGCTCTTCGGCGTACAGGGATACGGGTAGCTGGATCAATTCGGACTCGGCCGTCTCGAGGTGCGAGTTTGTGGGTTTGGCTAGGAGTTGGTGGGGGCCGTCGAACTCGTCGCGGCCGGAGGAACGGCGGTGCGAGCTACCGGGCAGCATTGCACCTCCGTCATTGCCCATGGTGGCCGAGTTGTAGTTGACGTGAAGCATTCCCGACTGCTGCTGCTGCTGCTGCTGCTGCTGTTGTTGTTGTTGCTGCATTTGCTGCTGCTGTTGGATCTGCTGCTGTTGGAGTTGCCGAAGCTGTTGCAGCTGTTGGGCGTTGGTTAAGTCTACTGTATTAAATCCTGGGGGTGGTGCTGTCGTGTAAGGGTTTGATGAGATGGATGAGTTGTAGTAATCCGGCGTTGGAGGGAAAACAGGAAGGTTTGGTGATCTTTGAGAGCCAACTGCCAGTCCTCCGGCCGAAGACATTCTCGAGGAGCCCACCGAAGAACCCGAATCTCTCGGGTTGGTGGCCGGCCATGGTGATGAAGGCCACGAGCGGTCGCTCTGCAGACCAGAAGAAAAGTATGACCTGGTTGCCCTTTGAGCTTCTGGCGAAGCAGGTGTGTACCTGATATGATAAGATTAGCTTTGGGCTTCAGGCGGTGAGAAAAGCAGTGATCGTCATGAACATACAAGNCCAGATTGTTGAAGCAGAGTCGGACGTCTATTCAGACCTGGCCGAGAAGTGGGCTGTGAGTGCTGAATGTTGAAGGAGTCCTCCAGCGGACTACGAGCAGTGTACATGATTGGAGTCGAAGTAGGCGAGTATTTTTTAGTCGGCTTAACCGAAGCACCGGGTTGAGAGGAAGAAGTGTCGGGCAGTCGGAATGCAGGATTGAGAGAGGGTTCTGAACAAAGCCGAGCAATCATAACCGATGACATACCGCCACTATTTGTGTTGCAAAGAGGGGGGGTCGAGGCAGTGGGGAGTCAGATTGTGGATCAATGGCTTGTTGGAAAGAAAAAAAAGTGTTTTTACGGCAGTGGAGGAAAGTGCTTAGCTGATATAAACAGAACAGGAGCCCCTCCCAAGTGTGCCAATCGTTGCAATTGCGGGCACCTTCGTCATCACAACATGTGAAGGAAAGCAGAGGGATCTGTCTTGTTACGGTGCACCACGCACTGAAATGAGCAGGGGACGGGTGTGGTGTGTGCACAACTCCAGGCACGCCTCAGAGATGGGCGTCAGCGTCGCAGTGCACCGGAAGCGCGAGCAAGCACCACACGTCTGCCAGAGAGGGCAAAGCCGAAAAAGCTTCGCCCACGACCGTGTGGGATCAAAAACGCAGGTTCCATGTTTTGGATGCTTGGTGCTGCCCGACGAACAGCTGGGCCACTGTCACGACGGGTCGCCGGACGAGGCCGAGAGATGCCCAGCGAGTTAGCCGTGGGTATTCATGCCCACCGCCAGTCCAAATACGACATATCCGCTGTCGGTCACGGCTAGGCCATTGCTGCTTGCGATTTATGCCAACAACCAGTTCTGCTCCGAGCAAAAGCCAAAATGTGGCAGACAGCAAGGGCCGAGCGTCGATTTTCTTTTCGCAACGTCCAACGTCGATCCCTGGAAACACGCACATCCACGCGATAGCCTCCGGCTTCTGCCTCTCTTCCAATCACCACGCCTTCGGGTCCTTTTGTTCAAGTCGAAACCCGGCAATCTCGGGCACACGAGGCCGCACCGTGGCACTGATACGGCGGCGCCGTGTGGTCAAGGGAAGAAGGAGAAGCCTCGGGGGACAAGGTTGTTTCATCATGACTCGAGGGACACGTTGTGGATGCGTAACGGCTTGTGCGGGCAAGGCTGACGGCGGCACCGGGNAGAGGCTTGACGAGGTAGGAGGGAGGATGGGAACAAGTCAGCAAGACAGTAAACGGCGCCCGGACGATGTTAGAACTCATGTTCACCCTTCCCCGGAGCAGAGCTCTTTCCTACCAAAAAAAAAACACCCCTCGAGTGTGGGAACCAGCAACTGACAAGTCTGGTTTCGAGTTGAACACGTATGATCGGTGATTAAAAACGTCCTCGTGTCCCCCATCGTAATCTATCAAGGTTGTTGGCGCTCCACGATCTCCAAGTCGTCTTCAGAGGAACATCTGTTGCTGGGTATCGATCAAGCGTGATTGGGCAGCAAAGCAAACCAAACTCTGGCAAAAACTGAACCCCTCTTTTTGGTCTCTGCCGAGCAAGCATGAACCACGAGACACTTGAACCTAGTCGCCGATGTTATTGCTGCCACTCTAACTTACCTTTCCTTGCTTCACCGATCAGAGAGACATGGGCCAGCATGAGCACACGGCGCGCCATGGATTGTGCAATGTTGTCGCGATGCCACAGGCACACACAGAATAATAGGGCAAAGTAGCCATGAGGTTGAAGAAGAGGTCCATGCTGTCAAAGCAACAGCCAGCCCTCAGTGCTTTCTTGTTCTGCAGCGGGCGCGTGGGTCTGTTCGCGAAATTGACAAAGGACGGAGAGCATCGACGGCGGTGGAAGTTCCACAGGGCTTCTAGAAGGAAGGGAACCTTTGTTGCCGGCAGAGCCGTCGAACTTGCACACATGACAGGCATGCCCAAACAAAATGTCTTTTACTGCTGCCGCCCCTCGGCAAGAAGCATAGAAGACGAAGCGCGCTAAGCGACCTCTTGCAATCCAAAACACACGTCCCGTCTCAGACGTCTCAATCTCCAAACCCAGAAATTCCCCAGCAATCTGGTCAAGCTTGAATACTCCTCAAAAGGTGCCATGCCATACAAACGTCTGTCCATCACGATTAAACAATATCCGAAATTGATTGAAAAAGTGATCACATCATCCCAGCGATCAGATCAGATCAGATCAGGCACACCACAATATCCGCATTTACATGCCCCTCGGTCCACAACCCTGTTCATGTGGTCAACCTAACCCGCAACATTATTGTGGAGAGAGAAAGCACCGAATGACTCCAGAATGGTAGGCCTGACACCGCACCTTCAGCACCAACTCTTCTAGAAGCAAAAGAAAAAACATGTCGTGGTTTTGGCCGGCTCTGCCAATAACATCATGTGGAAGGCCCTGCAATGTTAAAGCACTTGCCAGTGGGCGTATAGTCGCTCTCGTTTTGGGGCATGTCCACCGAGCCGACGTATGGCATTTTGTGCATCAACGATACTCCCGCTGCAATCTATGAATCGTGGTAATAGCCTTTCTTCTTGTCAGTGTTTGACGACATGTACTCGGAAACAGCTTCTTGTTTTGGAGGAGTCATTGTAGAACGAATGATGGTACATGCCTCTTTTCCCCTTCTGGATTATCTCCGTCTCTATTCTTCTATGGTCATACCAGAATATTGCCTTTGAGATCCCCCACCGAAACAGCTCCTAGGAGATTATCATTGCCCATGCCCAGACACAACAACACCAGCCATGTGCAAGTAAAGAAAAAACGAAAGAAGGCGTTCCACCCCATCTTCCATGCCTTGTAAAAAGGGTATCAAAAGAAGAATAACCTGCAAATGATTCGCTAATCAACATCACAAATCCTCCAGCCCTCCTTTTCGGGTCTTATTATCCTGGATCTAGATATCCTGATGATTTGTTTCTTTCCAATTGATGAACCCTGCCACTCGACGCCTAAACACAAACAAAGTTACTATCTTCCCTCCGCGGACTTGCTTTCGGTCGACGAGAAGGCCGCTATCAGGCAACCAATGCTCATCAGATGAATTGCGATTTTTCGTAGTGATGGGCTGCCGCGCCTGCTTCTGCGTCATGGGGCATGTCCTCATTGCCGGCGCGGCTCATGACAGTGTCACGCTTTACCCGCAAGCTGCCTCTGTCACCGCGGATCACATGGCCAGTGTTGACCTTGTCTTGGATCATCTCATCCAGAAGCTTGGTCATCTCGTCCACGGTTCTCCTAGTGCCGGCCACGTTGCTAGCGCTCGTGACTCTTGCCACGTTGTTGATCGGCTCTTTGGGAGATCCGTTGCTTCCATGTGCATCACCCTCTTCCGTGTCATTCGGGACAACGGATGCCGGGTGCTTTGACAATCGAGAGAAGTTCTGTACCCCAGGAGGCGGCGAACTCGGTGGTGACATTTGGTTGACAGCACTGGCAGGCCCGCTGGCACTTCGGAAGAGCTCTGGGCGACTCATACTGCGGAATGGTGTGCGTGGCTCCCTTTTCTCCGGCGAGGTCGTGGGACTTTGTCTGAAGGCAGGGTGTTGTGACAATGCTCCGGATGTGTCGAGCATGTCACGCTTCCTGGCTGCGTTTCTCAGCGCAGACACCATGCGAGTCTGGTCTTCAAGCTTTTGCCGAAGTCGCTCAATCTCTTGGTCCTTTTCTTTGACAACGGCATCGGTGTTCTGCCCGTCTCGAGAAGGCACACGGCTCTGCAGAGGCGACCTTGCACTGCTCGCTTTGCTGTAAGAGTTGTTACGAGTCTGCAACAGCCGCTTCTCCAGGGTTGCAATGTATCGATCTTTGTCCACGAGATCAGCCTGTAGAGCACTGATTCGACGGGCCGAGGTGGCACTCCCGGGGTCCAAGGCGTCCTCATCAGCTGCCATATCCTCATCATCGTTTTCATCTTCTGATCCAGAGGCCAGTTCGATCTGCGAGGTCCGTGCTATGGGAAGCATGCCCGCTATGGTGGAGCCAGATTGGATACGACTCGAGGTGGCCTGACTCCCACTACTGCCGGGTCTCCGGCTCTTCGGTCGTTCCAGTGTGCTGTGTGTGCTCGTTCGTTGGAGGATCGGCATGCTCGAACTCGCATTCGAGAAGCGTCCCGAATTAACTCCCAGTGACTTGGAACTCAAGATCAGTCTGTTGAGATGGGCGATGCGCTCCTTCAGAGCAGTCCTAGCGAGCTGCATTTCCAGCATTTGCTCCTCGTGGCGTTCGGCACTCTCGCGTTCTCTTTCTCTCCACCGTTCTTCTTCGACCTCCGCTTTTTCGGCCTTCTCGGCCTCATTTTTTATTCTGCTCTGTTCGTCCAGCTGAGCCCTTAGATCAATGATTTCTAGCTTGTACCTATCCAGTAAAGCCCGGCTACGTGGATCAGCGCCATCAGCAGGGTTAGACTCGTTCCGTTTCGCATGGCTGACAAGGTTGTTTTTAGCTCTGCTTGCGAACTTGAGTGTGTTCAACGTCTCGGTTGTGTGTGAGGAAGTCGTAGAAGCACTACTGGATGCTGAGGAGAGCTGTACAGTACAAAGGATAGACACTAGTGAGTTTCCAGAAAGAGCGGGTTGTAGAAGACGGGTGAGCTTGCTGTCTCTGTAGGGGAGATGTTTCTGATCTTTTTCGGCGAGCTCTTTATCTCCAGACAGACGAGCGATGACCGTGCCTAGTGTAAGCAGGGACTTGTTGATATGACCTCCCTCGGTACGTCGCTCCTTGCTCTCGGCTGCCTTTTCGGAACCCGCAAGATCGATAAGGGACAGAGTCGATACCAGAACACTGCCAGGGAGCAGCTTGTCGCGCCTCGGGTCGCCAACGGGAGCAGCGGTGCGTTCACGCGACTCGACGACAATCTGGACTACAGCATGCGAGCGTGAAGAGCGGGCATTGAATTGCGTGCCTGCAACACGTCTCTGCTGGTCACCACGAGCGATGACTCTGAGCAGCTGGTTAGGGCTTTGTACGATTTCTTCCCGCAGCGGTGTGGCATAAACACCACGGCGGGGGTCTTCTCGCAGCTTTATCTCCTCGTTCGAGTCTGGGTTGAGCAGATCGTAGATCTTCTCGTTGTAGATTTCGAGGTAACTGACACGCAGCAGGAACTCGCGGGCAGGGTTCTGGCGGATGTACGAGAAGATATCGGTAATGGCCAGAGGAATGACACCAGGAGACATGGCGGTACCTTGCATCGAGAATGTCTTTCCAGTGCCCGTCATACCGTAGGCGAAAACAGTCCCATGATAGCCTTCCATGACACGCCGCACCAGGCGTTTGGCAGCGGATTCGTAGACGCGGGCATTCTGGTCGTGTGGTGAGAATACATTGTCTNNGCGAAGGACAGGGTCAGCACATGGAAGCTGGTGTCAATTGAGTATGCATGACGCACCATAGCGATATTCTCCGCTTTCGTAGCTTATGAGGGAGCGTCGACCGTCGACCAACCACTCTCCGTCCGGCTGTGTGTCTGCGGCTGCGTCGGGCCGCACGCGAACACTGACTGTGATGTTTCCCTTTGCTTCTTTGTCCTTGTCGCCGTTCGTTGCTTCGAGCATGGTCGTGTCGGCCACAGGGGTGTTGGGCGTCAGGGGTGTGGCCGGGGACACGGGTGCCGAGGACGAGCGGCTCCCAGGGGGGAGATGGTATGCTCAGCAGGCTGTCACTCTTGGAATTGCGGACGGCGCTGACGGCGGTGGTGCTGAGCGAGGCAACGGATGTTTTTGAGCGCAGGTTACGCAGAGACGGCTTGGACTGTGGCTTGCGCAGTCCGCTCGGCGGTTGTAAGGGCGCNNTAGGGGTAGGCGCGGTGTCGAGGAAGAATAGGAAGTGGGCGCAAGAGAAAGAGAGGATTGCGACGAGGTTCGAGGGCTCGACGAGGCCAGATGCGCAAGGGGGCTGGCAATGCCGCTGCCAGGGGGCCGTGGGAAGGCTTCGATGCTGACGGCCTTGCGCAAGTTGGGGGTCGGCACTCGCGACGGCGACGGAGACGGCGAGGATGCTTGGGTGCGTAGGGTAGGAATTGATGGCGACGACGTGATGGATCGAGGGATTCCCGTGGCTGCGCGCGGCCGTAGGTCTGCTGAAACACCATCTGCACCCTCCCGCTCCTTGTCCGACGGCGCGTCCTCAGTCGGGTCGGCCCCTCGTGTCCTCGTCATAGCGGGCAACGGCGGCAGCGGAATCGATGGCGGCGGATGCGCCTGCGGGCTGAGGAACTGCTGGCCTTGGTAATGATGCTGCTGCTGTTGTTGTTGTTGGGATGGTTCAGGCCGGGGGTACAGATAGTGCTGCTGCGAGAGTCGTTGTGCCTTTTGCTCCTGCTCGAGCTGCAGCACCAGTTGTACTCCTCCTCCAGGCATGCTGGCCAGATGCCCCTGCTCCTATCTCTATCTTCTGCACGCCGTTGGTTAATCACACTCGCGAGCAACGACAACGCTCTCAGCACATGGCACGCATACGACGTTTCTGCGGCGTGGGTTTGGATCGTAGAAGAGGAACACCAGATTTCTATCCATCTACTTTGCTTCTCCCTTGGGTCATCAAACAATAGCTCGTCACCCTCGTTCCTTCCCGTCGCCAACTCTGTCAATCAACCCAACTAAACACCCTGACTTTGCCATGGTCGAGCCTTATGTGCAATTTGAGCAACCCGCGACCCATGCGCCGCCCACAAGCAGCCACGCTCCACAGGAACAGGCAATGATCTCCAATCCCTCCGAGGATTTTCTGTCTGTATATGAATTTAATGAATCTCTGTCCGATGAACCTGGCATCCAGTCCTCCACACCCTGCACCTCCGCTCCGCCGACCGCACATGCCGCTGTTGCCATTGGTCTCCTCGTCACGTCTCGTGCCTCCTGTGACTTTGATCGTGCTTGCTCGAGTCATCTCATCCCACAAAGGTATTTAACTCATAGAGGTACTCGCAACGGGTAGTCCGCACTCACCCGATGCCGAACAAAAAGCCAAGTTGTCTGAGTGCCGTGGGCGGGCGTTCATCGAGCGTTCATCGGTCTGTAGCCGTACCGCTCGAACTGCTTTGCGACAACCATCTTTAGGACGTCTGGCCACCTGTAAGGCAACAATCGTCATGTCCCCCGTACGAGCTCGTGGTAGCTTTCAACTCAGCTCCCCAGTGTGCTCAAGGTATCTGTCATGAACCCACCCCAGCAGCCTTTTGTTGAGCACGAGAGCCAAGCATTGTTTGCTCCGTCCTGTCCTTGCTTGCAATACAGTCTGAACGATCGGAACTCTGGGAACGCTGCTACGAACAGCGCCGCGATGCGACACGCGGCTAGCAACAAGATTGGTTCGTCACTCCATATTGGCCCGGCAATAGATGCTGCCTTCCGTGGTCCGTGAGCTGGAGCAGAGACACAAGAAGCGCAGCCAGAAAGGACATGAGGAGTCTGTATTGCTGATTCTAGAAGAAAGATCGAACGATCCTTCGCTCGAGAACTCTACTAATCAATCATCCAGCTACAATCAACTATAGAGATAACGTCGCCAGCAAGACTACCTTTTCTCATGTGCCAAATCCCAAAGCCTCAAAAGTAGGTGCACGTCGATCTTTCAATCAACAGGCGGCTTCGTCACATCACATTAATCACCCTTTGCTATCAAGATCACAAGCGATACATTGCTTGTACAGTGCAATCACATAGAGTTCATCTCGAAGGATAGTACTTTCTTGGCTTGGAGCTCGATGCAATGATCAGCTTTGAATATTTAGGTGACAGTACTTTGTGCGTGTGATTTACAGTCTGGACAGTTGAAACTCAAGAGAGTGCTGAAGACGGCAATGAAGACAGCTCAGATGCTCACTGTTATACCAGATGCTACTTGACTTCACCAGGTAATTCCTATGGGTAACTACCAGGATAGAACAACCAATACATGTACGAAGATGATAGAGTCACATAGGCTTGAGTCACTGCGCCACATCGAAAGGCACGTGCAATGACTTCCCAAACATGGGAACACCTCATGAGATAGGAGGAAAGCAATATTTATCAGATAAATCGTCAATAATTGGATATTCGTAGCTATATCTAGCTTTGCCAACCCTTGTGCAGGGTGGTTCATCTATGCAAGTATAATTACATGAGCGCCTTCATTTGCGCCAAAAGATAATGTCTTTTTTGGTTTCGACACGTTCAAGTGTCGTGGTATCAAAAGCTTTTTCTGCATCGAAAGGAAACATTCCAAGTCAAGGAAAGATGATGCATCTAGCAGCACTCGCCGCCCTGTGCAAGGCTGTTGTTGCCGTTGGTGGTGGGGTTTGAGACACCGTTGACGCCCTCGGGGCCGGAGGCCATCTTCTCGGCGGTCTTCTTGCTGGCGGGCTGGACGCCATCCTTAACATCGTCGTTGATGACGGACTTGCTGGCAGAGTTGGAAGCGGTGTTGGTCTCGGCAGTGCCATTGCGGGTGTAACCAGTATCACTGGAATCGACGTGGGCCTCGAGTCCCTTGCCCTCGCGGGGGTAAGACTTCATGATCTCCTTGTGCTTCTTCAAAGCGGCGTTCATCTCGCTTGCTTCAACATCGTTGAGGAAGACACATGAGCCGAGGGGNCTGGGAACAGCAGCACGGAGCTTGCCATCACGGGTNCTGTAAAAGGGTTGTTAGTTGGGTTGGTCTTTCAACGAATGCGAAAGACATCAACTTACCTTAAGAATAGCCTTGGTGGCCTGGTCGAGGACGTCCTCAGTGAAGTGGTCATCATCCATGGAGAGACCGACACGAGAGAACAGGTTGAGGAGTCTCTTGTGCTCCTCGTCGCTGAGGATACCTCTCATGTTGGCAAGAGTAGCAGAGTAGGCCATGTCGATAGAGATGGCATGACCGTGACGGAGAGGCGGGTCGGGGATCAGCTCGTGAAGAGGAGACCANGCTTTGGTATTGTCAGTCAAAGTATGATGCATGAGGTACGGATCGACTTACGTGTGACCGTAGGCAATAACTCTGTCAAGACCAATCTCGTGGAGGTTGGGGGTCTCAAGCTTCAACATCTCGTGGATACCGTTACGGTTGATTCTGTCGGCAGCATCGCGAACCTCCTGGGGAGCACCCTCACGGCGACCGAAGCCGGTAGAGATGAGCTGCTCGCCGTACTTGTCAAGCAAGTTGAAGGTGTCGAGATGAGCACAGGTGGAGATCTTGATCAACTCTGCGAAGCCGTTGCGGATCTGAGCATCGGGGAGAGTGCGGAGGAAGCTGAAGTCAAGGAATGTGTTCATGGGAGCGTGGTAGGCACCCAGACGGTTCTTGTAGTTGCCGTAGTTGACGGCGACCTTGATCGAGACGGAAGCATCAATGAGACCAATGACAGTGGTGGGAACACGGATGTAGTTGGTGTTTCTGCGGTACGAAGCGCAAGCGAAACTGTAAACGGTTAGTAAGTGGTTCAGAGGTAGGAATTGACCGCTTAGGAGATATTGGCCAGAGTGCCTTATAGATCTATGGCGGTGGATCATTGTGTGTGTATTACCCNNGGCAACGTCGGTGACCAATCCACCACCAACGACCAGGACGGGCTCCTTGCGGTAGACACCGAACTTGTTCATCGAGTCAACGATGCTCAAGAGAGTGTCCATGGACTTGGCCTTCTCGCCAATCATGGTCTTGTGGATGGAAAGCTCGAGCTTGTAGTGGTCGAAGTACTTCTGGATCTGGTCTCCGTAGACATCGAAGATGTTGGCGTCCATGACGGCCAGAGCTCTGCCCCAACGCTGGTAGCAGTCGGCGAGCTGGCTGTTCTTGGGGTCAAAGACACCGTCCATGAACTCGAAGTCGTACTCGATCTTCTCATAGCCAGAGACGTGGAAACCAGCCTTGGTCTCCTGGACGGTAGCGTTCAAGTCAGACATGATGGAGGTAGTGTGTGCGTGTTGAACAAACGCAGAGGGGGTAGTTGAAAAGAGGATGAGGATTGATGAGAGTGGGAGAAGAAATGTGAGTGGGAAGAGCAGATGGTCGAGGAAGAGGGGTTTTCATATATCCTCGCCAACCACGAGATCGGCGGACAACTTGGAGCACGGCACTCGACACTCGAGTACATCACGTCAACGAACCTCTGAGCAGACCGACGCTAGATCAGATCCAGGTACGAAGTATCCAGGCGAATCGCTCCGATGCACCTCTGCCACGACGGGCGTGCGTCAAAGGCCAGCCCCGTTTGGCCGGCACAGAGACTAGCATCATGGAGCTGCACCGCCGCTTGCACCGGCCAGGTTCGTAAAACCTGTCAGTTTCTGCAACATGCAAGCCCATGAGGCTTCTGCTGCCATGGATTTGGATCACAGCGGCCATGGCAAACGTCCAATGAGCATCGTAGACTAGCAGCTCAGCTTCCGCCTTGGGCTTGGACCGTGGGGTTCATGTCGTGGGCATGAGATCCGTCTAAACCATGTTTAGTTTAGTGACCCACAACAGATCTGATGAGCTCCTGATATCAGGCTTTTAGGCTCGGAGCTTTTCTTGAGACATTTTCTGGGGTTTCCCGTCTTGCGGCTCAAAAATGTCGCCAGGATCCAGGCAGCATTGATGGTGAAGAGACATGTGGTGCTCATCTTTGAGTTGCGATCGTCTGGTTGTATCGCCTTCGAGTTCGCGAGGCTGCATAGCTAGAGTGGACCCGAAACCAAATCTATGCTGCCAGCGAGGGCGAGCTGTTTGAAATTAAAACGATGATGCTTCCTGAATGTGTTGATGCGGGGCTCAGGTGAGGGGCAGATCTGACTTTTGCGTCAGTGCTTCCTCTTTTGGTGACGCTTGCATGATGATTGGACTCTCCCGTTTGAGAGTCTAGCAGCTACCTGCAGCATTACCCCTCCTCTTAGCTCATTAGATCGCGTTGTCGCGAGAGATCTCCTCTGGTTCAGTGGGGCACGTCGCGTCACCCCAACAGCTCAGCTTTAGGAGCTTCTGCCACGTAGTGCTTCGCTTGGAACCCGAGTCAATTGGAATCGTTTAGTTTGTGCAATTGCTCTCGAAAGTCGTCGACTCGATACTGGAAACTCGTGAACCTCGAAAACACCACAGGAAACACTACAATGGCAGAATTTGATCAGACCAAGGCCTACGCCGAGCAGGAGGAAGTCTTCTTTGACGATGGCCGTGAACTCGAGCTCTTGCACTTTGTCTACGGCAAGCCAGAGATCGAGGAGATCCGTGGCAATCCTCAGAAGGTCCTGGCTGCCATTGATGAGTTTGCAAGGACGAAGAAGTACCTCATGAACGTGGGAGAGGACAAGGGCAAGATTGTTACCGACTTGATCTCAGAGGTCAAACCAGAGACTATGGTACTGCTGTCCAGCAAGAATCGAACATGGAAACATTGAAAAACTTACGATATACACAGGTTGAGTTGGGAGGCTACATTGGTTACTCCTGCATTCTCTACGCCGATGCCGTTCGCAAGGCTGGTGGTAAGCGTTACTTCAGTCTTGAAAGAGACCCCGTCTTTGGTGCTGTCATCTCCTCGCTGGTTGACTTGGCTGGTCTGGGTGATCTGGTAAAGGTCATCATCGGTTCCAGCGCTGTCTCAATCAAGAGACTGCATACTGAGGGCACCCTCAAGCACATCGACATGATGTTCCTCGACCATTACAAGCCCGCCTACAAGACCGACCTGAAGCTCTGCGAAGAACTCAAGCTTGTAACTCCTGGAACCGTGCTGGCAGCCGATAACGTCATCAAGCCCGGCAACCCCCATACCTCGAGTACGTTCGCAGCAGTGTTGCAGAAAAGCGCAAGGCCGCGGAAGCTTCTTCGGACGAGAGCAACCCCGATGCTAGATTCGCCGACAGAACAGCCAAACAGTACGCCAACAGGCAGACAGAGGAAAAGCTGCAACAGTCCAGAGGCAACCCCAATCTGGTTTACGACAGCAAGCTCATCAACAGCTACGAGCCTTCAGGTGTACCGGTAAGTCGACCATTGTTTCGCAGTACCCAAAGAAATGGCATTGACAGATTTGCAGGACGGCGTCGAGATCTCTCGTTGCACTGGCGAAGAGTCCTCCTAGAAAAGCCCGTGCTTCATAGCAACCGATCCTGCGGGAGCAGAGCCTCCGGGTCAACCACGACGATTTAATGTATATACGCGCCATACGTCCCATTATACGAGTCTGGTAGAGAGCATGAATGTGAATGGAATGGATTATATAGAGTTGGCTCAGCGGACTACAAGAGATACCCAAATGTATCATGAGTAAAAAGTTGGCTGCGCTCCAATCTTCATATGCATACTTGCACAAAACAAATATTTGTGAAACTGTGCAAGCCACTGAAGCTGGAGCTCTTTGCCCCTCCATCCCTCCGGAGCTGTTTCCCCCTGGGCTTTGTTGAACTGCCGTTTCTCTTGCCTTCCATCCCATCTCAACGATCGGAAGTTTTGACTGTCAATTGTCTTCTTGAAGGAAGCACTGACGCGATCGAACTCAACTATTTCCAATCAAGATCTGATATATCTCGTCTAGGGCTCAGCCGCAACTCAAGACGCTCCCGAGGTGTTCAGATCAATGACGTTTATCTACAAGTAGCTAGTGGAAAGCATGTGAAAACGGGAGAGTTATCCACCGAGCTATCACGAAGCTATCGTGATCAACAAACATGGCTTGCATGGGTCGTGAAATGCCATGATCTAGTCGTGACAACGACACTCAGGCTCAATCCTTTCGCTAACCTCCTGCGAGTGCTGTGCTGCTTGGAGCTCCTTCCTCGAGGCGTGTCTCGCTCCTTCCCTTTCGCAGCCACCATGCTCACTGCTGAGTCGTCGCGCTTTGCGCATGCACTGCAGAATGTCAAGCTGATTGCTTTGAGCTTCTTTTTCCTGCCACTCGATACCTTCATCCTCTTTTTCAGCTATGCGATTCGCATTCTCGTCGCCTTTCCAGCGACTTCGCACCGCGCCCGTGTGCGGTCTACATATACACGCTACTTCGAGCCCCGCACAGTGTTGGTGACTGGCGTAGGCATGACCAAGGGCCTTGTCCTCGCTCGCCTATTCTTTATCGCCGGTCACAACGTTATCGGTGCTGATTTCGAGCCGCCATTCTTGCCAATCACTTGCGGGCACGTGTCACGCTCAATCAAGGCTTTCCACCGCCTCGCGAAGCCTGATGGCACCAGAGCAGGCTCCTCCAGATATTGCCAAAGTATTCTGGATATTGTCCGAAAGGAAAAGGTTGACCTGTGGGTCAGCTGTTCCGGTGTAGCGAGCGCTGTTGAGGATGGCCAAGCCAAGGAGATGATCGAGCTGCTCACAAAGTGCAAAGCCGTCCAGTACAATGTGGCCACAACACAGAAGCTGCACGAGAAGCACTCGTTTACCGAGTACACCAAGTCTCTTGGACTCACAGTCCCCGAGACCCATACCATCACATCAAAAACCGCTGCATTAAGGGTGCTCGAAGATGTGCGACCTTCGGGCAAAAAGTTCATCATGAAGTTCATCGGAACGGATGATTCTGTTCGAGGTGACATGACTCTGTTGCCATTTGACTCGGTATCCGCAACAAAGGCGCACATCTCTCGCCTCCAGATCTCTGAAGCACGTCCTTGGATCCTACAACAGTTCATCGATGGTCCCGAGTATTGCACTCATGCTTTGGTCGTCCGTGGTGAAGTCAAGGCCTTCACTGCTTGTCCTTCTGCCGAATTGTTGATGCACTACGAAGCACTCTCTCCAGATTCTTCCCTCAGCCGCAGTATGCTGCGCTTCACGCAAGAGTATGCGGCAAGCGACCCCGAGAATTTCACAGGCCATCTCTCTTTTGACTTCCTGGTGGACCGAAAAGATGCTGAGCGTGCACGGAGAGATCCCAACATGGTTGTCACGCTTTATCCTATCGAGTGCAACCCTCGCGCACATACCGCCGTTGCTCTGTTCAACAGTACACCAGAGATGATCGAGAAAGGATACATGTCTGTCCTCGAAGAGCCCACTACATTTCATAAAGAAGGAGCCAACGGGGCCTCGTACACACCTCCAGTGTACCCCCACAAGCCCGGACAATACTACTGGATCGGTCATGACCTGGTAACATGTGTCATACTGCCCGCTCTCTCACTCTTCAAGATCCACGGCAACAGCTTTGTCGAGGCTTTTGAGCACTTTAGCACCTTCCTTGAGCATCTCTTCTTCTGGAGAGACGGCACTTACGAAATTTGGGACCCGCTTCCAGCTTGGTGGCTGTATCACATTTACTGGCCCTTCCAATATGCTAAGAGCTTGGTCACAGGCTTCAAGTGGAGCCGGATCAATGTCAGTACCACGAAAATGTTCGGCTGTTGATGAAGCACGAGGAGGAATGAAGAAGTTGATGACATACACGAAACATGGTGAGCACCCGCTCATGCTACTGTGAAGGGCTGGCTCGTGACCGGTCAGCTGTAGCGGACATAGTCAAGTCCGATGATATGTAGTTCTAGAGGTAGGTTGAGATACACCAAAATCTGGCAATCCCAGGCCAATCGTCAGGAAACTTGTGTACAACTACCATCTCGTTCGGATGATACTCGAACAGAAGCTCTTTCTATACTGATTAATATAACCATTCACAAAGGCTTCCGATTCTTGCAGCGAACTTGCGAAACCATGGTGTCAGACGGAGTTACGGAATTGAAACCACATAAGGCCGAGTGCTTATTCAAGCATGCATATTCAGGTCCAATAAATACACATTAACCTGAGTGACTCCTCTTCCTCGACTCAACTTATCTTTCAATACACTAACCGAATCTTGTTTTGAGACGCTGCTTTTCGACACAATCGCCACAATGTCAGACTCCATGCTTTACCATGCCGGTACGGACCACTCAAATTGCGAATGATATTAAGGTGAATCTAACTAGGTTATGTGATAGGCTTCAAGTTTACTCCTACGACTCACAATGATACTTACGACTTCATCTCGACAAAATCTCAAAACCTAAAAGGCAAGCGTGTCTTTCTGACTGGTGCTTCCAAGGGCATCGGCAGGGAGACAGCTCTCTCCATGGCTCGTGCCGGCGCTTCCAGTATCGCTCTTGGTGCTCGCAGCTCGTTGTCAGAGCTTGCAACTGAGGTTGAGAAAGCGGCCAAGGAAGCTGGTCATCCTTCTCCCCAGGTTATCAGCATCAAACTAGACGTAACAGACGTATCGAGCACCGAGCAAGCAGCCAAGACCGTCAAGGACGAATTCGGAGGACTGGACTTTCTATTCAACAACGCCGGATACCTCGAAGACTTCAAGAAAATAGGAGAAAGCGATCCTGATGAGTGGTGGAAAACACAAGAAGTCAACATCAAGGGTCCTTACCTGGTTGCTCGCGCTTTTATCCCTCTTCTCCTCGACACCAAGGATGGCGACAAGACTATCATCAACACCAGTTCTATTGGTGCACACGTCATCATGCCTGGAGCAAGCTCATACCAATCTTCCAAACTCGCGCTCCTCAGACTCGGCGAGTTCATACAGTCTGAGTATTCTGATAAAGGCATACTTTGTTTTGGCATCCATCCGGGCGGTGTCATGACCGAGCTTGCGTCAAAAATGCCCCAAACTTCGCACCATCTCCTTCAGGACACACCTGCGCTGGCTGGCGACACTGTTGCTTGGCTTATCAACGAGAAGAGGGAGTGGTTGGCTGGCAGATATGTGAGCGTCACTTGGGATATGAAGGAGTTCTTGGACAAGAAGGATGAAATCGTCAAGAAGGACTTGCTGAAGGTCCGCATGGTTGTCGACTAAGTACACTTCCTGGATTGACCATGAGCTTTGGTTTACGATTCCACGTATATTAGCAAAGAATAGCCTCCGGTATAGCAGCAATTTTCCCACATCCTGAAGGTCACCCTGCTCGACTTGGAGAAGTTCATCGAGTTCCTCTCTCCCTCAGTTTTTCAATCGTTTGGTAACAGCATAACCGTTCAGCATATGACGACCGTGCAACTCGAGGACTGTTCTGTAAGCTCTTTGACTTTAGAATGGAAATTACATGTTGAGAAAGCCTGGTTAGTGATATGTTCTGCTAGTGGTGTAACAAGAAGCTGCAAATTATTTGTCATGTCAACGATAAGATGCAACGATGCTTTCACCATGTTGCAGCATATTAGTGCATTATCCGTTAGCAAACAAACAGAAGATGACCAGGAATACCATAGCTACAGAGCAGATATTGCGCCATTACTATGAAAGAGTGTGTCAAGGGTATGACCCTGACATCCAAACGTGCCTGATCAAGATTGTCAAATGCCCGAACACATCACAACGAGACTCCTCCCGCATCACTATCTGTACTGGGAGAAGGAGGAACAGGAGCCGGTCCATCGTTCCACCTATCACGTCCTGTACCCCAAAAGCCCTTCTCCTTTCCCACAGGCGTCCATTCCACCATCCAATTATCCAACCGAGGCATTCGAAGAGCATCAAGACCAAAACGATTGATCTCGTCCTGCCATAATTGCGTAGACAACATCTTGTTGATGTGTGCTTGAGGCACAGGAGTATAACGTTGCCGAACGTTCAAGTCCACATTATTCACAGCTCTTGTTTTGCCAGTGGGGACAGCACCTGGGTCGATTTTCCATGTGTCCCACTTGTCGGCCCAGTGGAGTCCTAGCGGGCCAACGTGGTCTTGTAGCCAGAGAGACGAGTGGTTCTGGGGNTGTATGTTCCAGTGGCATGTGCCTATGGGATTACCGCGGAAGATGTAGGACGAGATGGCGTGCCCAGTCTCATTGCAGCGGTCACCGGCGAAGAAGGGCTCGTAAACGTGGCTGTGTGGTGGCATTCCTGGTATTGCCATTAAGGTCACGTCGAAATAGGCACCGCAGATTGCATGCGTGAGTTCATGAATCAGAGTGTCTACGAACAGAATTGTACTGCGCGCGATTGCCGGTTCTTCACTAATACAAATGTTGTCTTCTATAGGTATCGAAGCAAGCCACTGTGTGTCATTGATGAACCTTCCGAGTTCAGTAAGTGTCGGGTCGCTGTTGGCGTACATTCGCATGATGTCAGTGTATCCTCGGCTCATGTAAATGACACTGGATCGAGTNTCTACAAAACATCGTCAGTCACATTCGATAACAGCAAGAACCATTACATACCCGACTCCTCTCGCACCGTGAGCAACTTTGCCATTGCTCACCCAGGGCTTGGTGAGGCCAAAAGCACGGTGTTTATATATCATAATATTCATATCCTTCATTTCCCAAGCCATGTATGCACGCATATCCATGACTTTTTTGTATATGTCTGTCAGTGCAGCTGCGTCGAGTGGTTGGTTAGGCCCGTATATGGGACATTTCCCGATGTGTGGAACGTGCACATAGGGCATCTGGTCGCTAGGAACCGTGATTCCGGCAAAGAAGCGCAGAGTCTCTGGATCATCCAAGATAGCGGAGGCCAGACGTATCGCAGGTTCCATGAGGGCGTATTCGCCAGCTCGAAGTCCATGCCACATGTCTTCTCTCAGCAGAGGGTGTATTGGACCATGACCCAGGGCAGAAGTAAGGCGGCCTTCAGGCGTCTGCCTAGTCTGTCCCTGTCCCGGTGTACGGTAAGCAGTGCTGTTGATGAAACCAGCCTTTCCCAATACTTGAAGTCCCCATTGCTCTACGATGGGATGCCAATCTGGAGCTCGACTAGGTGGGCCGACTTTGAGATCCCTATTCCCAGCGATGGGGTCTACTGCCCTCAGTTCCTGCTGCGAGTATTTGCCGTGTACGTGAGGGTATATGTCGAATCGATTCGTGACAGGATTCAGTTTTGTAACGTAATTGTCTGGGTTGAAGCCCGGAGGCACTGCTGGTGGCGGATCCGGGATATGGTAAGACGACATGATCGATGCTGAGTAGATGCCAATTATCAACACAGACAGAGCTGGAGAGGCATATGTTGTTGTCTGGGTTTCTCATAGCTATGGGCCAATTCGAACATCCCTCCTACTTTATGGTTTCTTTTTTGTCTCGGCCGAATGCGGAACCGAATGTTACAAAGAAAATCACCAGCGATACCACAAAACTATGGCCCAATCTCTTTGTTTTGGTTTATCCTATCAAGAACTCGATTAGGAGGTAGGAAGCCACATTGTTGATTGTACGCATATAGTTGCCTCTCCACAGTAATATTGTATGGTCATAGTGGCAAGGCACATTCTTGAGCGTAGATCTGATGTGAAGCAGCAGACACCTCGTATGGCCGCTGTATGAGTAAGTCGCGACAAAGATTAATTGCGTTGCAATACATCCCTTTGTCGCGGAGCGTCGGCCAGTCTGTTTTGCCGGGACAGTCCTTTTATTGTCAATCGTTGACACACTGCTCCGGTATGGCCAGTCATCAAGACTTGGAAGTCAAAAAGGCTCGCATTTAGTCGCTAGTTGACTGTTTCCAAGGTGATCGAAAGTCGGGTCATTCGCCTTCCCGGTTATTCGCAAGGCCAGGTGCAGGTGTGTTCGCGAAACTAAATCGAGCGGTGACCCAGATGCGACTTCCGACTTTCGACTTAATGCAAGGCACGACAAGTCTGTGTAACGAAGACAAGCTTTAGAGAGACGGAAGCTCATTTGTGCAAGGAAAATCATCCAGCAGTGTTGAAATTCTGCTCTTCATCTTCTTCGATTCCGAACAAAACTTTGAGCCAGAGACTGCAACCTTTGCAGCCAGTAATGAGTTCTCCGTAGCGCGACTCGTTCTCCAACTCATCCTCCGTGATGACAAAACCACGCTCCTGGCCACACCTGCAGCTTCTCCACCATACACCAGTCTGTTCATCGTGGTCCAAGTCATCCAGATCTACGATATCAAGTCCGGTATGGAAGATTTTGTCGTCGCCTTTGTTGCGCGCATGCTGCAAACGTAGGTCACGATCGTATTCTACTTTGGCCTCAGGCTCGGACAAAGTTTTGTAGGCGACTGTGATGGAATCCACGGTTCGAGATGTGTCTCCGGTCTGCGCCTTGTCCGGATGATGTTCGAGCAGAGCTTTCCGATATGCTTGCTTGATGTCCTGACCACTCAAACTTCCATCGAACTGGCGATGACCTAGGCCTAACGCCTCGTAGTGGTTCTCCATGAGGAGGAACAAACCAACTTCTTCTTTCTCTTTGTCACTGTCGCTCAGTGATGGACAGGATTTCAGAGGACAAGACTTTTTCCGGCGCCAAGCAAAACTGTTGCTCCGCCTTTGGCTCAACAGGGCAAAGGCGTTCCTGATCAGCAAACGCGGACGGATCGATGTCCAACGCTCCTTGGCTTCTGCGACATCAACCGGCAGACCATGCCGCCGCCACACAGCGGCTGAGCTGCAGCGCCATCGAAGACTACGAGAACGTGGATGAACCTTGCCTTCGCACAGCAGAGCGTGCGCGCAGCCTGCTCTGCAGATTCTGCCACCACATGGCGGTGGTGTATGGCATGCAAAAAAGTATTCGTTAATCATGTCAGGAGGACACTGTCCATATATAGCTCCACAAGACTATCAGAGACACCATTGACGCGAATACGATCCTTACCGTCACGCTATCACATAGGATCGACCTTCTTGACATCCTGCTCTTGGGCACATCGTATTCCGCTTTGCCCGACTGGGGTTGAGACATGACAACCTTTGGCGGGCAGCGGCGGCCCAACAAAGGCAGTTCTGTCCTTCGTTTGCTTCTTGGCCGCGCGGATCTGAGTTTTTCTCTTGTGCCCTCCATGCGATGATGGCGTACCTTGCAGAGCTGGGCGTCATGGTACTATTTTCGGCGTCCATCCACTACCCACGACCACCTAGGTTTGCACCATCATGCGACTAACCCATTGTTTCCCCACAACAGACTTCACGCTCTTTGGCGGAAGCACGGCAGGATCGATGTACATCGTACACTTTCCTATGTCGTCGTCACAGAGGCCCACAGGGTACAAAACAGCTCGCTTCCGTCGTCAATTCGACTTGCCTTTCCTTCCATCAGCAATTCCATCTCCATCAGGATATTCATCATCAATATGAGATCCGCTATCCTTTCTCTCGTCGGCGGTGCCTCGACCGTCCTCGCTGCTGCTCGTGGTTTCAACTATGGCTCTCAAGGCAACACCCTAGAGACTTACGAGGCTCAGTTCCGCACCGCACAAGGTCTTGACACCACCAGCGGTTGGGGATCTGCCCGCCTCTACACCATGATTCAGGAAGGCACAGCCAACACTGTCATCAGTGCCATTCCTGCTGCCATTGCCACCAACACCACCCTTCTCCTTGGTCTCTGGGCGTCCTCGCCTCAGGATGTTTTCAACAACGAGATCACTGCTCTTAAGAACGCCATCAACCAGTATGGCTCTGCTTTCTCTGATCTCGTTGTCGGTATCTCGGTCGGTAGCGAAGACCTTTACCGCACCTCGCCTACTGGCATTCTCTCCAACGCTGGTACCGGCCAGTCTCCTGACGTTCTTGTCAACTACATCGGTCAAGTCAAGTCTGCCATCTCTGGTACTGTTCTTGGTTCAAAGCCCGTAGGACACGTCGATACTTGGGAGACTTACACCAATGGATCGAACTCTGCTGTTGTTGCTGCTGCCGACTTCATCGGACTCGATGAGTACCCTTACTACGAAAACACCGAGCAGAACTCTGTCTCCAACGCCAAGAACTTGTTCTTCTCCAAGTACGACGCCGTCGCTGGTGTCGCCAACGGCAAGCCCATCTGGATCACCGAGACCGGTTGGCCTACCTCCGGTCCTACCGAGAACCTGGCTGTCCCTAGCGTTGACAACGCCGAGACCTACTGGAAGGCTGTTGCTTGCGAGTTGATCAGCCGCAACATCCCTACTTGGTGGTACATTCTCCAGGACTCTGCCTCTCCCAGCTTTGGTATCGTCCAGTCTGGTGAACAGCCCAAGTACGATCTCTCTTGCCCCAGCGTCGCCACTAGCAGCTCGGCCGCTCCTACCAGCTCGGTCGCTAGCGCCACCATGCCTACCTCCGCCGCCGTCAGCACCACTCTCGATATCAGCAACGCTGTTCCCTCTGCCAGCTACGCTGCATCTGGTGTCACTAGCAAGGCTGCCGTCTCTTCGGCTGCTTCGTCGGTTGCCTCGGTCGCTCCCTCGGTCTCCTCTGCCGTCTCTGCTGCCTCATCTGCTGCTGGCTCTGTCATCGCATCTGTTGCCCCCTCATCTGCCGCAGGCACTACCGTCATGCCTGTCACCACCAAGGCAGCCACCTCCGTTGCCGATGATGGCGAGACCGTCACCATTTACTCCACCACTTTGATCACCGTCACCAACTGCGGTTCTACCGTCTCGGACTGCACCAGTACTGGCATGTCTACTGCTGTTTCTGCCAAGCCTAGTGTTACCTCTGCCGCCGCCTCATCCGTTGTCCCCAGCGGTGGTGCTGTTGCCTCTGGATGTCCTGCCGACATCAACGGTGCTTACCAGTACCCTCACCTGATCATCCCTGTCGACTCCGCCAACCCCAACAAGGCCTACGGTACCCAGTACAACGGCACTGTCAACTCCAAGGTTTCTACCATCTTCAACTTTGACATCCCCGCCTCCTACGCTGGCAAGACTTGCTCGACTGTCTTCCTCTTCCCTCAGCTTGACCAGCTCGAGACCTCCAGCTACTCTTTCAACGACAAGGGTGGCTTCACCATCGCTGTCCTGAACGGTGTTGCTGACCAGTCTACCACTTATGCCAACGCTCCCGCTGTCGCCAAGCAGATCGGCTCGGTCGACTCCCTCCAGCGTGGTTCTTCCCACACTCTTAGCCAGGATGCCTGCCCTGCCGGCGCCAGAGTCTCGTTCGAGGTCACCTCCACTAACGGCCTTGACCTCGAGTGGTTCAACGACTACAACCCCTCGCCTCTGGGTCTTTACGTCCGTGCCTGCTAAATGTATCGTCTTTGACACACATTGATTGGTTATTATTGTTGTTGGACACTTTTTATTTTCAAGTCCAGCATAACGAAAGACAAAAAGCACGCACACTTATAATGTAATAACTTCATTACCTAGCATGTTTTTATGACACATTACCTTAGATGGTTCAAACTGTACAAATACAATACCTCGAGAGGAGGCTTCACTTCAGACACATGACTTTCGCACCTTACTTATTTTCATACCTCTCGTGAGCTAAAGTATGACCCTCAGCCCCTCCCACAATGGCAGAAAGCGATGTGTACACGGTAGGAAGACACAATTATCTTTGTAAGCAGAGGAATAGCCAGAGAGAGCAGTTGCAACTACAACTCTCAGTGGACGCTGCTTTGTTCACTGACAACATTGTGAGTTTCTATAGCTATACGCATTGCATTCTTGGTTCAGTGGGACTTGGGTCAGAAGGCATTGGCCATTTCCGAGGGCTTTGGTACAGAGGCAGTCTCCGACATCGACGACCAAACTGACGAAAAGTCGCACACTGGTGACGCTGAGGATGAAAGGGAGGAGCCGGACGAGCCGTGCGAGCCGCACGGAGATGAAGACCGCTACCAGCAGAGGACCTCGGTTCCGGTGGCCAATGGTGGTCCCTGCCCGGTCCAAGGGTGTGGTCGACCACTCATGCCCGGACAGCAATGGTTGCAGGTTGTACAATTTGGCCGACATCACCAATATCCGGCGACTTTGTAGAGTTGTGACTGTCTGTGGCACACGACAAGAGAGAGAGGAGAGAAAAATATAATACCTTAGTAGATGTATGTATGTTCAGAACCTGGAAATGTCTCTGCCAAACAGCCAATTGACAAACCAGTACGTAGGGATCAAAATCCTGTTTCTCCAGCTCACACTCTTTGCCAAATATGCACCACGCCAAATCAACCAAGCAGCCCTTCCAGAGACATTTCCGCCCGAGGAAGCTATGATTGCGTTCCAATTGCCCACGTATGCCATGATACCGAGGTCCTTGTAGGTGAAGGCATTGTTGTCAATGGTGTTGCGGTTGAGTTGTTTGGCCAGCCAGCGGGCTTTTTGGTTGGCGACTTGGGCGGTAGCTGGGTAAGCCGAGTTTTCCATGATTGCGCAGTCGCCGAGGGCATAGACGTCGTCGATTATTGCTCTGCCATTGGGTNNTTATTGTTGTCGTTTTCTTTTTGCTGTTGAGGTGGAGGGTTGCATGATTACGCGGAGGCGGTCGTTGGTCATGATACCACCACTACGAGGATGAGTCGCAATCGCCCAGCTCTTTGCGTCTGAAGATGTCTCGACAGCAGCGCTGGAGATGGGTATGGTGTAAGGTCTCGCGAGTGACTTTGAGATGAAGGGATTCATCATTAGTCCTGTGCTCCAGACCACCATACCCACGCCTACTTCGCCTTCTTCCTTGAGGTCGAGCGTGTAACAACTCGAGTCATCTTTGACGACTTGCTCACCACCCTCTTCCTTGAGTTTCTTCGGCGCACCTCTACGCAGCGACTTAACATGATGCGAAGTCTTGACATCAATGCCCTCTCTGGCAAACCTATCAATGGCGTATTTGGCAAGCTTGTCGTCAAACATGCTCAACACCTTTTCCGCAACATCGTAAACCGTGATTTTGTAGTATTGCATGAGTTCCGGGTAGATTTTTGCCATGTCTTCGCTGATGAGATCGTGGAGTTCGGCGGAGAATTCGATGCCGGTGGGACCTCCTCCCACGACGGCAAAGTTGAGGAGTTGCTTTTTCATTTGTTCGCTGGTGGTGGGGAGGGAAGCTGTTTCGAAGCCTGCAGTTTTTTTTTGTCAGTGAATGCAGAGCACAATTTGGCGATAACATGCAATCTTACACGAAAGCATTCTGTTGCGGATCTTTCTGGCATCGCCAACGTCCTTCAGGAAATATGCGTTTTCCTTGACACCAGGGGTTCCAAATGTTTGACTGTAGCAGCCGACTGATACAACCAACTTGTCATAGTTCATCTCGAACATCTTGCCCTTTTTGGCTTTTGCACCCTTCTCTTGCTCCACTTGATTGGCATTCTGATCTTCGCGGCCATCGGCCGTCAAAGCCATAGCCTGCCATGGATTCTCGACAGCTTCCTCTACTTTCAGTGTCTTGGTTGCGAAATCCACCGAATCAGCCCAGCCTTGGAAGAACTCTACTTTGGTGCGACGGGAGCGGACGGGTTCGAGAGCTGTGCGAAACTCGAGGGTTCCGGTAGAGGTTGAGGCGAGGAGAGGAGTGAAGACGAAGTAGGAGCGAGGTGATACGACGACAACTTGATATTTCTTGGGGTCGAGGTCGCGGGCAAGTGTGTAGCCAGCCCAGCCNTGCGGTAGAGGTGAGATACAGTACCAGCAATCAGACAGCAGAAAAAGACACTTACCAGAACCTAGTACAACGACACGTTCGCGATCTNNAGACTGACGAATTAGGAGGCTTCAAAGTGCCGATTGTAGTAACAATCACATACCTCCCTTGCTGCTTTCAATGCTTTTCGTGAGGAATCGCGTTTGTGTTCTTGGGGTCAACCGACCAGCATTGGTCCTCCTCGAGACGTTTTCTTGGCCATAGCCTCTCAAAACAGCAGCAGCAGCAGTCGACTCATACTGGCGCGTCACACCCAGCGTCCGCGGAAGAGTCGAGTACCTCAATGCCAACATTACACAGTAGAATCCTAGGTGTAGAAAATGAACAAGAATGAAGCAGAACGACAGGAATTACCATCTGGAGACCCGGAACGATCCTAGACTTTTGGCCGAGTATGCTGCTCCATCATCGTTTATTGTTTTTGGCCGACTCGAGATGATGTAACTGATACCAAGATGGTTCGGGAGTCGCGGTTCCGGTCGCCGAGGGCCGTTTCAATTCTCGCATTCAGGACTTTAGGGAATTCGGAACCAGGTCAGTTATTGGAATATCCGGCTGCACTATCATAGCTGTATCATGAGAACCGAGACCTCGAGACGTATGCACTGTGTTCGTACACCATGACTGCTAATAATACACGAACGCTTTCTATTACACAACAAGAACGTTACCTAAGACAATTTATAGCTTTGGTCTGATTCGCCCCGAATAACTCCTAATAGCCAGTCAACCTTGGTCGTGAGATAACGTGAAAGAGTCGTTGCTTCATGGGTACTTTTTCGATTCAATGCGCTCGGGGATGTTTTCGGCCTTGTCCTTGCCTTCGAGGATATCNTGCATCATGTTAGCATTGGCCGAGCAACCGTATAGCTTGTTGATATTGAACCCACTGTAGATGGCAGTGAATAGAGGGAACTCGTCTTCAAGACCCTGCTTCTTCAAGAAGTTGTTGACATCAGCAGCAGTGCTAGTTCCCTGCAGCTTTTGGCCGTTGAGTTCTTGCTCCTCGACTTCATTAATGGTCATGCCGCGCTCGACACTCATTTTCGCACAACGGAAGTTGCGACCACCACTGCAGCTAGTGATCAAATCTGCCACACCGCAGCTCTCCTCGGTGAACGTCTCTGTACGGACAGAATCGGCAAAGAACATCTTGCCAAACTTGACCTGCTCCAAGATACCGACACGCATGACGGCAGCCTTAGCATTGTCTCCCCAGCCCAAGCCATCGACGAAACCAGCGCCCAGAGCGACAATGTTCTTGAGCGCACCACCGAGTGACACACCAGCAACATCCGAGACCATGCGGACGTGGAAGTAGGGGCGATGGAAAATTTTCTTGACATTGTCGTGGCTGAGAGGAGGGTACTCGGTAGGCAGGGGGTAAAGCTTGATCTTCTGATGTTGGTCTTGCTTGCCGCTCAGCTGAGAGAGGTCGATCTCGGAAGAACGAGGAGAACCCTTGGGGGTGGGCTGCTGGCTGTCCATAGTAGGAGGGTCGTATGCGACGGTCGTTTCGGAAAACTTCTCGAGAGCAACCTCGGTAGCAATGTTGGCTCCTGATAGGGCACCGCAGTAGATGTTCAGCTTGCGGCCGATCCATTCAGAGAACAGTTCAATGCCTTTATCCGACACTTCAACACCCTTGATGCAAGAGATACCACGAGCATAAGGCAGAATCTTTCCCTGCAGCGTGTTGCATGTCTTTTCGATGAACTGGTGGGGCAGGTTGAAGATGAGGATGCTGGCGTCCTTGACTGTGTCTTCGAGCGAGGCGTTGGCGATGATGTTCTTCGGGAGGGCGACCTTCGGCAGGTACTTGACGTTCTCGTGGACGTTGTTGATGATGTGGGTCAACTTCTGCGGCTTATCGTCGCCCTTGTAGTGTTTCGACTCTTTCGGAATGGGCACCTCCTCTTCGTAGACCCACATCTGGACATCCTGCTCGAACAGATCGCTGTTGGCTTGGGTGTTCTCTGCGACAACTTTGGCGATGGTAGTGCCCCTGGTAAGCGTTAGTCTCGAGGCGTCTTGGTCAAGGAGGGTACTGTCTGCATACCAGTTGCCAGAGCCGACAATGGCGACCTTGTGCTTCTTCTGGTATGCGCCGAGAGTTGCCATGGTTCGCGGTCGTAGGAATGTGTTTCTAGGAAATCGAGCTGCAAAGTTGGGGGCGAGAGGGACGGGGAGATTGCTGGGCAAGCGGTGACTACAGCTGAGGAAGGAGCGACGCAAACAGGACAGTCGGGCTCTTGCAATAAATATCTCTGGCATTCCCACTCGGGTGGACCTCCCAGCTGTTCGTTGGGACTAGCTGACACGTAGTAGCACAAGACCTCACTCCTTTTGCCGTGGACTAGGAACCTTTTCCACATCAGACACCCATCTCCACAAGACGTCACACTCGAGTTGATCGAGCGTGCCGACCTGCTGGTCAGGATCGCCGTCGCAGGGAACAGATCTAGATGCCTTTATTCTGACTTCATTGCTCGAATCTGCTCCACCACTATATACTCTTACCAAGCTTGCCCATCAACTATCTGCGTCTCTGATTACATTTCCAAGTCCATTCATACAATCTCACAAGACACCGTTGTCTCGTGCTCCGACTTCCATAGGTTGTGCGACATTGCCCAGATATTTCCCCGGCTTCCCGCTGCCCTGTGCTCCTGAGATTTGATTGGCTCGGTCATGTGTATTGCCACGAGAATTAATCACAACAATCGCTTATCATGAAGGTCGGATCAATGGTGTTCATTGGATCATTAACTACTGAGAAACAAGAGGCATCGCTATAGATGCATAGAATATAAAAGCCCTGTGTCCCAAAAGAACAACTCCGTCGCTGGTAATGGTGATTAAAACGCCTTCTCGTATGCCCGGTGTCATTCGTATAATGTGCCGTGATTACTTCTCCTTTGGGTGTCCATCGCTGTCACACTGCTCGTACCAAGGTCGTCTGATGACCCCGTTTACAGAGCGTAGGCGAAGAGACCGAACAGAGAGGCGGCGAGAGCACCGTGGCCGACGGTGATAGCGTTGGCAGCACCAGTAGAGGAAGCGGTGGCGGCGCTGGAGGCTGCGGACTGAGAGCCACTAGCCATAGCGGAAGTAGCGCTAGCAGCGGCGCTGGAACCGCTGGATGCAGCCGAGCTGGAAGAGGAGGCGGCAGACGAGGTGACGAGGTTGACAGCAGTCTTGTTACCGCAGCTGATCTTCTGGCATTGATCCTGAGCGGTGGCGTTGCCAGCGTTGGTGGCGAGACATTGGCCCTTGTACTCCTGGCAGACGAACGAAGGGATGGTGTTCTGGTACTGCGACAAGTCGGGCGAGAGGCCGTTGTTGCAGACGCAGGTGTAGGTCAGAGAAGCCTGTGGATAAAGTCAGCAAGATGCTCGGGATTGCATGCAAGATGGTGGTACTCGCCTGGTCGCAAGTGTTGGACTTGTAGAGGTTGCCACCGCACAGAACGGGGCAGGTGTTGGTCTCGGCACGGCACCAGTTGGCTCTGGTGGTGGAATCGACCGAGTTGGGGTCAATGGTGTAGTTGCCAGTCTGGACCTGGGCAGCGGCGAGGCCAGTGACGGCGGCGAAGAGGATGGTGGAGTAGAGCATGTTTGCAACGAAGATCTACGCAGGCTCAAGCGTTAGATGCGACAGCTCTGGGGGAAGAACATGGAGGATTGCGCGTCCATGCGAGTCATATAGCCAGCATGGATGATGTGCAAGCGCTCGGATCAGTGAAACACTTACTGGATGATTAAGAGTCAATGATCTGCTGTCGTCTTTTGAAAGAGGCAGGAATTTAATGGAGAGTAAATTGGGACGAGAGGGAAGAAGAGAATGGTTGACGGGGCCACCACGCATAAATACATGGCAGGAACTATCGTGGAGGCCGCGGCGCCAGACCGTGGCAACGACGCTAACGATCCAAGATTCATCTATTCTCATCTCCGCCCTCACCTATCTACCTGTATTTCAACACTTGAGCCCTCTAGTCTTTGCATTGAAATTGTTTGCTGTCACCGGCCTCCCCCTTTCGTCAAGCTCGCAATAACACAAGCAAAACGATTGATCTATCCAGGACATCTGCATCTCAAAGCTCGCCGACGCGACACCCCCGGCCATCTTTCCATCTTTCCCGCTCGCCTTGCATGCACTTTGAACTTTATCCTGTTTTCCTGCCAATGGATCTGCACCTCGGTCTTGGGCTTGGCGGCCTTTATCGCGCAAAGTTACGAGTAGCTAGACGTCCAACATGCAAACGCGTGGCAGTTGCTGGTATCTGCGGCTCTGAGCTTAAGAGCTCTCCTACTTTTTGATCGATCCTGTCGATACGATTTTCTCCTTGCGTGACCATCAATCGATGAGTGACCGAAGTCAAGCCTTTTGTCGTGCACCATGTCGCACAGCTGTCACTTTTATGCAAGCGCTGCAAGCCAACTTCCACTACTTTTGAAAAGTCCGTGGGTTGAAACGGCCCTGTCAACTTGATGCATCGGTAAGGTTTGAAGCGTGCAAGAAACACATGCATCCAGCCACTCTAGCCGCATCAGCCTCCCAGCCCTCGTCGTGTCGTCTGAAAATGCGACGACAGCATTCGCCTCCCTCACCGCGACGCCTAGCACATTGCTATCGTTATTGTCATGAAATTCTCGGCTCCTCAAGAGGATCTTGCTCCGAGCAACATGCCCTATTCGGTATCGCGATCTGCAAGTCATCTGTCGGGTGTTCTGGGGGCCAAGCCGGAGGTGCTGATGATATATCCGGCCAATGCCTCTTGTGAAGAGGTACAAGCTCGTGAATTGTTTGGATCGATAGTTGTCACAAGCGACTGTTAGCTGTAGAGAGCCTTGTCCTAGATAGTGATGTGAAGGGGTTCACTCACATGCGCAATTTCCAAGACAAACGTAGAAGAATAGATTGTGTGTGGTCATTTGAGTGAGTTTTGCGGCTTCAAATCAGTCACAACGTCAAGACTCAAAACCCCCGTCTAGAAAAGCTACAAGCTGTTTCCTGGCGAGCAACCCTCATCGTCCTACACAACACAGCGCATCACTCCATCATGGGTCGCTTAGCCACTATATCGACCTGTCAACTCAATCAATGGGCGCTTGATTTTGATGGCAATCGTGACCGCATCGTAGAGGCCATCCGTCAAGCCAAGGCAGCTGGATCTAAACTGATACTCACGCCGGAGCTCTGCATCCCGGGATACGGACTGCTTGACCACTTTCAAGAGCTTGATACATTCTCTCATTCCTGGGAAATTCTGGCTGAGATCATCAAACACCCCGAGACTCAGGACATCATCGTTGATCTTGGCCTACCTGTCCGTCACAACGATGTTCCTTACAATGCTAGAGTGCTTGCTCTGAACGGCGAGATCCTAGCCATCAGACCCAAAATCGACCTCTGCAATGACGGCAACTACCGAGAGATGCGTTACTTCACTCCTTGGACCAGATACCGCGTCGATACGTATACATTGCCCTCAGAAATCCAAGAACTCACCGGCCAGACCGAAGTGCCCATTGGAGACATCATCTTCCAGACCCTAGATGCTACCTTTGCGTCCGAACTTTGCGAGGAACTATGGACACCCGACTCGCCGCACATACAGTATTGTCTTGCTGGCGCGGAGATCATTCTTAACTCTAGTGGTTCTCACCATGAGCTGCGTAAGCTCGACACGCGCATCAATCTGATCACAAATGCCTCCAAGTCAGGTGGAGTATACATGTACTCGAATCAGAGAGGCTGCGACGGAGATCGCTTGTACTACGATGGTTGCTCCCTTATCGCAATCAATGGCCAGACAGTCGCCCAGGGCAGCCAATTCTCCCTTCGCAATGTCGAAGTCATCACATCTACTGTCGACCTAGATGATATCTGGTCCGCACGTCAATCTCGTAGCAGAGGCATGCAAGCAATAAAAGCCCACGAATTCAAGCGGGTCAAGGTCGACTTTGCCATGACCCAAAAGAGCCAGTCCAACCGCAATCTTCGGATCGCAGAGGCGATCGAGCCACGTTACCACAAGCCCGAAGAGGAGATTGCTCTTGGCCCTGCGTGTTGGCTCTGGGACTATCTGCGAAGATCCGGAGCTGGGGGCTACTTCGTACCTCTCAGTGGTGGCATTGACTCTTGCGCAACTGCGACCATCGTGTTTTCTATGTGTCGGCTGGTCGTCGCAGCCATCAAGGAAGGCGATGAAGAGGTCATCAAAGACGCATCTCGCTTATGTGCCAACGATGATGTGACCAAGATGTCCGCCCAGCAATTCTGTGGTAGAGTGTTCTCTTCCGCCTTCATGGGTATGAAGGAGCAGTCCAGCAAAGAGACCCGTAGTCGTGCTGAAGAACTCGCCAATGCGATCGGTGCCCATCACATTGATTGTAATATCGACGAAGTGTTCAACGCTGTCAAACACCTTGTGTCTACCACCCTTAACTTCGAACCCAAGTTCAAGGTCCACGGTGGAAGCAAAACGGAGAATCTCGCACTACAGAACTTCCAGAGCCGTACGAGAATGATTCTGTCATACGCTTTTGGTCAACTCCTTCCTATCTCCCAGGGACGTACAGGACCTGGCTTATTGGTGCTCGGATCGGCCAATGTCGATGAAGCCCTTCGTGGCTATCTTACCAAGTACGACTGCAGCAGCGCAGACATCAATCCCATCGGTGGCATCAGTAAGACAGACTTGATTCGCTTCATAGCATGGGCGGAACATGCATTCGAGCTACCAATCCTGCAAGAGTTCATCGATGCAACTCCCACTGCTGAATTAGAGCCTATCACAAGCGACTATGTCCAATCAGATGAAGTCGACATGGGCATGACATACAAGGAACTATCGGTCTACGGTTATCTCAGAAAGGTTCGCAAGTTTGGTCTCTATTCGATGTGGGAAAAACTCTGCGTCGACTGGCAAGATCAACACACTCCCCAAGAGGTGTACAAGAAGGTCCGCGACTTCATGTTTTACTATCGCGTGAACAGACACAAGATGACGACCATCACACCAGCGTACTATGCCGAGCAATATGCGCCCGACGACAACCGCTTCGATCTTCGTCCATTCCTGTACCCGTCCTTCGATTTTGCGCACAGAAAGATCGAGAACGAATTGAGGTTGATGGAGGCCGGAGAAGCTGGCGGCGCAGAAAAGAAATGATGTATGCAGGGGCCTCGAAGCAAGGAAGATGGCGTCTCTTGACTTGACTGCTTATAATAGAATCATTCCAACAGCTTGCAATCAGATACTAGACTCCATACACCACCTATCGTTCTCCTACTGTAGAAACTGAATTAGTTGTCGAAACGTGAAGTGTTGCATGAAAGACTGGGGGACATAATCCCCGACAGCGGACCGAGGCGAGTGATCCCTTCAAGCAACAGGCTGGAGCACCGAACTAGTGGCTGGCTTGCCGCAGGGACTATAGAAACGTTAAACATTTAAACTTCGAGTCATGGAAGTCGACATGCAAGTGTTCAGCTTTGAGCAAACGTAATTTGGTCAAAGCCATTAGAGCACAAAAGAAACAACCTGGCCACAGGAGATATGTCAGGAAGTAGAAAGAAGGTCAGGAAGCAAGCAGAGCACAGTTGAATGGTCGTTTGAGTCGCACAAGCCCTAGGTGTTCAGGGTTACTCGAGACGGGGAAAGAGCAAACAGGTCAGAGTTGAGTGAGGGAAGTGAAACGCGAACGTTGTAACAGATGGGGTGAATGCCGAATGCTTGAGATAGAGCAAGACTGCTTGGTACAAGTCGAAGACAGAAANNTGCCCAATCGATCAAGATGCATATGGAATCGAATGCAGGGGCAGTAGTCCGAGACGTCTTGGGCACATCCATGGAGGGTGGAAGGAAATGAAAACTGATTGTCTTNTGATAGATGACAGCACTGGGGGCACGGGTGGACGGCGTATGGCCCATGGGCGGCAGTTTCNNCTTGTTCGGGGCGGCCAAGCAGCCGTTTGTAGTGATAGAGTCGAGNGCAAGTGCGCTGGCACCACAGGCAAGAGCAGCCGTTNNCTTTCTTTCTGTAATTCGTCCGGAGGTCGACAAGTGACCATCCCCATCGTGCGACCACCGACAATTTGTACTCTTCGCCGACGACGACCGACAAAGACAAGGGACCATAAACACCACAGACTCCGCATAGCCCTCCGTCTACCCAAAGCAATCGCGAGCGACCCGGCCCGCGCGGTAGACTACATCATCGTCCAGCAGCTGTAAAGGCTTTACAAACGCAACGCCAGAGCAAACAAGCCTCTTGTTATCCACCGCCCACGACCACGCACACGTCTGCACACGCTTCTTGTGCTGCCATCCTGCCATGAGCATCCGCTGAGCAGAGAGCAATGCACCTGGCGCCGCTGTAGCAACTGCCCCCGTTCCCACCCCGGCCAACTACTCCGAACCACGACACGATGGATCCGCTGTCGTCCGAGTCTACACGTGCAGCGTCCAACCCCGTCGCAGCTGCCACGACCTCACCTCGTCTTGATGCGCCCCGCTCGCTCTCTACTGCCACGTCCACACGATCTATCAAAGACCTAGTCAATCGCTTCAACCAGCAATCCACCAAAGACCAAGTACCCGTGCAACCTCCACGAGTCGCTCCACGCTCCCGTCTCCAGCGCCCGCTGCGCTCGCCCACTAGAAACCGCACCGCTTCCTCTCCCGTGGCCCGCTCGTCCACTCCCCAAGACACCATCTCGCCGCTGAAGAGCCCCACTCGGCGTAGCAAGATCCGTGGGCCTGCCTCGCTTGCTCCTGATCAATCCCGTGCCCGCAGCCATGCTCCCCATGACCCGGCTCACGACAGCTTCTTCTCTCTAGCGCCTCGTCGAGGTTCTGATGGTAGCCTGAGCTCCTCCTCGGCACACTCTTCGAGCCTCCACAAGCGATCGCATTCCAACGTCGAGTACCATCTACCCGCTCCTCTACATTCAAGTCGCTCGCGTCCTAGCACTGCCCACAGGCGTGTGCGCAGCGACTATGTTGGACCTGAAGCCGACTCTGGTCTCTCGATCCACCCCATTTCTTACAACTCATTGCCTCGCAATGCCTCGACTTCGTTGATCAGCCCCTCACGTATCCCAGTCAGCAGTTCCAGACGTGCCGCCAGCATGGAACCTCTTTCGCCTACCACCTCGCGCCACATCTCGCAGATGGGTCAGTCGGTCAATCATTTCCCCGCGCCCTCGTCGCCTCGTTCCCGCCACACATCGTCCCAACGTGCTTCTTCTTCCGGCTCGAGTCTGTTAGGCCTGCCCACTCTCGGCAACACACGGTACGATTCTTCTTTGCATCAGCGACACGATCTTGTGGGCAACAGCCTCAAAGCCTTTATAAACGCACCCCCTCCATTAAAGTCCCCTCCGCTAAGAAGTTCACGCCCTAGGCCTCCTGTTTCTTCCGCCTCGACCGCCGCTTCACGTGCTCGATCTGGTCATCTTTTTGAATCCTCGCTTGCCTCGCAGAGCAACGACACTGCTAGGTCCCGAAAGAAGAAGATTCCAGAACTGGACAACATCAATCTCGCAGCGCGAAAGGAGAAGATTCAACGTGCCTTCAGCGTCAACTCGGCTGATGCACCTGGAAGGGACAGTCTGAGTGGTAGTGACTCGAGACGTGGAAGCAACATCAACGACACTGCTAGTGACGACCGGGAAGATCAGAGCGGCAATGGCCAGGACATGGACTCTTCTTTCGAGCACACAGACGCCGAATACACTGACACCGAACAAACCGAGGTCGACTACACCGATCCAGAATTGTCCGAGGCCTCTGGTCTATTGTCTCCAACCACCCCACGCAATATCCCTGGCGCTTTCATCGACGACGAAGAGCCACTACCTTCGACTAATCATGTCAGCATTCCAGAGGCTCCTGTCTACTCAGCTTCAAATTCTAGTCCGCCAAACCATTTCGCCAGCGATGCTATCTACGAAGNNGGGGAGGAGGCTGTGGCGGATAGCTGCGATGAGTCTTTGGCCGGAGAGCACACGACTGAGGCAATGGCGCCAGAAACACTTCTCAGTCAGGTCATGAAGATGCGGGAGAGAAGCGTATCGAGTGCTTCGCATACAGATTTTGAAGAGGGCTCATCATTCACCCCCTCGGAAAACGGAGATCGTGCTTCACTCCACATCGTGCTTCAAGAGGATGTCGCACCGGTACCGAAGGCTGAGGACTGGTCTTCCGATCTGCCTTCTTCTCCAGCACCCTACCAAGCTTCTGGGCAGCCTGACTCTCCCCCATCACCGCTCAGTCAGCGCGTCTCTGTGCCTTACCGCATCCCTGACTCGGATGAAGACAGCTTTGCCAGCGACGTCGCTCAGGTCGGGCTCTCTTCGCCATGGATCGGTCAAATGCCGCATGTTGCACATCTGGAAGAAGCGGAGCCCGAGACACCCAAAAAGTCCGATTTTGTTAAAGCCACAACGTCTGCGAATCTCATTCCGGACGAAGACAAGACTCCACGTCAGTCGAAGCGTGCAGGCCGAGCTTCAGCATTGGCTATCATACCTGACTGGAACGAGCATGGTCAAGCTCGCGAGGCTGTGGACCGCATCACCAGTCAGTACCAGGAGGTCGGCTCCGTATCGCCTCAAATGCTCCACGACTTCCAGCAGCACGTCGTCCCACTTTCTCCCAGCCTTTCCAAAGCTGAAGCCAACGATGCGGACTCTGTAGGCTTCCTTCTGGACAGCATACTGCGAGAACAGGCAGGTTCTCCTCAGCCGAGGAAATCGGTAACTGATTATCTGTCCCCTACTTCATATAATCCATCCGATCGCACAAACATGGAAACACCAGAAGAAGAGATCCGTGGCACCGCAATCGTTTATAGCACTACATACAGACGATCTGCTGCGAGTCTGCCCAGAGCTTCTCAGGATGCTCTCAACGACACTTCTTACTTGCAGGCTTTCTCTCCTTCTAGCATCATGGTCAACACTCCTGCGTCTCAATACGACCTTGGCACTCCTGCTTCCGAGTATTCAGGCACGACGACTCCAGCTCTGCCGGACGCTACATCTGGTGCAGCTAATGACGACGACGACTATCGACCTCCACCTCCCCCCAAGGACTATGGCTACTCACCTCGATCAAGTATCGGCCAGCTGTCGATGAGATCACTGAGCCAAGCATTGCCTTCGTCTCGTAGCAGCAGATCCTCAGATAGACTTCGACTGCCAGAAATCTCTATGGGTACTGGGCTTGGACTCACCATGTCCAACTCTTCTGCGGACACCGCAAGGCCCCAACCACCACTGCCAGAACACGCGCCTCCTCCGCCCCCACTCGCAAACGGACAGGAGTTGCCGTTCGAGGTCATTCTTACAGACGCTTCTCCCGGACCTACTTTCACTAGTCATCCGACAAGTCCAGTTTCAACGCGGTCGAGGACACAAGACGAACGCCATAGGAATTTCTCCACACCTTCACGTCCATCAATGGAGTCGATGAAGCCTGAGATGATCCCGTTACCTCCGTCACAGTCTATGTCTTCCTTCCAGTCGTCCTCTGTTCGACCGTCTGTCGACTATGGCCCACCCCCTGCAACGATGCCCCCATCACCCAATCCAGAGACTGAGCGCCTTACCAAGCGCAGGCACATTGTCCAGGAGGTCATAGACACTGAGTACTCTCATCATCAAGACATGAAAATCATCGAGGACATCTACAAGGACACTGTCGGCGATTACGTTTCTGAGGAAGACAGAAAGACCCTCTTCGGCAACGTCGACCAGGTCGAGAAGTTCTCACTCGAATTCTACGATGCGTTGCGCAAGGCGGCCGCGCCGATTTATGTTCCGCCCAAGACCTCTCGCTGGCAACCAAAGAGGGGCAGCTTCTCGACTTCAAACAGCGATGGCAATTCAACAACTGTGATCATAGACGACGATAAAGACCGATTGACCACGATTGGCGGTGTTTTTGCCAAGCACATGCCTCGCATGGAGCACGTTTACGAGGTCTATCTGAAGAACCATGAGAACGCCAACAACTGTTTGAAGAGGATACAGACAGAACCTCTCGTAAGCTCTTGGCTTGAAGAGTGTCAGAAGATGGCTAGCGATATCACTGGTGCTTGGAACCTGGACTCGTTGCTAGTAAAGCCCACGCAACGCATTCTCAAGTATAGTCTTTTGCTCGGAGACTTGCTCAAACACACGCCCGAGAACCATCCCGACCGAAAGGCGCTGAAGCATTCGCATGAAGGTATCCTTGCGGTTTGCAAGAGAATCAACGAATCGAAGAAGCGCTCAGAATACGTCCAAGAAGTACATAGGAAACGCGCCAAGTCCAACGCCCGTAGTGCGCTTGCCGTCTTCCTGGCAAAGAAGGACACCGTCAAGGATCGCGTTGGAGCAGAGGAAGCTCACAAGGACCCTGAGTTCGACCAAGCAGTTCAAGCGCTCAATGGGCATTACCTGAAGCTGCAAATCTGCATGCGAGACATACAGCACACTCTGGAAGAGCTCGAAAAGCCCGTCGCTCACTTTATGAGATTTGCCGACGCTCTGCAAAAATACATAGAGTGCGAGCCAAACAATTGCCCTGAGATCGAGAGCAAGTTCCGCAAGTTCATCCTTGCTATCAACGAGCTCTGCACCGTTGCTCTACCAGATCACAAAGCCCGCGTCCAGGCACATGTCGTGAATCCGATGCTCGAATGTCTGAAGCTCTATGCTGGCCCTCAACACTTGATAGCAAAGCGCAAGAAGCGCGTCGCAGATTATGCCCGACTTCAGGCGATGCAGCAAAAAGGTCAGAAACCCGATGCCAAAACCGTCGATGCCGCAGAAGTCTATGAAGCGCTCAACGAGCAACTCAAACTTGATTTGCCCCGACTCTACACGCTGCAGTCGGAGTTGGTCAGAGCTTGTCTGAACACTCACGTCTACCTTCAATCTCAATGGTGGTGGCTATGGAAAGAGAAGCTCGCGCCGGTCGTTGACTTCACATACGCTGGTTACAACGAGATCTGGCCAGCCTTTGCTGAAGAGTACGAGTTCGTCCATTCACAAGTGTTGTCTCTTGGTGTCTGCAACGGCGCATTGCTTGCCGACAGCTTCAACTTCCTGTCACCTCAGACCACCCTGGTGGGTGATGAGACTATCTCCTCTCAAGCTTCGACACGACGTCCCTCAATTCTGCCCAATGGTCATAGAACCATGTCCATCGGCAGCGAGAATCAGCCTTTGTTCACTCCCAGTGACTTCAACAAGTCTTTCACCTCAGCGACAGGATCTCCAGTACTGCCTGATTCTGGCCAGCCCGGCTATTATGGTAGGATGCGGTCCAGTTCGTCTCTGTCCACTCGTGGTCGTGCTCCTAGTGTGGGCGCGAGCCAAAACAGCAGTCTCCCTCCGTCCCGTATGCCCAGCATCGTACCTAAGGCTTCATTCTCTGCCAACAGACCTTCGACTGCGCAGCGCCCTGCGGATCTGAAGAGCATGTCTTCGCGCATGAGCTTGGACACTGCAAAGCGTAGTCCTAGCGTACGCCCTGGCTCTGCAGTGAGTTCTCAACAACAGCAGCAAGAACCGCGCTTCTCTGGAATGTTCAACTCAGCCATGCCTATGTCCGATGCTCCTGTCAGTCCTGGTCCAATGTCTCCACAGCATGCACCACTCGATACGCCTGTAATGTTTGTGGCCGCCAGTTTGTTCGAGTTCAACATCGATCGAGCCCGACGCGAAGCAGGCTACCCATATTTGACCTATGTCGAAGGCGAAGTCTTTGACGTCGTCGCGCAGAAGGGCGAGCTTTGGCTTGCAAAAAACCAAGACGACCCTACCAACTCACTTGGATGGATTTGGGAACAGCACTTTGTCATCCTCTCCCAAGAATCTTAGTTGGATTCCTATGGAAGAAGAAGACCAACCTGGACACCTCCTTGGCTATATCAGCAGACTCGGTCCCAAACCTGGCGCATCGTCTGGTCATCGAGGGGCCAGCGTAGGGATTGCTTCCAGCCCGACTTCTTTGGCGATCACCAGCTGCCCAAGACACCATCACCAGTCAAGCCCAGACCAGGATACATTGGACGTCCTGATCCAGATCGTTGTCTGAAGGACACTCGCGCATACTACTAAAGTCGGGTCAGTTCGTTGGCTTTTCTCTCAAGTCAACGCTATCCCTTCTGCATACTTTTCTTTCACCATTGTTACCATAAACCACACCGGACCGGCTCCTTTCTTACATTCGATTCTCGTTCATCATATTTTCTGGGAGGATTGGAAGATGTTTACATTGAGCGATTGGTGGTCATCCATTCCATTGTGGAGCGGCGTTGTTGTTCTTGATGAACATTTCATTCTATTGGCGAGGAGTTTTCGTATTTTCGTTCTCGAGATGGTTTTTTGGAGGCATTTTCAGAGTGTAACAACTGTTTTCTTTCTTTTGGGGATTTGTTTCTTCTCCAGTTTCACATGATGACAAGATGTTTATTTGTTGTTCCCTTCTTTGGCATCGCACTTCCCTGGCCTTGATAAACAGTTTCTTCTTTTTTTGTATCATACAGGCAAAATGCAGACAGCGATGAACAAATGTCGAATTCACTATTTTTCTTGATAACCATTATGCGTCTGATACCCATTGCTACTGTAGGTTACCAGACGAGCTGTACATACCTGTTCTCGTCTGGGCAGGCGGTGTACACAATAGGAAGGTAATATCTTCTGCGGGCATTACTGTATGCGGCAAGTGGAAGCGAGAAGGAACAGCCAAACTGCCGGGCAACCTCGTCTCCTCATATCTCTGACTAATTATCATCAAGGCAACGACATTTCTGTCCTTCATGAGTCAACCAGGTTTTGGGTTTCTGTGACTTATTCGCGGACTGTGATCTGGAGATAAAATCTGGACTTTTGTCATCCAATCCGCAAAGGAACTATTCATTATCTTTTTGGAGTCGTGATCTTCCCGCTAGAATCAACCCTGATCTGGATCTTGATTGTCAATTCTCTAGGACTGTACAAGAAATCCCGTCTTTGGAACAACGATACGAAATTCCAAGGGCCACAAATCAACACTAAAACATCAGCAAACATGCCAATTCAAGTCCGCCAGGGAACGCCGTCGGACTATCCGGCCCGCGAACGCATCTTTCAGGGCGCCTTCTCTGCTGGTTTACGCCCTCACATCTTTCCCAATGGCCTCACCGAGGCAGATCTCATCCACAACTTCAGCGAAAACCTTCATGGTTACAAGACCAATCTGAGCACCTCGGACACTCAAGCAGGACAACGCATCTTCGTGGCCTATGATACAGATACGCCCGCCGATCCATCTGATCTCTTGTTTCCAGAGGCTTGGGAACACAGAGCAGAGTACGAGTTGAGCGATGAAGAAAAGAAGGTTGCGAAGAAGATTGTTGGTGTTGCGATTTGGGGATTACAGCCTTTTGCGCGCACGCAAGAGCAAATTGATAAGGAAGCTGCTGAGGAGCCACCTCATGCTCATGCGCCTGGCGCGAATGGCGCATTGCTGGATGCCATGGATGCGGCCATGACGGCAAGCAAGAAGAAATACATTGGCTTGGAGCCATATCTGTACCTCAGGGTTCTGGCCATTGATCCTGCGTACCAGCGTAGAGGCGTTGGGTCTTTGCTTTTGGATGAAGGGTTGAAGATTGCGGACCGTTGTAATGTGCAGGCTTATTTGGAAGCTACAAAGGTGGGAAGACCGTTATATGCCAGGTTTGGGTTTGAGGATAGGGAGTATATGGATTTTGATGTTGCCAGGTATGCGCCAGCGGCGAAGGATGAGCCGCAGCATGAGTTTATGGTCATGATTCGACCTGTCGGAGCAAAGAAGATTGATGGAAAGGCCTAGGGTGGTGAGCAAACAGATGATTGATGAGTTGTCAACAACAATGAAAGGATGCCATCAACTGCTGCAAAAAGAAACAAAGAATGGTCGCAGCCAGGAGTCAAACTCACCACCTTTGACGGTGCAAAAGTAGAGTCTCCGACGCTACTACTCCCGGCGTATACAATCATTGCAATTGGCGGTAAATTACCTCCTGTACAGAGGATCGGGGATCTCCCTCCAGCCAGACTACCGTGTGGACTTACAGGAGGGATGTGAGGATGTCGAGTTTCTTGCACTATATAGTATGTTGTTTCTCTCATTGATTCACTTTAGCTCTTGAATAGCTCGCGGGCATAGTCACTCGCGCTAATCATTCAGTTCTGTCCATGCTGCAGAAAGACAGTGCACTTGTGGGTGCCCGTAGCAAAGTAAGGGCATTGTTCAATCCTACCCTCTTCACTTCCTTCTTGTTCACCATAGACTGTTATGGTGTAGCCATAAAACGCGCAACACATTTTCAGATGAACCAGTGTCCAAAGTAAGATACTGTCTTGAGATCATCTCTATGGACACACATCCAGAAAACTCATCCTCTTGCTGACACAAAGAAGTCATCAAAGCTCTCTCAACTCTAACAGCTGCAATCAGGGAAGCGACGAATGACACATCAAACATTCGAAACCTGTTGGTGACGCTGCTCACTCGATCCATCGCGCTTTCCTATCGTCCGTTCACATTCAGAAAGATCTGGAAGCCCACAACTCTTTCACACCTTCTGTTCTCGACCAACACGCAGTAGCTTCCAAGGCGCTCGTATCATCTTCCTACAACTCTCGCCTTCTTCCTCACTTCCTTTCTTCCTTAGAACACAACCATTCAGCCTCAACCCTTTCTCGCTCAACTTTCAACCCACGCCATACATCTGAACTATCATCACGACATCAGAAGATCATCAACATGTCTTCCTCGTCGTCCAATGGCTCCAAAAACAGCATCACCGCCGAAAGCATCGCAATCCATCTAGACTTCGAGCCCAACCTGCCAGGCGCCGAAGATCTTGACGTGGATCTCGTCATCCAGTGGCTGCTCGCCCTCAACCTCAGCCTTCGTACAAAGGAGATCAAGCGTCTGGCTCCTCAAGTCCTCGAAGAACTCCGTGCTATGGAGTAAGTGTTGTAGAGTTCCCTTCGAAAGAACATACGTTGACAAGGTTCGCAGCGGCATCACTGTCGAAGAGGCTATCAGACACCAACAACGCTACCCCATCAAGCGTGATGTCCCTGTCCTTGTGCATACCTGGGGTGGCAGCGGTCAGGCTCAGGAAGTCAAGAAAGAGGCATCATCTCCCAAGCAGCAACGCAGTGCATTCGAGGTTGTCAGCAAGAAGAAGGCCAGGAAGCAGGGCAAGAACGCCGACAATCAAGCACCCCTGAACTTGGAAGACGGCGACGGAGCTGGCGGCGTCAAGCTCGAGGACACTTCGGATAAGGAAGACGCAAAGCAAACTGTAGCTGAGGCAGCTGAAAGTGCAGCCGCGAAGAAGAGAGCAAGAAAGGCGGCCAAGAGAGCCAGAAAGCTTGCACAAGCTCTTGAGGATGCAAAGCCTCCTGTGGGAAAGAAAGAAGAGGACAGCGACAGTGAGAACGACTCTGACTGGACTCAGACCAGCTGGTCTCCTTCATGGGCTACTGACGCGGAGGAAGAGGACTGAGGTTGCTTTAGCTCTCGTTGATTGACCCTCCAAGATTGGTACTGCTGCATTGCCCCCGGCATGGGGACTGGCTTGTTCTTTGATGTAAAAGGAACCCAGCTATCAAACTTGCTCCATACAATTTCCGGATAGTCCCTCTGACTTCTCCCTTGTTTCGTTCGGCTCCGTACAATGCTACAGCAAGATGAACACACCCAGATATCTGATACAACATGAATTTCCCTTGTCGCCGTGCTGAAGAGAAGAGGAGTTATCAGCCTTGATGCTTGTACTTTCCAAATCGAAGAAAGTTTCCATGAGTAGTGCTCATCTTGGAGCTGTTTCTATGGTCATTTGTCTGAGTCGGCAAGCGCAAGTGCACCTTTTTATAGCATACTATAGCACTTGTTGTTGGCATCGGGAAGAGAGGATGTTGATTGTCTGGAGCACAGAAGATCTCGTGGTCGACCTCATGTTCTCAAGGGTGCCCATTGTATGTCTCGCTTCTAGGTTATTCGTGTTGCTGGATTGTTGCTCGTCACATGCAAAAGAGGACGGAAAATCTTACAGTCATCATTGTCAGACTTTTTTGATATTTGTGTCGTGGGGTATCTTTTTTGTGTGTAGATGTGAGCAAGGTTAAGAATAATACCTGATTGGCTCGAAAATGGCCTCCTTTCCGAAGAGAGAGAAAACAAGAGATTCTTCTCTCTTCTGTCCCATGCATAATTGTGTAATGTGCTTCCCCTCCGTTACCCTTATATATTTGCAGCAAAGAACGCCCGAAACTCCAGTTTTGTCATGCTCTCTGCTCAAGCGGAACCTTCAGCGCTTCGGTTCTTCAATCCCATCTTTTGTTTGCTTTTCCTTGATGCAAAACTGTCAAAGTCCATCACGGCCTTGACCGGCAATCTTCTTGAGCTCCCACTCCTTTGTGAATTCTTGATCCAGTCTCTGCAGCTCTTGAATCAAGTCTCCGCAAGCTCTGATTATGGCATCCTTTGGTGTGAGAGAGCCATCGGTCTGTACACGCAGCTCAAAGGTTGCAAACAGAGGGTGAGGGACCTTGTAAGCGGAGAAGAGAATGTTTGGCGACTTTGCGAGTTTGGAGCGGAGGAGGTTGGCGAGGGTGTGGTCTTCCTTGTTGAAGGTGAAGACTGCTGCGTCGGGGACACCTGGGGGAGAGGCCTGTGTCAGAGAGGGAAGGATAGATCGTTGGAGAGGAAAGTCAAGGTCGAGGCTTACGGGTTTCGGGGGCCCAGGTCACTTTCTTCCTCGCCGTCGCCGAGGAGGAAGAGCTCGAATCTTGAGGGGACATCGTTAGCGACGTCGCCGTGGTCTGCTTTGGGGCCGCGGAGGGTGGTGACGGGGGTGCCCATGAAATGGTAGTGATCGGGTGCCATCTTTGTGATGTGGATGTGGGGGTGCAATTGAGTGTGACAGAGAGAGTGTGTGTATAGAAAGAACCAAGTCTCTTGATCATAAACTGGTAGATCGTGGATTGTGATTGCGACAGAGGGAAGGGTGTAAAGAAAGCCATTCATGTGAATGCGACCAGGCAGCGGGCTTTGGGAAAGTGAAGGCAACAAACTGAGCAGTCGCGCGTGACAAGGGACCCAAGGAGAAATAGCGGAGTTCCTTCAACCAGGGAAGGGGCGAGCAACAGGAAAGAGCGGCGCATACCTGTCTGGTGCGTTCATGTTTGCAGTCACACAGGGAAGCTGCTATCGGGAAGAAAGAATATGTCGGCTCTTCAAGAAGAGGTATGTTGTCGCGTATATCGATACCCTCTGTTAATTATGCTAATGCGTAAGAGGTGGGCGGGTGATGGCAGTAGTCGTTGGTATGGGATACTTTTGTGTTACCTTTCAGGTCGCAACCAAGTGAAGCTCGGCGTTGACGATCGCGAAAGATACTGCCGGGCGGTCTGAGCCCCGGGAACGGCGGGTGTGCCTTTCCCGCTCTCGCCGACATCATCAGCACTTTTTGCGGAGAAGCAACGACATTCCCGAGGCACGGTCGAGAGGCAGGTAGACTTGATATCAAGACATATAGCCTTCGAGAGGTAAGCCATGTAGATTTGTGCTCTGGCCAGTATCGTTTCACCGATCAAACATGTCGTCTTTACCACATGACAGCAACACCGATATGACCTCATCCCTGACTGCCACATATCCATGGACCACATCTCCACTCGTCACTTGCGCTCCAATGCGCCTGATAGCCAATGCATCACTCGCAGCCGCAGTCTCCGTAGCCGGCGGTCTCGGCTTCATAGGCGCAGGCAGCGACATCAGCACTCTCTCCTCCGAACTCTCCCAAGCCCGTGACATTCTAACCAAAGCCAACATATCCACAAGCACCGGGGTCTTGCCCATAGGCGTGGGCTTTCTCATCTGGGGCGCACCACTAGCAGATACCTTGGCCATCCTCAGTAAACCCGAGAATATACCTGCAGCAGTATGGCTCTTTGCACCACGAGAACCAGAACAACTCAAAGACTGGACACAAGGCATCCGCAAAGCCACAAACAACAAGACCAAAATCTGGATTCAAGTGACCAGCGTCCGCGAAGCCCTCGAAGCCGTCAAACTCGCAAGTCCTGATTTGCTAGTAATCCAAGGCACCGACGCAGGCGGTCACGGCGCAGCCCAAGGCGCCGGCATCATCTCCCTGATTCCCGAAACCATCGATGCCATAACAGATCTCTGTAACTCTTCTCCATCTACACCCTTGCCATTTTTCGTAGCTGCAGGTGGAATCAGCGAGGGCAGAGGTGCAGCAGCAGCCCTCTGTCTAGGTGCCCAAGGAATCTGTCTGGGGACACGATATCTCGCCGCAAACGAAGCCACCATTGCCTCGGGATACCGTGACGCCGTCCTCAGTGCTTCAGACGGCGGAACAACTACAATCCGCTCCTCAGTATACGATCAACTGCGCGGTACCACAGAATGGCCTGCTGGCTACGGAGGCCGTGGCGTGTTGAACGCAAGTTATCGAGACCACGAAGCTGGTGTGAGTTTCGAAGACAACAAGAAATTATATGACGAGGCAGTGGCGTCTGGGGATCAAGGTTGGGAGGGCGAGAGGGCGAGATTGACGACTTATGCTGGCACGGGCATTGGTCTTGTCAAGAAAGTCATGAGTGCAGAAGCTATCACGCGAGAAATACGGCATGATGCCTCGAAGATATTGTCAGGAACCTCAGCTTCCAGATTGTGATAAGAGTACATTGCTTGGCAGCTAGCTTATGCCTTCATGTGTGTCGAAGTATGTAAAGCATGTAGCTATTGAAATGCACAGTGCTATCAAGAAGCAATGCAAACTATTCACTGAGAGCAAACATCTTAGCGATTCCTCTTGGGTACTCATCTGCCGCAGAAAGAGGTTCTGCCTCTTGAAGGTGTAGACTTCGCTCTACACTTTCATGATGGAGTTACAAGCTTTAGCACGTGGGGAGGCGAGAAGGATCCAACATATGCACGTTCCCGACATCAACATACTATTGCAACTGAGTTTATGAACGCGCAAGCAGGTATTAGTACACACGCATTCACTCAAAAGTAAGATGGTAGATGCGTCTTGACCGTATGGATGGATCTCGCTCAATCCCAAGCACACTCAAAACATTGCCGTTGCATTCTCACAATTACCAACGATTAGGCTCGAAACTCTTCTCGAGGTAATGTTATCTCATTCGTCTTTGCAGACTCGAAAAGAAGCTATACACCGGTCGCTCCTTCCTCCGACCCTCTAAACCCCTGTCCATTACAAGTTACCCGCAATGGAGAAATGAAAAAGGATCCGCCTATCTTCGGATCCCCACCCACACAACAACCCGTTTGTGAGCTGTGACAACAGCGCAAAACGAAACAAATGACAATGCCGCAGTAGTGCTGATGAGTGATGATGATGATGATGATGATAATGTTGGTGATGAGCAACAAAGGGGAAAATGTAGCAATGGTAGGTTGGTCATCTTCCTTTGGCCCATTCTGGCCAGTCCTCGCAAAAGTGGTTGCGAAGAAGGGCCAAAGGAGAAATAAAGAATAAACATGAAGTGTAAAAACAGGAGAGAAAAAAGGCAGACAGCAAACGCAAAGAAAACAACAAAACACCACAAACAACACCCCCTTTTGCTATTTCATAAACACATTACCGTAGGGAAAGAACCAGCCTCCTCTTTCGTGCTAAAAGTCTTCGTCTCTTGATGACAACGTCAGCGCACTATCGCTTGTTTCCATTGAGATCAGAAGTCGAGTTATGGGGAGAGATCTTGCCAGCTTCGCGGATGGCAACAATAACTTGTTCTTCTTCAAAGTCCAGTGGGCGTGCGCCCCAGCCGATAAGAGACAGAAGTTCTTCTCTGGGCCCGTAGAGTCTGCTCTCGAGCAATGCCAGTACGCCAACAGCTGCACGGACAAAGGTCTTGTCGCCTTCGAAGACAGCAATATCCCAGAGACGACTGCAGGAATCCGGACTGAGAATCTGTGTGCCGAGGGTGGCGAGGAAGGGATGCAACCATTCCTCAGGACCTTTGAATCCAGTTTCGGGGCTTGTCAGGTGTTCGTGCAGACGAGGCATCTTGTATTTCAGTGTAGAGAGAACAGTCGAGTAGATTCGCGAAACGGTTGCTTGATCGTTGATCAAGAAGGCGAGAGCCAGCGGTCGGTTCAGCATGTTGGCAAGGGCGATAAACGCAGCCGAAGCACTCATGTTGAGAACAAGCAAACCAGCAATTGTGTGAACACCGTAGACATAACCGACATCACTGCGATAGGCAGAGTAGGCGAGTAGTACATCTTCCAGAGTTGAGTGAAGGGGTGCACCAGGACCAAAGATACCGAGTTCGGGAAAAACAGTTGGGACATCGCGTGAGATGGCAGCCAACCAACCTGCATCAGTGTGCTTGGAGCGATCCTCTTCTGGAAGGTTGTCGACTGAAGATTGCAGCGTACGAGCGCGCTTGAGAGCGTTGGCATACGAAGTCTCGGTCAGTGACAGTTCATTGCCAATAGCCTTGCTCCAAACAGTGCCTCTGTCTCTAGGTGTGACGCCACGCCACCAAAGTTCGCGAGTTCTGGGCTCCTTGACCACATCGTCCCAGTTGGGAATGACATGTTGTTCCCAGATGCGGGCAATGTTGGATTCGACGTGTTTGCGCTGTTGCTGCTGTTCGGCTTCTTTGGCGACACGCTTCTTCTCGGCTGCCTCGGCTGCGGCCATCATCCTCTCCCACTCCTTGATGTGCTTCTTCTCCTCTTTCTGGCTCTTTGGTGGGAGCCACGATGGACGCGTCCTTGTGAGTACAGCCTCCTTCTCTTTGCTGATTGGCAACGGGTCGACCATTACATTTCCTTTCTGTAGCGGTGGCAGTTCCATAACGCTTGTTCTCGTTCTGAGCTTCATCGAGGGACGAGGAGGACTGCCATTGGTGCTGTTGCGGGTGGAGCGACGTCTTTCTTGCGACACACGCTCGGCGTGCTCTTCCAAAGCAGCGGCAACCTCTCGGGCCTCCTCGCTGAGATCCTCCTTCCAAGTTCTGCCACGTTGAAGCCTAGGAGACGAAGGTTCCAGAGGATATGCGCCGACAGTAGCACTGTGATGCATGTTTGGTCGTGTGGCAGAGCGAGGGGCTTCTTCTTTGGTTGATTTGTTGCTGTCTGTCGGTTGAAGTTCTGGGGTCAAGCTGGTAGAAACGATTCTGGTAGGACTTGAGGGAGTCGATTGCATTGGAGGGCGTGGAGAGATGGGGACATTCCAGATGACGGCATCTTCGGGCACTTCCTCGTCAGAATCGTGGTATTCGGCCTCGAGTTCCTTGACTGATTTCCTTGGCCTCAACGGCGGCCTGGGGGCCAGCGATCTTTGTGTTGCAGAGGTGGGGGAACGGCCGCCGTCGCTGAGAGCCTGGCCGTTGGGAGAGATTGACCTCGAGGGACGAGTCTTTGCTCCCGTGACGAGCGATGGCGTTGAGGGACTAGTAAAGCCTCGACGGATAGGGCGAGCATTGAAATTGGTGGCAGCATTCACATGCGATTTCAGACTGGGATAGCGAGGACGGTGGGTGTTGGTGGCATCGCGCAAGGCTTCAGGAGCAGAAGGGCTGAGGCCATTGTGGGGAGCGGCGGACACGGCTCGACGTGGTGGAGGAACACGCGGATTGGAGAGTTTCCTGTGCGTGATTCGAACGTGCAGGTCGTCGACCTCGTCTCTGCCAGAGTCGGCCAGAGCAATGTCCTCGAAGTGCGACAGATTGTCGTGGCTGGGTTGACTGGTCAAGCAGGTGGAACGAAGCGAGCCCGACGACTTGGACGACTTGGAGCCAGTCAATTCTGGTGGGGAGCCGGGGCTGGTATCTCGGTCGGTGTTCCTGGTGATGGTGGTTGTGGCAGAAGTCGTGTTTACATGGGTCGTCATTGTCTTGTTGGGGCTGGCGCAAGGGAGAAAAGAGTGGACGCAAGGCCGCGGCGCTGCTATTGTTGATGGAATCTGGCTATGCTTCAGAAAGGCCCAATAATCATGCTTGGCCTCTGCGACGGGCAGCTGGAAACGATGCAGGGAATGAGACGTTAAAGATTTGGGCGAGGAAGGAAAAACAGAAGAATAGTGGTGGTGGTGATGATGCGGCTGGTTGAAAAGAAAGACGTCCGGTCCAGAGGCTTCCTCGACGGCCTCCAGACGGCGGCATGGATCATCAACAAAATATGTCAAAGCGCTAGCCATCCTTAGGGTGCAAGAGGGCTTCGGCCGTTCGTTCCTGGCGCCAAAAAGGAGTGGTGTCTGCGGATCCTTTGTGAATCTTGTGCCGAGACTGCTGCACGCTGCGCGAATCTCTGGCTCCTTAGATGAAAAACGGCCACTGCTTGTTGTGTGTTGCTATATAGGTAATCCTGCTGTCAGGGGAAGAGGGGGACCATGGCTTTTGACTGTTCGATTCTGAAACTGATTGCCTTTTTCTTTGTCACCAAATCTGGCTTTGGCTATCATGCATGCTGCTGCCAAATCCTGGCATGGGTAGCATGAAAGCGCTGTCATTTCTATGATGATGCGAAGCGCCCTCCACCTGCAGAGCCAAGTTCCCGCCATTTTATCAAGGAAACCTGCACCCGCAAAAAGGCAAGCACCGCAGCACCGTTTTGATCCTGTGTATCGCGATCGCACGACCCGTGTCTCGAAACGCGGGGCTTGCGCTTCTTCGATGGTGCACTCATGCAACCAATCCTCTTCCTCTGCCCTATCTCCAGAGCATGCACTTGTTCATCTGATTCTGCGCCTTGACTTTGCAGAGCAGGAAGATGCCCTCCGGAGGTGACATCTTTTCCCTCTATGCACCCGCATTCTGGAGCGTCTGCCTCTCTCTAGCCTTCAAAGCTAATCCCGCTTCCGCCATCTCCCGCTGTAGCCAAGACAGCAAGCCACAAAAGCCAGTCTGACGTCTTGCAAATGTCTTTTCGAACGAGTGACAAGCCAGCCTGTTTGGTGGTGGTTCAAATCATCAGCACATCAAGATTTCATGGCAATCACGAGCCTCAGCGATCAGTAGAGTTATTTCCCTTCCCGCGGGCGGAACAGATGCAGAAGGAGGAGAACAGAGCATCGAGGACGATGTCAAAGCTCTCGCTCTTGCTCCAACTCTTTGTCGGGCGGTCTCCTCCATCATTCACCGTGATCGCCGTTACGAGGAAATGTCGTCTGTCATCACAAAATAACTTACCAACGTGTTTGTGTCTTGCTCAGAGCGCATGTGTATCCGACGTCACTGCTCTTCTTCCCTCTCTTGCGCTTCATGAGCCCATAGCTAACATGTATCAAGTCATCAATGGTTTCTGCGGTGCGCGCTTCGAATCAGTGATGTGTGACCGAGTCAAGACACACGATCAACGATGCCGTGAATGGACATGTCGATCAACGCTTGGCTCTGACAATCTCTCGGCGCTCAACGTCCACAGAAACGTAGCCATGAACAAATCGTGATGTCTGGACCAACAACGATATCATCAATCAACAAACTTACTGATAATCAAAGCGGAAGATGGCTTCTTGGTCTGTGAGAGACAGCGGATGTAGTTGAAGCACCGTTCCGCCGTGTCTGCAAACATGCGGGATACATTGGCGATCACGGTTCCGATGTGGTTGTGCCGGGTGCACAAATGCATGGTGTGCATATGCAGTTTCAACATGCTATTGCACAAACGTACGTCAGTTGGTTTCAACGTCTCTCCCCTACCGCCCTGTGCGACTTTGTTATATGCCGTGTCGAAACTTACCTGAATGTCTTGCGGTAGAAATTCTGTCCTGGGAATCTTGAGAAATCGACTGTCGTGGCTGCCGCCATGTCTGCGAGCTTGTCAGTATACATTGGGACTTGTGTGTTGTACGAGCGCGTACTGTTTTGCTGTCGTCGGGTCTCGTCTCTGGTGATGTTGAGATTAACCGTGTTGATAGCATTACCGCAGTATGGGAACTCGGTAGCTGCAGGTAGTCTGGACACATCTCTTCCGTCGACCTGTACATCGAAATTGACTTTCGACTTGTCCTCTTTCACCATTAATCCATACTCAGGAAGTCCACGATGCATGACTTGAACGAAGCGGGTTGCAGTTTGGCGATTAGTGGTGATGAGCAAGAAGTCGTCAATCAAGCGGAGAAGCAGACTTTCGCCATTCTGCAAGAAAGACAGCACTCTCTGTTCCAAGTCGGCGTAAAAGAAGTTACACAACAGACTCGAAACGATTGAGCCCTGTGGTATGCCAGTAGTCTGCCGGTAGAACTTCTTGCCAATCTGGACGATGTTGCGTTCAATGTGTTCTCTGAGTAACGCAAGGATACCAGCACGGCTTCTGTGTGTCTTGCCCTCGAGATCCACAAAGACAGTACCTAAAGCAGCCTCGGCTTCTTTCCGAGCGTGATCAGAGAATATCTCTTTCTGGTCAGTGATTTGTGCCTTGCCTTTGAACTTCCATGAAGCTTTGGGCATGATTGCAGGCTGGTTGTCGGTAGAATTACAGTCTCCTAGGGCTTTGACCTGGGCATATCTCGTGATTGTGTATCCTTCTGCACTAATCAGGGCGTTCAGCAACCTCAGCAATGGTTTCTGAGGTATACTATCGAAGCAAGACTGTACGTCAACCTTCGCAAAGTATAGTGGCTTATTGGCGTTTCCAGATTGTTGCAACTGATTTCGATATTGGTGCAAGCGGTGGTATATCTCGTCTGAAGAAAACATCGATGCACCAAGCCTCTCTGGTGCGATTGACTGCCTTTTTGTTAGAAAACTCTATACTCGAGTCTACAGAGAGGAAAGATACCTTCTCCAAGTTCAAAACATGGAAAGCTGGAGTCAAAATCTTGTTGACACTCTTGCCGAGCACCAATCTACCATTTCTCTTGGTCTGTACTCTGCGCTTCAAGTTGATGATAGGTCGAAGGCCAGTCTCCTTGGGCAGTAAGCGCACACGGCCAGTGCCAATCGACATATTCGAGAGTGTCTTTTTCAGTTTGCTTTGCCCGACTTCTTCAAACATGGACGTTCTCAGCCCAGCAAGAGCCGGTTCCGACAGCTTTTGCCATACATCATGACGAAAGTACGAGAGACGGTTGCGAAAAGCGGATGACTCTGTGACATAGAAATTGCTGCTGATGAGAGGGATGAGAAACGAGTCGAAGAGATAATAGAGAAGCTCGGCAAGTATTTCTTTGCGTTTTGTAAAGTCGGAAGCTGACATCTTGCTGCCCGTTGGCTCGTTCGGCGGTCTGAGCCAAGTAATGCTAGAAATCTGTTTGATAGTTAGTATATGTATGGCTGAACCTCTGGTTTCCATACCTTGATTCTTTGAGTGACCTCGTGTAGCATCAGACTTTCATATCGACCCAGTTTGACAAAGCGGTCAACCTGATGCATGATATGCGCTTTGTTTGCGGCTCCTACCTCTCCCTCGCCCCAAAGTCTGCCTGGAAACACTTTGGCTATCACCGATCTGCAGAAGGCCGATACCTGGGAAGAGGATGTCGCCAATTTCATGATGCTGTGGTCTTCGGTTTTCATATTGTCGCCTTGTGTCCACATATCAGGACAGTAATACTGCAGCAATGCCGAATAAGCACATCTTTCATGCCGGGTGCGCAGATGGTCGACGAGAGTCTCACACTCTCCACGTAGCCGCTTTGGCACAGATCGCTGTTTGGAGGCTCGGCTTGCTGACTTGATTTCCTGCTCGCGTAGGGTATAGTCTTTTAATGGCTGAGCTGAGTTTTTCATATCGACTGCATGAGTGAAGACATTGTGCAGTCCAAACTGTCGTGGAAAGATATACTTCAGAAAGTGAGCATTCTTGTCTATCTCTTCGTGGTTCCCGATACGGTTCAAGATGTCTAGCAGAAGTCAGACATGGATCTGAGTTGTGAGATATGAAAGACACACGGATATGGGGAAGACCAAAATACGCTCCTCCTTTCGCGTTGAGATCAGGCTTTCTGTACAAGATACGGTGTCGCACAAACCGGATCGTGTTTGGGGTATTGGTCTCGCGGCTGGGTGAAGTATTGCTTTTGCTAACCGTAGGAACGGCCAAAGCTGCACCACCATCTGGTTTCGGACCGCCCGATGGGTTGTTCTTGTCCACTGTCCGCAGTTCAGAAAGATCCACGCCACTGATCTGGACGTAGTTATTTCTTCCACTCTCAAGAGGCATGAACATGCCACAGTTCTGTAAAAGCTGGATGAGCGTGACGGTACCTTTGCTNCCAACCAACCTCGTCAAGCCAGCCCAGCCCTCTCCCTTCAGTCTGTCGACATGCTCATTCCTGTCCAGCAAGGTGTCTTCACGATCACCTTCAATATTTGGTTTTACCAAGATGCTGACGTCTCCGAGACCATCGTAGTAGTACCCGTGACAAAGAACATGAGGCGGACGATGCCCAGAAGTATGCTGACGAAAGAGCCGCCAGATAACAAACTCAACTATCTCGGCGAAGGGTAGTTGTGCCTGTGAGCCACAAGACCTGGCTGTAGACTCGGATACTTGCGTTGAGAAGATGCTGAGGTCGTTCTGGTAGTCGACAGTATCATCCTCTTCCGTCTTCACATCATGGCATCCAATAAGAATGGTGTCCAGAAGTTTGGCCAACTCAGAATCTGCGTCTTGAGAACTCTTTGCCGTATCAGATCCGTAGTTAAGAATCAGTCGTTTCTTGTTTTTCGATGTCTTGGCTTGTAACAGATATTCCCGTAGAGTCAGGACTTGAGGATAATATAGCCGGAGGATGGAAGGAGTATGTTGAGGACCGCGATCAACAGCATCACTACTGGTTTTGGTACGTTTGACGGTTCCAGAGGCTTCTCTGTTGCCTTTTTTCCGTTTCATCTTGCACAATCGAAGGTTGCCTTGTATGGTCGCACTTTGTTATGGATAAAATGTTGTCGGAAGACGCGATCCTACACGAATACCGCGCGCTTCGGCTCGACTTGCCTTTTCTCTATGATGATGCTGTATGTGTGACCCTGCCTGTCAATATGACCATCGCTCGATCACTCCATCCTTGCCATATACCATTGCAGATACATAAGGGAGTCTTCTGAACCATGCACAAGAGCTACAAGAAGATACCATTGCACCAAACGTGATTTACCGACTTCCATGGCTCTCTTCATCCATTAACTGAAATGTGCACAAGCATGACGTGGAGCGATGAAGGAACCTGTGTGAATAGTGTCTATATCTACCTATAATGCTAGCTAAAACTGCGCTGGTACCTAGAGCACCTAGGCTCAATGCCTATCAACTCACACCACTTTTTAATCCATAGCTTTCTTCTGAGCCTGATTGATCATCTCATCCAGATCCTCGTAAGCGTACTTGTTGCTACCACCTGCTTCCTTGATTTCACCCATCTCAAGATCAGTCTCATGCTTGATATGAACTCCACCACCGGTTTCTTCGGTGGAGGCCATGACGAGATCTTCGGGCAATGGAGGAGTTAGAGCGCCAGACTTGAGACGCTTGGAGTCCTTGGTGGTGTCCTCCGGCTTATCCTCTGGATCATCGTAGTCCAGAAAGGAGACGGCTCTCTTGGGGCCGACGCGATCCACATGGTTGGGAGCGTCGACACCAGACAACCATTGCAAGGACATTGGAGTAGAGGCCTGACTACTACGTGAACTCTGCATAGCAGAGTCGTAGCGTTTCTTGAAAGGTCCCAAAGGAGCACAATTTGCCCCTGAAGAAAGGGGACCAACGTCAAAGTCGTCCTCAGTCATTGAAGTGGCGCGCTCAGACGGAGGGTTGACCGCAGTCAACATCAGGAGACGGGCAGGATTGAAGGTATTGTGCTCGGAGAATCCTTCGAAGGTCAGGGACGTGTGGTTCTCGGGTGCACCTCCGAATGCAGTTTCTGGAAGCTGTGAATGGTCAACGTCGTCCAGCATCGACTGACGATCAACGTACCTTCACAACAGGATCCTTGGCGACAGGCGCCTTTACGACAGGAGCCTTCACAACGGAAGCCTTTGCAACGGGATTTTTCGCGATGGGAGCACGAGAAGGGCGAGGGCGAGGAGCACGAGGCGCTGCGATAGGCTTTGACATCTGATGAGTGTTCATCAGGCGAGAGATCTTGGTATTGGCCTTCTGCAACTGCTTCTCAAGGCGATCGAGAGCATCGTCCCCGTCCTTCTGGTGCGCGCTGAGCTGCTGCAGATGAGACCGGCGCTGGGTGTCGAGCTGGGTACGAAGTTTCTCGATCGTGTCGTTCTTCTCCTGTAGGAGGCCACTCTGAATCTTGACGGTACTGGCCAAGCTGTTAAGACGTCTCTCGGTCAAAGCAGGATCTGTGTGGGAGGCATGGGCTGCCATGACAAAGCTTGGGTCGATGGCATGAACGTAGTCATATGCAGCCAGCTGATAGAAGAGATCCTGCATGGCATGGTGCTCGCTGAAGGCAGGCTCAGCGCGACGTTCGGCATGGCGACGAACAGTCATGTCGTTCTCCAGAAGCTCGGACACGCGGCCGTATGGATCAAGACGGCGCCACATCTTGGATAGCAGCTCGTTGCTGTCCTTGAGGCGACGCTCGTGCTTCTGAATGAGCCAACCGCGCTCTTCCCACTTCTGGTGCATAGTCTCGAACGGATCAGAGGCGTGGGTAGCACGCGTCTTGTTCGAGCCAGTAGTAGAAGTGGAAGTGCTTGGGAATTTTGCGAGGCCGAATTGGTACATGGCAGTCTCGTGAAGCTGCTCGCTGGTACGATCACGAGTATCATACCATTGAGAAGCCGGACGCGTTGGCAAACTGAAGGGACTGGTGGTGGCCATGTGATGGCCGTCGAAGCGGTGGCCTGCGGTCTTGTAGATGTCGTGCGACATGTTGTGGGTGTGTTGGAAAGGAAAGACGCGCAAGCAAGAGTGCAGTGTTGACGCCTGAAGTCAGCCGAGAGTTATGTTGCTGGAAGGAGCTAACGCCGACGACGTGTTGTGATAGTGCTTGCTTCGGTCGTGAGGACGGGAGCCTTACGTTTGTTTACGAATTCCGTTTGTCGGCGGTCTCAACGGAGAATGTCAAGGAAGGTGCAGTCTTGATCAAAGAGAGACGGTAAGATAGAATGCACTCTTCTGGAAGCTTGTCAAAACTCAAGAATACTGTATTTTCTGGTAGTTGGACATGAGCCCTTGCATGCCGTGTGAGATCTCAGCTTGAACAAAATTGGAGAGATTGGTAGTAGGAGAAAGAAAAATGCTTTTTGACATGGTGATACTCCCCTATAATGCATAATATCCTCGATATGATGTAAACTCCAAACACCTTGCAGAAGATAAAAACGAAGTTCCATCATGAATCCATCTGCTGCAGAGTCCAGAGCAAGACCCATCTTTCCTCTGCCATCTTTTCTAGACGTCCGTAGTGTCGTTCTGTGTATGCTTTGAGACCCTCCAACACATCCTTGACGTTTTCATTCTTCTTGACCTTGTCTTTGACCTCGAGCGCACCCATACCCTGAGCCAATTCATCTTCATCGGCCACAGGAGGCTTAGGTGCTCTCTTTCGCCGCAGCTGGACGAACTTCTCCTTGGGATACAAGCGGAAGAGGGCGTAGAGAATGCGTTGACTGACATGTGCGGTACGAGCGTTGGCGTTCCAATCACGGCATCTGAGCAGGAGCTTCCAAAGCTGCTCTTCTGACAACGATCCCAAAACCTCATCAACACCCTTGGCACCAGTCAAGCTATCCTCATCCTTGTCCTCTGATTCCAGCACGCGAGTGAAGAGATCGAGTAGACGCTTGGGGTGGTTGAGTTGCAGAGCTAACACGATGGCCTCACGGTAGTTCTTGGCATGGATATGATTTTGCAACTCCTGGTCTTGTTCCACACGAGCGGTAGCACGAGATGCTGAGGCTTGCGATGTCATCAACGTCGTGTCGGTCCAGAATGTGAGGGTGGCGTCTGCGGAACCAGAGATGAGCTCAACAGGAGGCTCGGGTGCCTCCTCATCATCCTCTGTCGAAGCAGCCTTGGCAGTTCCAGATCGGTCGGACTTGACGGCCAAGGCCCAGACTCTGTCAATGTGATTGTCGAGAGTAGCAGCGCACTCACCACTTTGAGCGTCCCAAACCTTGACGAGACCATCACCTGCTGCACTGGCGACTTGCAGATTACGCTCACCGCGCTTTCCAGGGTTCTTGGAGATAGGGAGCCAAATGACCTTCAGGATACTGTTGGTATGACCTTCGAATGTTCTCAGACATGTGTAGTCGTTCAAACTCCAAATCTTGACAGTCTTGTCACCACTTCCAGTGACAGCCATGCCTCTTGTGCCACTGCTAGAGCCAGAATCGCCAGCAATGGCGGGGGTACCAGGAGGAGCAAATGCCACAGACCAGACACCACGCTTGTGACCACGAAGCACACCAACAGACTCACCAGTCTCCAAGTCCCAGATCTTTACTGTGCGGTCCTGAGAAGCAGAAGCGAAGAGAGTGCCTTGTTGAGAGTATGATGTGTCGATGGCGTTGATATCCTTGTCGTGAGCCTTACGTGTGTAGGATGCACGAACAGCCTTGGCTTCTGAGCCTGACTTTGCTGAGCTGATGTCCCAGCGTTTGATGGTCTTGTCTTGACTGCCGGTAATCAGGTACGTCGGCGGGTGCTCGAGAGGCTTGCTGTGGGCGTTTGAGCCGACGACAGGAATGGCGTGAGGCAGGGCAACGGCACTGATAGACTCAGCATGACCGGTGAAGGTGGCATAGCAAGTGTATGAGTTGTTTGCGGGGTCCAGACGCCAGAGTTTTGCGGTGTTGTCCTTGGCTCCGGTTGCGAGCCAATGGCCTGACCAGTCGGTATCGATTGTGATGATGATGTCGGTATGACCCTTGAGAAGAGCTACGTCGGCACCAAAGTAAGCGGCATCTGCAATGCTCGAGCCTTCGTTCTTGCTTTCGGTGTTGAGATTAATCAGGCGGATATCTTCCAGGTTGGTTGCCAGGGCAAGCATCGAGTTGTCTGTGCCTACGTAGGCCATGTCGATGATCTCGTCGTGAGTACCAGAGATGCGGCGGATGACGGGTAGCGGCGGGATGGTGACGTCCACATTTGTTTGGATGAGCGGTTCTAGGGAGTGCAGAACCAGTGTTTGGTCAACATGAATCGAGAGCAAGAACGGAAGATCGGAATGGTGAATGATATCCAAAATGGCCTCTGTCTCAACTCCGGGATCCTGCTCTTCTGTCCTCTCATGGCCAGCCATGTCCCAGACACGAACTCTTGCATTCTCTCCGCCAGTGAAGAAGAAGTCACCATTCGCGACGAAGCCAGCTCTTTCAACAGTTTCCAGAATGGGTGCAGTCAACTTGGACTGCCATGTCTTTGCATCCCATGTGATGACGGTCTTGTCTCTGCTGGCAGAAAGGAGAAGTTGCTGCTCAGAGGAGAAGTCCAGACTGCGGACAACCGAGACGTGCGAGTCCAGAGTGGCAACGGGCTTGCGCTTATGGAGGTCCCAGATTCTGACTTTTCCATCTTCACCACCTGATGCCAGGCGGTAGCCAGCAGTGGTATCCGCAGCATCCTCGTCACCTGACCTGCTCTTTCTCTTGCGCGACTTGTTCTCGGTCATGGATGCTGAAGAGTCGACGTGGAAGAAGTGGAGGGCAGAGATGATGCCGCTGTGGCCGTGGAAAGTGTGTGTTGTGAAGCCTCCCTTGATGTCCCAGACTTTGACGATACCATCGGCGCCACCAGTTGCCAGGAGAGTAGATGTAGGATCGACTGCTGCGACAACGACCGGAGCAGTATGCGGCTTGAGGGTCCTTAGTAGAGTGGCGTCTATGCTTCTGTCGGCGGTGGGAGATGTCCTGAGGGAGAAGATGCGCATGGAAAGGTTGCGCGAGCACAGGACCAGGTACTTTGCATCGGGAGTCATGGCAAGAGTGGTAATAGATTCACCGTCNCTGCAGAAATCTTGTGTCAACTCGTCAGTGCCACGCTGAGAGGGCCCGGCAGTGCAACTTACACCTTCGATTTTAGCCAGATGTTCACCAGTAGCCAGATCACTCAACAGAGCATCCTCTCCTACACACGATGCAAGAATGCGACCATCCTGGCTGAGGGCGACACTTCCTCCAGTGTAGATGGGCTGGATGACACGCCCGGGCTCGAAAGTCGTCTTGTACTCGGCCTTGTAAGCCATGTTGAATCCAGAGAAGAGCCAGACAGACTCTAGTCGAAATACAGAGAGGCCAAAAAAGAATTGACCTTGGTCGCAAAAAGTTGATGATGCGGAGGAAGCAAACCAAAAAGATGGCCGCGCCAAGCAAAATGTCGGCGGCCAAAGCCCCGAGCTGCGCATCATCGCCGGCCGCTCGTCCAAGAGCTCGACCTGGCTGGAAGCTTGAGGTCGCACGCATACAACAGTCACTTCTCTCCATCAGACAACCATCTCATAATACCTTCATCATGTCAGTAGCCTTGTCTATCTATTCGTCATTCCATACTGACAACACGACAGGGACGTGCTTCTCGGCATCACTGGCAAGGACTTCACCATCATCGCCGCTTCCAAGGCGGCCATGCGCGGCGCAACCATCCTCAAGGCCTCGGACGACAAGACCCGCCCACTGAGCAAGCACATCCTGATGGGCCTGACCGGCGAGGCTGGCGACACCAGTACGTCCTACCTCTGAACCATCCACTATGTCACCCGCCCCTTCTGACCCACCGCCTGCANNGTCCAGTTCGCCGAATACGTCCAGGCAAACGTCCAGCTCTACGGCATGCGCAACGACATCGAGCTCAACCCCGCAGCCACCGCTTCATTCATTCGCACAGAGCTCGCAAAGGCTCTTAGATCAAAACGCCCATACACCGTCAACCTCCTGCTCGCCGGCTACGACACAATCAACGACAAGCCCACTCTGCACTGGATCGACTACCTGGCCTCGTCTGCCGCCGTCCCATACGCCGCCCACGGCTACGCACAATACTACTGTCTCTCAACGCTCGACAAGCATCACCACCCCGACATTTCGTTCGAGCAAGGCATGAAGATTCTCAGAATGTGCACAGACGAGCTCAAGAGAAGATTGCCCATCGACTTCAAGGGCATGATTGTCAAGGTCGTCACCAAGGACGGCATCCGCGAGGAGGAGTACAAGGACGACGAGCCTGTCGCTTGCCCGTAAGCGGTCAATCGTCATGCATGGATGGCGTTTGGGCGTTGAGCACAAGAAGCTCTGCGGGCATGGGGCTGTACAGGTAGCATAACCTTTCCAATTCAACCTTTGATGATGACATGATAACATTGGTCTTGATCATTTCTCGCATCCCGTGAGTGATTGTACAAGACGTAGAGCCTTAGTAATGACCGAGTCGCCCATCGAGCTCTCTCTTGCGATGACTCTTGAGTGATCAAGACTATCTGCGCATAGGCGCTGCGCTGTGAGGGCTGGTTTTGGTAGGAAGGAGGCTCACTAGAATCTTTCTTGTTCACATGTTTCTTCACATGCTTATTGAGGTTAACCGCTTCCGTTCATCTCTCACCTTTTTCATCAGAGCTGACCCTCCGTCACTTGTACTGTCGTACTTCTGTCTGACTCTCCTCAGGCTCTGTCAAGACGAACACTTCACTTCACTTCTGACCCTTCCTCCGTCTGCCTATTGCTTCGTCACTTTGTTTGCGCGCAGTCTGACGCTTCACCACACTCAATCTTCAGGCATGCAGTGTGCCCTCTGATCTCCTTCCCACACCCGACATAATACCAGTGCGTCTCTTCCTTCTTTCTTGTTACCCTTTCGCCGCTGACAGTTCTCTAGAGCGACATGGCTACCGGAGCCGCCGCAGTCCCCAGTGGCATTGTGCCCACAGTTTCCACCATCGCGAAGAATCATGACTTGGTTCTTCGTATCACTTGGTACACAAGACCTTTGAGAGCTGGTGACGATGGCCATGACGGGATCAGGGATATGTTCGACTTCCAGGTCACCCGACAACTCCTGATCGACAAATGCGAGTCTGCGTTCATCAAGAAACTTTTGACGACCCGCCAGTTCGCCGAGGCTGGTAGACGTACCATCAACATCGTCGAACACAGTCCTCTTGCACTCGAGATCGTCCTCTGCGTCATCTATCGCAAAGACGAAGCTTGGAGAACTTCTGCGCTGGGCCAAGAAGTGACTGCACGCACTCTAAGACGCGATTTGCAGTCTTTGTGGGATGTTGTGGCCTCCAATCAATTCTTCATGATCGACTTCTGGCACTTCGACAATTGGTTTAACCTCTGGTATGAGAGAAATGGCAATGAGCGTAACGAGAAGCTATTGTATCCCTGTCTCCAATTCAATCACGCCAAGGCCTTTCTCTCGGTTACCAAGCACCTAGTCTACAACCACGCTCACATCGAAGAGTACAAGAACGAGAAACATCCCGACTTGCATGTTCCACCTCGCGTGATCCGTGNNAGTCTCATACTGTTTGGATCATGCTCTTCAACTGACATGTATGAAGATCAGCTCAACTCGGCTCGTGGCCATCTCAGAGTCCTTCTTACTAGATGGCTCTGGGAACCCGCGATGAAGTTGATGACGGCCAGTTGCGATTGCAAAGAGAAGACTTTCTACCAGTACTTCCAGGCACTTGTAAACACTGGAGGATACCCCGTCGACCAGCAGAGTCGCAAGTCAGTCAATAAAGTCTGTCAGCAACTTGGTGCATTCCCACAACGCTTCAACCTGCCTGAATCTAGCGAGAATTGCAGAACTTGCAATGACGACTGGGTCGGTATCGTGGCGAGTGCGGTTCGTGAGGTTCAGAGACACTTTGATGGCTTGTGCATCGATTGCATGGACCACACTCAGCCCAAATTCCTCGACGAGCACGCTGATTACTGGAACCATCTGGCAAACAAGAAGTGGGACATGAAATGCCGCGTCTCGCATGGTCAAGCCTCCTGGTACTCTTCCTTCAGTAAGTCACTCTTGCGCCTGCGTTCATTCAAAAAATTACTAACAAGACACANNGTGGGGCGTGCCGACACCAGAAACTGGTTACTCAAGCGTGCGAAATCTGGCAAGCACGCTAACGACTTCTGATGTAGTGGCATCATGTATCTAAGTAGCAGTAAGCAGAGATCAGAAGTCAGTCATGAAGAAGGCATCCAAGAAGAAAAAACCAAAAAGTCTGTCATGGGAAAGGTGTCACAGAAGGAAAGACTGGTGTCGAACAGCTCCGCTCAATGTAAATGATAGCTCGAGAGGGAAGGTGAATAACACTAGCTAGCAACAAGACATCCTTTCTCTTCTCGCCATCAAACGTTCGATATATGTGTATGCCTGGAAGAAGCTCGAGTGCGCTTTCCTCTTTCGTCCTCCGTTTCGAAGTCATAACGTCGGTTCGTTGACACTTCCACCTCTTCTTTTTGAATTCTCTCGACAGCTTTGTATCTTTCCAAACTTCGACCACTCTTGCTCTACATCTCTTCATCAGGACATCATCACGAGCTCTGCCTCTCATCGAAGTTCTTCAAGCAAATCGTACTTGCCTATCTCGTTTCCAGTCTATTTGTTCGTTCGCACCTTCTCTCTAGGCCTTCACGCTCGCGAGAAAGGCACGCTACACAACAGTCACCTTCACGCAGTCCTCTAATCACCAATTTACTACTCGCCGGCCTAGAACGAGCCAGGACTCAGCTGTCCAAGCATCTTTTAGCTCTTCACCTGCACAAACGTACATCACTCTGACACAAGGATCATTAACATGCCTAAAGGCAACAAGTCCAAGGAAGAACTCGAAGAGGAGAACCAGACGCTCCAGAAAGAGCTGAATGCTTTGAAGAATGAAAAAGCTGGAAGTGACAAGAAGAATGAGGAACTCAGACGCATACACTTGCGTCAAGAGAACAGGGCCAAACAGCTTTGCAAAGACATCAACGAGCTCACAGCCGACAATGAGACTCTTTGTGACGCTGTCGTTGCTTTGAAGACCACGAACAGCACTCTACGCAACAACATCACGGCTATGGATATGAATGTGGCTGAGTGGGAGAAGTATGCGTCTGAGGGAAGAGACGAGCTTGCGCAGCTGAATCTGTATACAGACGGGCTCGAGGAACGTTTGGAGAGACAGAGGGCCAAGATCAAGGAACTCGAAGCCCGTCTTACAGATGTTCAAGAGCGCAATGAGGACCTCGAAGACCGTCTTGTCGCCAAGAAGATCAAAGCCCAAGCGCTCAAGGCAGAGTACGACGAGCTTGAACGCAGCAACAAGGCCTTGTGGACAACCATCAACTACCTCGATGAGGTGATTGATGAAGACCAGGCTGAAGTGATGCGTCTGCGTCAGGGAGTCCTGGTCCTCAAAGAGCACTGGGAATCGAGTATGCAGGAGTAATCCGCCAAAGCCGTCCGAAGTTCGAGAGATCGGTTGAAAATCATGAGCAGAACCTCATCGATGCTCACAATGAAGAATTAACCAGACACGGCGCCATTGTCTCCTCCAAAATCACACCGAGAGAACTGAGAGAGCAGGCTCTGTCGACTCGATGGGGACAACGCTGGTCCTTGACTCGTAAGTCAGTCAACACTCGAAAGATTTACTTTCCTGACATAATTCATAGATCTTCGACACAACACGATGGCACGTTCAGGGTTTGAGGATGGGTCGAATGCGGTGTTCCTGATTTCTGTTCAAGGTTCAGACATTGCTCGAAGACAAGAGCCGTATTGCTGTGGTGTCAGGAGGCTGCACGGCTCTTCGGTACACGAATTGGCGGTCTTTCAAGTCACGGGAAAAGAGCGCATGAAAGTGAGGAAGAGGCGGGTTTGTTCTGTTTGCTATATCAGCTCACGGCGTCAACGTTTGCTCGAGTAAAGAAAGAAATATGAGAAAGCCAAATGGAGAGGGGTATCTTCGTTTCGCTGTGCGCACCAAGTCTATAGCTTCCAATCATCAACAACCACTTCTCATGCCTCTACAACACACGCTTGACCTCGAGCTCAAAGTCAGAACCATCGGTCAATGCGGTATATGTCTTGGCCTCAATCCTCTTTAGCCACTTGTTGCTCTCATAGCGGCCGGTGAAGATGCTCATCCTCAGTACAGGCTCCTCTTTCGTCTCTGTTTGATCCAATGTCCACATCCAGCGGCCAAAGCTCCAGTTGAGGATATATCTCTTGGGTGTTGTAGATTCGGCACCTTCGTCCGCGGGTGTGCCATCGCTGTTTGAGGGTACTTGCGTTGTGCGTAGGACAGCCTTGATGCGGTAGACTTCATCTTTGGGTGCCGATTTGAGGAGGCCGGCGAGCTTGATTGTGTCCAGAGAGGCAGTTGAAGGAGAGCCCGAGGTGACGGTAATGCTCAAAGCTTCCATCTCCTCGTTGTGATCGTGCTTGTGTCCGTTCCCATGCTCATGCTTGTGGTCGTGGCCGTGCTGCTGGCTCAGAGCAACCCAATCCCTAGCCATCCTCTCATCAATGCCAAACAGCAAGTCTTTGCTAATCCAACCTTTATCACTCTTGATATGCGGTGTATCCACATCCATATCTCCAAGCTTATCCAACGTCCTCTCGAACGCCATCTCGGAAAGACCTTCCCACTTGTTCAAGACAATCAAGTCGGTCTGCTGAGCCTGCAGTTTCGCTGTATACGACGTGGATGCATACCCATCCCAATTCTCCACATCAATCACACTAACCACACCATCTAACGCATACCTCCCCGTCTCTCCGGCCAACCTCTTCAACTCGACCATCAATTTAATCGGCTCCGCTGACCCAGACGTCTCGATGATAACTCTGTTTGGCGCATACGTCTCATCCAACTCTTTCAGCGCATCCCCTATCTGACCAACATTTGTGCAGCAAATACACGCTCCCAACAATTCAGAGACGCCAGTCATTTCGGCGGCGGAAGCGAGTTGGGAGTCGACATTCAAGTCGCCGATTTCGTTTTTGATCAGGGCGAGTTTGTAGGAAGGGTTTTGGGCGCGCAGTTGGGGGAGCAGGTTTAGGATCATTGTCGTTTTTCCCGAGCCCACGAAGCCGGTTATTACTGTGATGGGGATCTTGGGGGTGGACATGTTTGCGGTTTGAGTGGTGACCTTGCGGCTGGGTGGGAAGGTCGAGAGGAAGTTGGTGTTTGGTAAGGTGGTGGAGTAGATGGCACTCAAGAATTGCGTGGACGAGGAGATTGTTCTCTTAAAGCGAATGGTATACACGAAATTAATTCCTATCTCTCACCAGACTTCAAGATTGAGGTTCGGATGTTTTTGAGTTTGTCTTGTTTGAACAGTGCGTCATGAGCAGGCACATGTCACCTCCATTCTTTCATTCTTCAACCAAACCATCTCTGCCACGAGATCGATTAGAGAGTAGGAAGAATCTATGTAGCGGTGTAACGGAACGGATCTGGGGAGTGTGCTTTGTTAGCATGGCGTCTCGGTGCAGTGGTTGTCGCCATGACATGTGGCTGACAGCTGGGATGGCTGTGCCAGCTTCTAGACCGCCATCTGTGTCCAACTTCCCTCTCGATGATCGACTCTCTTCCCACTAGCATGTGATGGTGATGTCTATCAAGGTGCAGTCACTTTCCAAGTACAAACTTGACCACGAAGATGTCTATCCCTTCCTCTCTGCAGATCTCATGCTGTTGCGAAAAGTGCTGTGCATTTCCATAGCTACACTGCGACAGTCTACTTCCACCGGGATGCAACAAGTCCCAATCGATGAGCAGCAGCGCCAAGTGCGCCTGCTGAAACGACATGAGCACTGCCACAATCCCCCTCGATCATAGCGGGGTCCTCCAGCTCTAGCTTCAAAGCTCCCGATACGTCACTATAAATCCACCTCTTTTATAAAGCACACGACCTCATCAATTTGTACCTGAAGATCTTTCTTTTCTACCATCAATCACACTCCAACACCCTACATACCAATCAACCAAATCATCAACCATGGACTTTGTCAAGAAATTCGCCGGCGGTAACAGCGGAGAGCAGTCTGCTCAGCAGGGAAGCGCTCAGCAAGTTCCTACCNAGCAGGGCGAGTCTGGCGGTTTCCTCGGTGGCATTGGCAACAAGCTCAACTCCGCTGCTGGCGGTGGTGTCGAGAGCGAAAAGAACGAGGACTACCTTGACAAGGGTAAGCTTTGCCATACTCTCACCTAGTCTCAAAATGCTAACACATCATCAGGCGTCGACTTTGTTCAAGAGAGATTCATGGGTCAAGGCCCCCAGGTACTTATATGTTCTACCGTCCATTGTCGTAACATATGCTGACCCTTTGATCAGAACAACGAATCCGCCATCGAGCAGGCCAAGGACGAGCAAATCTCTGACTTCATCCGCAAGCAATGGAAGACCACCACCGGCTCCGACATCCCCATCAAGGACAAGGAGACCAAGTTTTAGAAGAAGGACGATCATCGCGACGGAATACCCTCTCACGTCTGGTGCAAGGTGGTAGACCTGGATGATATGAGATCATGACCAATCGAGAATACCTAAGAAAATGCGTGTGCTTTGATGCCACGCTATGCTATGAATGAAGAAGACCACTTCTCTTACCTATGCATCACGACTTCGAACTATCATCTCAGGATATAGTGCTGACCGTGATCGTTATAGCCCTTCTGCTCCCTGTTGTCAGATTTTGGGCTCAGTATGTGAGATCTCGTCGAGATTGTTAGTCCAGCGATCCAAAGTGAAGAAAAGATCGAGAAGAACTTATGTTTGCAAATAATTGTGGTTGCCGCTACTATTGCTATTATTCCGAAACACTCTAAACCCCAGAAACTGAATACAAGTGGTTACTTAGCTGACTGGTCGGCAAAAACCTCTCCTCCAGAGCTTCGAGTTACGCATTTCTTTCTTAGTGCTTCGCGTTATCCTCAGCAACATCAAGATGGATTTAATCGTATGGCACACACCTGAACCTCCGATGACCCTCACTGATCTTGCGATAGGATCCTCGCCGGCTCTATGAGCACTGCGTGGAACAGAAGGTGGGCGAGACTCTTACGACCCAACAAGAGATTCTTCACAGACTCTTCGAGCAGATGAATGGTATAGTTTCAGTCTGGGAGGCTCTCGCAGAACAGAACAATATCCTCTCCGATGGTGTCGAGTACCTGCGTAAACCATTCGATCAAGTTGTCCAAGCTTCCTACGACAACACCGTCAATTTTGATCAGCCACTTACCGCTGACGACGTGCCCAAGATAACCCAAAAGACTATCAACAGAGCAGAGAGTGAGGAAGAAGTCTATGGAGCCAAGAATGAGGACGATGATGAGGAGACCCTTGTGCCCAAGAAGAGAAAGCACATAGACGAGAGTAAATGTGCCCTTGAACAAGCCGTTATCCGGCTTTCTTGTTGCCTCTATGGACTCGACGATCGCGTTCAAAGGCGCAAAGTCTTGCTGACATCTAAAGATGCTGTATGAAGGAAGCTCTAAAAGCCAGTTGTTTGTGCCTTTATTGTTTCTGATGTAAAAATCAAATGATCAATATCGTCTCCGTGAATACAAAGACTTCTATTGGCTATCGTCCTTTGCAAGCCGAGAGACTGTAGTGATTGTCTAAAAGTCAAGGTTTTTCAGGACCTGATACATTTCGAAATCATTGTGTTCGGTCATCCCTTGGGGGTGTCGACCTGCTCTCGACGCTAATTCTTTCCAACTGGCGGCCGTTTCTGCATATAGTGCCCATTCATGCTCTGCATTTTTTCTTACTGACCGATGGGATGCTGTAAGAACAGGAGAAGGAAAGGCCGAGGCTAGTGTGTTTTGTATAAGGCTCGTCGACCTACTTAGAACTAAATATGTACCACGTCTTCCTGCTCTAGATCGAGTTGCATATCGGTTGCAACTGTTCATCTCTCTGGACAAGCTCTATAGATCAGATGTGTTTGTGCAACTCTATAGCTCACCTATCACTATCACTCTCCTCTAAGGAGCACATTAAAAAGGTGAGGAAGTGAGGCCCTACTGCGGTGGGCTCACTGGATGCGCCGTGTATGCTTCGAGCAAAGGAGCGGCATCGCCGAGTCGATTCACGATGCAGGCACTAAAGGTCAAGAGATAACATGACTGGATGTAGACGACGTGTTAGAACACAAGCCACAGAGAGAAAGAGTATTGTGCTCAAGTGATTAGCCTGGGATTGGTTACCGTGAAGATTATGAACATTCCACACAAGCGTGGAATGCGTCAGCCATCAGTCACTTCAAACCGACGGGTCGATATATACCCCTGGTATATAAGTACGGCTCACACCATCAGGTGTTTCCGGTGTGATCACTGCGTCGAGTATGCCCGCCTCCTGAGCTCTGCGTAAGCGAGGTTGACAGAATCCGACTCAACAAAGGGAGCTTGAAAATGTGCAGCAAACGGCAGATGATGAAGTGAAGTCGAAACAAGCGCCAACCAGGCAGGCTGACCTACGTTGCCGCCCATGCGGCCTACCGGGCGCCTCTTACCGCCACTGACAGCAACGTACGCGCCGCATTGCTTGTCTCCGTTCCGCCAAGGAGGGCCCAAGGAACGATTGACTGGTCAAAGATAAGGTTGTCGGCGCCGTGTCAATTAATCGTCAAGCCTTGCGTTGACGACTTCTGCATGAAAACGTGTGTAGGTTGCTTCCTTCGAAGGCTCGTTCTTCAGCCCGAACAGGTGGGCGTTTCCAGGCTTGTCATTGGCTTCCGGGAGTCCAACACCTGCAACATGACATCTCGAGACCTGCTGCATGACGAAGAAGACGCATCCTTCGCGCGGCCATACAAACCGTCATGGAGTCTGCCATTCGAATACCGGTACATCGAGATGCGCGCGGTATCATGTATGCTGCGAGCGAAGCAGAAAGAGGAATGTACAGGTGATCCGGACTCGCAGGTCATGCTGAAGAGCCTCTCAGAGCTTCGAACGCCTCAACCGGCAAATGATTCGAATGCTTTCTTGCAAAGCTCTCGGCATCGCATGGCTGATTGATCGATTCTCAAACCCGATCCTCGCGGAATTGGACCACATAAGGATTCAATACTTCCGAATCCTCACCCGTCTGCGACAAAGCATCCCATTCTTCTGCAGCGTCTGCCGTCCTTGCCGGAGGGTTATTGCAATTGGGGAAATCTATTCATGACTCCATGGCAGACGATTCGGCAGCAAGCTTAGCGCAAACACGTGGGCTACTGTTGGGTAAGCTCTCGGACCGTTCCAAGCGGGCACTCTTTACCTCGAACAGACAGTTCACGCTCCGGCCAGGAAAGTGCTTGTCTGAGCATGTCGCTGTTATTCTGAGTCTGCGACATTCGAGATGAAGTGTGGAACTGCAATGAGGTGAATATCAATCTCGCAATTGATCAAGCCGAGCAGGAAGGATGTCACTCAAGCCTCAGGGTTTGGCCTGCCGGGCACCAGCTCGTTTCCCCTCAATCTCACTAGGGAGGCCCCGGAAACATCGTATATTAGGCGGAGCAGACCGAGCGTTCGTCCTCCATGTATTCGTCTGTTCGCAGTGACATACGTCTAGGGTGTAGAACGACGTTGTAGAGAGGAATATGGACGCTTGAAACAGCACGACCCGGAAGCCGAAATTCGCAGCACACAAAAGTGCCAACATCAAGGAGATCCATCCGTATCGATAGAGGTTGTCACTGCTCGTCTGTCTGGATGCAAAAAAAAAAGTAGGGATGATGTCTCCAGACGAAAGATCGGCACGCCACCCCACATGCAGGGCCGAGAGGTCTTACCGCAGGCCTGGAAGCCATCCCGACCAAGGACTCGAGCACGTTGTCGGCACAACGTCTTCTCATTGGCTGACCACAACCTCTGTCTTCAACCTCAAAAACCAACCTTCTCAACTCACCTGGCTGTTGAGGCTTGCGGATGGCGCGGCGGTCGTTCTTACTTTCGTCATATGCAAAGCTTTCTGGCGTCAATAGCAAACGCTTGTCTGTATCAGAATCCTTCTCGAAAAAAAGCAGTCGAANNAACGAGCTCTGGTTGCTGAGAGAGAACATGTCGGAGTTTGGCGGTCGCGAAAGGCCGACATGGATTTGCNAGCGCAAAACTGACCTCGATTTGCACTTGTCCGTTAGAATTCAACGCGATTGCCCCACGGCCCCCATTTTCGTATGGTCGCTGAGCTGTTTGGCGCTTGTTCGGCCCACCAGACAGGCGCTTTGGGCAGCTGAAGTTGGCAAGTGCTCGCGTGCCCGCCAGTGGTACGNNTGGTAGGCGAGCGTTCTGGCACAGAGAANNGAAAAATTGGAGCTCGGGTTGAGGGTGCTTGGACTTCACCCGCGGCCTGACATGTATGAGCTGGTTTNNTCCTACAAATGTAGATCGCCGCCGTGCTCTCTCTTTTCCTCCCGACCACTCACGTTCCGTTGTGTTGCACGTTCTCCTCGAGGTTCCGTCTATCCCGGTACCTCAGTCGTTCCCTGCCCACCTCTCTTTCCTTGAAATACGGCATCGTGCATCCTACTCCAGTCGATTCTTCCACAAGCACCTCGTGCAGCCAGCGGCCCGGCTATAACCTCGTAGGCTTCTCAAAAGAAACTCCCTCCGCCTGCACATCCGTCATCGCTCGCCATCTTCTAGCTCAAAGCATATCTTTTTAAGGGAAGCTCTTGACGCTTCGTCCTACTTCGACACCGCACATCACACAACTGCAGTCCTACAGTTCCAGGACAACGACAATATGTCCTCATTACGCGACTACGGTCTCGCGGCCCCTCATGGGCCCAACATGGACAGCCACCACGTCGCGACCGAGCAGCTCTACGCCATGAGCCAGAACGAACAGGGCGTCTTCCAGACCATCCTCAAGCCCGACGACAGTTACGACGAGAATGGCACATACTGGGCTGACATGCCCATCATGAAGAGAATTGCCTTTGTCAACAAGGTCAACAACGCCGAGACTAAGAAGGAGGTCAGCGCCACGTGGGCCATGATCAAGAAGGATCCTCTCAGCCCCATCGGTTACTACATGCGCAACATGGTCATTCCCGGTATGGGTCTGCTCCTCGAAGGTTACGTCCTCTTCTCCATCGGCAACATCAAGCCTCTGCTCCAAGCTGCTTTCCCCCTCTGCTGGAAGAAGGAAACCATCTGCAACGGCACTTGGATTGCTGCTCTCGATTACCTCGAGATTGTTGGTATCATTGTTGGTCAAATTCTCGTCGGTATCATTGGTGACTGGCTCGGTCGTCGCTGGGGTCTGATCCAAGATGCCACCATCATGTTTGTCGGTCTTCTCATGCTCACTGCCTCCTGGGGTGTTACCCAGAACGGCTGGGTTATTTGCTATGTCTGGTCCCTCTTCTTCTACGGTGTCGGTGTTGGTGGTGAATACCCCATGACCGCTACCTCAGGTATGGAGAACGCTGTCGGCTCTGGAAAGGTTTCGACCAAGGAGGATCGTCTCCACCGCGGCCGCAAGGTCACCTCGGCTTTCCTGATGCAAGGTTGGGGCCAGTTCCTCAACCAGGTTATTCTGATCATTCTTTTGCTCATCTTCCACGGTTCTGGCAACCCTCCCTACGGCAAGACCTCCACCCAGTGGACTTACCGTGTCTCGTTCGCCATCCCCGCCGTTGGAACCCTCTGGCTCGTCTATTTCCGTACCTACAAGATGCGCTCGGCCTCCAAGGTTCTCGCTGCCGCCAAGAAAAAGTCCAACGTCACTGGTTACGACACTCAGTCTCTGAAGCTTACTCTCACCCACTTCGGTCCCCGTCTCATCGCAACTGCTGGTGCCTGGTTCGCCAACGACGTCTTCTTCTACGGTAACAAGCTCTTCCAAGCCGAGTTCATCTCTGTCCTGCTTCCTGGCAACAAGTCCGTCATGGTCGGCTGGCTCTACAACTTGGTCAACGTCGGTGTCTCGCTCTGCGGTTACTACCTCGCCTCTTTCTTGATTGACAACAAGCTCTATGGCCGCAAGTGGATGCAGATCGTTGGTTTCCTGCTCGACTTCATCCTCTTCGTTGTTCCCGCCTTCAACTTCGAGTACTACACCAGCAAGTCTGGAGTCCACTCCTTCCAGGCCATGTACTTCTTGTCCTCGTTCTTCAACCAGTTCGGTCCCAACTCGGTCTCTTTCCTTGTTGCTGCCGAGGTCTTCCCTACCCCTATTCGTGCTACCGCTCACGGTTTCAGTGCCGCGGTTGGAAAGCTCGGTGCTCTTCTCGCCGCTGTCCTCTACAACTACATTGATACCCAGACCAAGTTTTACGTCGTCCCCTGGTTCGGTCTTGGTGGTGCCATTGTTACCTGGCTCTTCCTCCCCGACACCACCGGTCTCGATCTCAAGGAGCAGGAGCGTCGCTGGGCATTCATTCGTGTCGGTAAGGGTGACGAATACCACGGTGTCGCCATCCACCCCAAGCACCTTTCCGTGTGGGAGCGCTTCCGTGGTATCGGCAAGAACTACGACGCCGAGCTCGACTACCAGCAGCGCGTCGAGGAGATGCGTCACGAGTGGGAACAGACCATGGCTTCCAAGATTGCCGAAAAAGAGAACAACATGGATCCTGATGTCATGGACGATGAGGACTGGCACAGCGACATTTCCAGCTTCTTCGCTCGCACCAAGAACGGCCCTCGTGGTGCCAAGTCTCCTCTTATCACTCCCATGGGCAACAACGGTGGTAACAACAGCGCTTTGCCTTCACCCATGATCCGTGGTATGAACGGCATGCCCAGTCCCATGATGCGCGGCCAAGTCAAAGAAGAAGACGAGTCAGATGAGGCCTTGAACGAGAAGAGATGATAAACTCGTCTTTCTTCCTCGTCTTTCCTCTCTTTCCTTTTTCTTGGCTTTGACGATTTAGCGACACGTGTTTGGGAGGACCACAACCATAAAATTGGGCTGGGAGGCGTTTTTGTTCTTTTTACCATTTACTAGATACCTCTCTCCTGGCTTGTTTTCTTTTTTTTAATAGGAGATTGAGACAACGGAATTACGATTTGTAGTTTTACCTTTACGAAACTTATAGACGAGTACAAACACTTTTCTTCATTTCAAACATGTTCATCGGTTTTGCCGTGCCTGTCGTTCTCGCGAAGGAGGGATTTGAGAAAGATGTGATCCTTGATGTGACTCTTGATAAAGTTTTGGAGCATGTCATGGTATGGAAGTTTTCGATGTGACTCTATGCCATCAACAAGCTTGTTCAAGCCCATCAACAGAAAGCAACATTAAGTCCGCAACAAGCTCCTGTGGTCACTTCAATACTTCAACATGCTCAGGGAGGTGCAGCTTAGGGTGCTCCACTAGATCTCCCTAAAGCAGAGCCGGCACAGGTCGAAGTAAAGCGTGTGCAAGAGCGTCCTGCAGAGACTGTGTTGGATACTTCTGTCGTCACAGCATCTCTAGATCTGCCAGCTCCTCCTGCACTAATCGTGGCTAGTAGGCAGGAAGTCTCACATAAAGTCCAGGGAGTGGACAATACTACCCCTGGCAATACCTCATCGGCTCAACTCATCTACGCAAACTGGGAAGCACAACTCACAGAACTTAAGAACAAATGGCTCCACCAAATGAAAGACGACTTTCAAAACATCTTAGGTCTCTTTGAGCCCCTCCAAAACCAAACTTCCAATAACAACAACCGCCTAGACTTTGATCTCGACTACCAACAATGGGAAACAGCTTACTGAAAAGAGAATGGTCAATCTCAACTAGACTTTCCCNAAGACACCATCACATCGAAGGAAGCCCAAGATGCACTGAAGAAGTTGCAAGCTGAGAAGACCGCAAAAAAACAAATGTATAATGCTTTGCAAATGTATACTCTTGCAGAGGCTTCGTTTTTGGAGGATACTCGAGCTATGTTTGCGGACTTTGGATCGCGTACGTTGGCGTTGCATGAGGGGGTTGTGTAGAATGAGGCTGCGCTGGAGGAACGTGTTGATAGATTCATGGATGCTTGAGAAATCTGATATGATGCCTAGGTTGTGGTCAAGTTCATGGTGGTCTTGACTGATTATACAGAGGTAGCTCTCTATACGCTCCCAGAGAAGAAGAGTTTGTCATCAAGAAGGTTGGTTGAAAAATTGGTTGGAAACATTCTAGCCACCCAGACATGGACATGCCAAAGAGACCATCTATGATACTTCATATGTCATCAACAAAGGCATGACACCTAGCTTCTGATCACGTTTTCCACCAGTTTGGCTGCTCTCAAGACGTCCTCATCGTGGTAGTGCTTGCCCGCAAGCTGGAGAGTGATTGGAACACCGTCAAACAGCTCTGGATCATCTGCGGGATCATGTTAGCAGTGCTTTTTGCAATCAGCCTGATTCAGACTTACANNAGCTTCATATTCGGCCTTGTCTTTCTCATTGAGAGGAGAGTACCCTTCCTCTACTACATCTACATTCTTGTCTACAGCCATACCAGTGGGGAATACCACAGCTGGTTGGTCAAGAATGTTCCAAAGACTGGTATAGCCCCAGTACTTTGCGCCGTGTTGCTTGACACCCGCACCCACATATGCAGGACACAAGATGACATCGACACCCTTCTCCTTCATCAGAGCATGATACTCACGTCTATATGTTTCACGCATAACGTTGAGATCCCAATTCTCAGAGATAGAGATTGCTTTGGAATAGTTCAAGGCATGGCGTGTGAGTGGTAGCATGGGTTCGCCAGAAGCCGCGAGAGCCTCTTCGATGCGTCTGCCGCCGTCAGGGAAGTATAAAGCTGAAACAATATCCCAAGCATGGTCGTGCTTGTAGTTATCCCAGCTAACAGCTTTGACTCCAGCAGCTTGCAGCTTGGATTTTGCGGTCTCGAGTGCGCGGATGATAGGAGGGTGCGGCTTGACTACACCGTCAGTCATCATGATGCCGACGGTGATGTCTTTAGGTGTATCCAGTTCTCCTCTCCATGGCAAGGGAATCAAAGTAGTATCAATATCCTGAGGATCTTGGTCGATCAATGCCTTTTGAAATAGCCAAAGATCATCGATGCTCTGACCCAATGGACCGATGACTCCTTTGATACTCTCCTGTCCGCCAAGCACGCTATGAAGACCCAGAGTAGGATTGCGCAGGGTCGTAGGTCGAAGTCCATAAGAGTTGTTGAACGCAGCGGGTGCACGAATACTGCCACCAATATCTGTTCCAACACCAAGAACAGCACACTTGAATCCCATTGATGCTCCTTCTCCACCTGATGAGCCACCAGGGGACAGCTTGAGATGGTAGGGATTTAGGGTTGTGCCAGTGATGTTGTTCTCACAATCCAGGTGCATTAAAGATTGTGGTTGATTGGTTCGTACTGTAAAGACCGCACCTGCCTTTTTGAGTAGCTGAACAAGTAGTGCATCTTGCTTGGCTACGTTATCAATCTCGCTCACGAAACCAGCGTGAGTAATCCTGCCACCATACGAGACATGCTCTTTGACGCTGATGGGAACACCATGAAGCGGACCGAAGAGCTTGCCTGTGGATTGAAAATGCTTGTCAAGAACTTTGGCTGTTTCCAGCGCCTCATCTGTGAGAAACTCAGTAGCAAAGTTGAGCNNTGTGTTCGATGTTAGACCGCTGCCTCTCTACAGTGCTGAGTTAACTAGTGAACTTACGAGTTGTTGCCCAATCGTTGCTCGTTTCAGAAATGCGATAGTAACATCCTCCACTTTCCATGCACCAGACTGATATTTGCTCAAAAGTCCAACAGCAGTTTGTTCAGTCATGTGAAGCTCTTCAGCGGAAAGGATTCCACATGTGTAGGGAATGTTGGTGACATTGAGCTGCTGCTTTGTCGGAAGCTTATCTGCAGAGAGAAGCCATTGCTTGGAGATAGAGTTCTCAAGAACATCACGACAGACTTGAGTCTTTCTTTCCCAATCTTTCGCTGCGGGCATGCTGTGTGGTGTCTGATTTGATAGAAAGCTAACCACTGAACGGACTCGAAAATGGGTTGTTAGAGAAGAAAAAGGGAGAGGAAAGGTATTTGACCACCAGTACTGCACTATCAAGGCAGGATGTCCATATCAGACAAGTTGATGCGAACAATTCGCCTGATAAACTCTGCTCCACTCGACCCCCGAGGCATATCTTTGGTTACTGTCCCATGATAGGCCTTTGCACGGGCAACTTTGCAACAGCATATCAGTTGATAACGAGAAGATAAGAGAGTAGATCAAATGGAGGAGAGGGGGCGGAGGTTGAAGAATGAGTGGGCCCGAGTCTTGGCGTGGACCTTTCGCTTTTTGCGGCGGCATTTCACCAGGAAGGAGCCACCTGGAGCCTTCGTCCTTGGTCCACTCTGCTTGCACCAATGACCACAGGGTGAGCGAATCAGTAACATCGTGTAGGGACGGGTGCTATCAGATGTCTGTTACATCGGTATCTCTTGGCAGCTGAATGTCTCGAGTAGGCCTATCTTCTCCAAGAAGAGAAGATAAACGCATTGAGATACGATAGGCATTCACGCATGTAGGTCGTAGCTAGGTCGTTCTTGCCATATGAGGGAGTCGTCGGTCTTCTCAAATTCCTCTCTTCTTGTTGCTTGGTTTCCATACATCAAGATGTATGATAACATTCACGACGACAACATTGCACCCGGTACTGTCAGGCTCATCGACGCCGAAGGAGAACTCAATGTCAAGCATTCTGAGGGTCATGGAGATATCATCCTCGTCCCAACACCGTCCGGTCAATACATTCTTCTATGACTTCATCTATCAATGACTTACCTTTATTTAGAGGACGTTGAAGATCCCCTCAACTGGACAAAGAAGCGCAAGCTGTTGCACACTGCCTGTATGGTCATGTATACGGTGATGATGGTGTTTCCCAGCGCCGCTGTTTATTCGGTCGCGAAGCCAATTTCGACCTCTACTGGCATCTCCATCACAACGATCAACAGAGGCACCGGTGTCATGTTTCTTTTATACGGATGGTCAACCATCTTTTGGCAAGCAATTGCGTTACAGTATGGTAAGCGACCGGTGTACTTGATCTCATCGGCCGCCTCTGTCGTTGTGATGGCCGTGGCACCATTATGCCGTAGTTCTGGGACATATCTGGCAATCAGAATCCTACAGGTGTCTCGCCCTCTTCACTGCAAAGAAGAAACGTTGTACTGACCATCTAAGGGATTTTTTGGAGGGCCGGTCGAGAGTCTTTGTGAGATTAGCATGACAGACATTGTAAGTGTGGTTGACATCATGATCGCACGAAAAAGCCATGATTAACAAGCTATACTAGNNTGGTTTGCTCATGAACGACCCCTATACATCGCATTATACGGTGTGTCGCTAGGCGCATCTGGCAAACTAGCCCCAGTGTTCAGTGCATTTATCAACAGTGGAATGGGATGGGAATGGACCTTGGTCAGTGCCTGCCTGTATTATTTCTCTTGCTACACAACGCTGACGATACACATACAGTGGTGGTGTGCTATAGGTATCGGAATCGCGTTCATTTTTTGTTTCTTGCTCATGGAAGAGACAAATTACGATAGGCGCACGACGCAGTCATCATTGCCCAGCTCACAGGCTAGCCTCGAGATTGCCAGCGAGCCTGGCCTCGTCTCAGAGAAAGTCACTGCCAAGGATGGTGTTCAATCGGGTGAGCCTATCTCTACAGATAACAAGCAACTCTACGAAGACCAGCACTCTATGGACGTGGCAGCTGCAGAGTTGGGACAAGTCACATATCCTCGAAAAACATACTGGCAAAAACTAAGCGTCATCGACAAAAAGCGACCAAACCGCATCTTGGATATCATGTGGGCGCCGTTCAAATTCTTCACCTTCCCAGTGGTCGTCTGGGCAGGCTTTCAGTACGGACTACAGGGACTAGTGTATCCAGGGATCCTGAACGCCACAGCCAGCGTCACCTACACCAATAGCCACTATCACTTCTCCAGTGATGCGGTTGGGTTTGCGTACTTTGCAGCCGTTGTGGGCATGATTTTAGGGTCACTCTGGGTGACGCTCGCAGGTCCAAGGCTGGTCATCAGGCTGGCTCGCCGTAGAGGCGGTATCTCTGAGCCCGAAGACATTCTGTGGCTCTTTTTAGCGTCAGCCGTCGTTGTGCCGTTCGCCCTGATTTTATGGGGAGTCGGGAGCAATCACCGTGTGCACTGGTCTGGCCTAGTAATTGCTCAAGCCAGTCTAGCCATCTCCAGTACACTCTGCTTATCCACGGCTATCCAATATGCGACAAGCGCCTATAGAGATCTGAGTGGCGAACTAATCACAACCATCATCCTTATAAGAAATACTTTGAGGTAGGTACTCCCTGTTTGACACATGCCGATAGGAGGCTAACATTAGCTCANNAGTTTTGCCATCAACTACGGTATCAACCCGTGGATCGACGCTATGGGCACACAAAATACGTTTATCACGGCTGCGGTGATAGCTTTCGTTTTAAACAGTACCATGTTTCTTGTTATTCCCTTCGGGCGTCGATTACGGGAACATAGCGCAAGAAGATACTGGACATATGTTGAGAAGGCGAGGGCTAAAGGGCTGGGCCATTAGGAATTGCGCAACTCAGTCGTACTTGTACTATCCGATGATCTCCTCGAGCTCATTCAACCGAGTAGAGTCTGTAGCGTCTTTGTTTATTCTTGTCGACCACTTCGACTCTTGAAGTGGTCGGTATACTAATCATTCACTCCCGACGTCGGACAATAAACACCAGAACATGTGCAGATAGCGGCACAGAATGCATCACTGTGGAGCCACCTCCGCAGGTGTTTGCAGAGAGGCATGCCAACAGATCCAGTTCCTTGGTGAGGTAAGGTTTGCCGAGGTGTTCGCAAGGGGAACGTTGACGGAGTTCGATTCCAAGACGATCAGCGCCAACAGCTCTCCCCACGAGCTGCAAGCTTGAAGCTGTGTGACACCAATGCGCCATCTGCCTTTTTCTTCTCTATCTGACGCCACCAGATACCAGAGTACCCACTGCCCCGTCGGAATTGGGCAACTCTTGAGGAATTTCGATTTGTCACGCACCATGACAGTCGCAGCAGCAAATTGCTGTGGAGCAAAAAAGAACAAAGGATATCATATGCTGACGAAGACAGCTGGTTGATCCTTCTAGAGACCCCTCATTGTCAGCCACACTTGACACGAACCCTAACGAGCTAGTGAGACTACGCTAGGCATTGGGGGCTGTCTCAACGCCTCGATACCTATAAGAAGAGTTTCATGGATCCCTCTGAGGCGCGCTGCCGTTGATCTATTTTGCTATCTTTTCAAAGTCCCTCAACTGTTCTAACATACTACCGTCTTCATCAACAGGTACGGTCCTTTTCCAAGGTTATTACATATCAGACATAAAGACGCTCAATCCCCATGTCAGGCTTGAACAACAAGCAACCATGCATATCGATCAGATCATGTTTGGAACTGTCAAAAGCTCGAAACCTACCGTCGTCTTCGTGACCGGAGCCTGGCACAAACCTCATCTCTATGCAAGCCTTCTCGAAAGTCTCCGAAAGAACAGTTTCCCTGTTGTAGCACCCTGCCTCCCTTCTGTCGGTGGGGTTTGCGACAGCTTCTACGACGACGTGAACGTGGTCCGCAAAATCATTGCCGACGAGATATCTCAAGGTCATGAGATCGTGGTGCTCATGCACTCATACGGCGGCATGGTCGGCAGCGCAGCAGTCCAAGGGTACTCGAAGCAAGAAGTGCCCAGGGGTGGTGGCGTGATACGGATGATATACATGGCAGCGTTTGCGCTGGAAGCAGGAGTCAGCCTCATGAATGCACTGAACGACACACCATTGCCCTGGTGGCGATCGGCAAACGAGAAACAATGGCAAGCCGCCAACTCTAGCTACATTCTTTACAACGACGTAGATGCCAGCCTGGCAGAGGCATGCGCTGCACAGCTGGATCTGCAAGCAAAAGGATGTTTTGAGAGCAAGCAGACGTATGCTGCGTGGAAGTACATCGATTCGACGTACATCGTCTGCTCACGCGACAATGCGATTCCGAAGCAGGCGCAGGTGGCCATGGCGAGTCAGCCCGGAGGCAGATTCACAATCGAGTATCTGGATGCTGGGCATAGTCCGTTCTTGTCGGTGCTGCACCAGACAGTGGAGATGATCCGAAAGACCATCTGGGAACCGATGTGATGAGTTAGTGGTTAGTCGCGGCGTCTGCGGTATGTGAAGGGTATATTTATAATGTCGATAATGGCAAAGACACGCCCAAAAGCGCCGACATGACGATGACTATGTGTGAATACTGAGCTCTTGAACTTCCGAATCAGGATATAGAGGCAATGGCTGAATGTCAAGAGTGGTTGGAAAGAAGTTGAGCTTCGGGCGAGTCGCGGGAAGTGACGGTGGGAGATCGGGAAGTGGGCTAAGATTGTGGTGGAGAAGCAGCAAGAAGGGCAAGCACATGTCCGGGCGACCGGACTGCACTTCGGACATGGTCTATTGCAATCCACTGATCCTCGGGCAGACAGAATAATTCCAGGGGCCTTAAGCTGCAGGTCGTTCCTTCCCTAGAATCCTACAGAAATCTTTGCTTCCTGCCTCGAATCTTCGCACACCCAAGCAAACCATGTCGACCAGCATCATCACCCCTCCAGAGCCACGGACCTTGTTCCCACCACTTCTGGCATGTCTTCCCACGGCCTTCATGTCGCCGCGACCTCCGCCGGCCCTGCTTCCTCTCCTCTCGCCCATCCTACGTCAACGAGTCAACCTCCTCGCTGGCAACACCTCCTCAGGCCAAGGCGGCTGGTTGAATCTACTTTCCTGGTCGTCCTCTCGCTCCTCGAAACTCGGCGGTAAAGTCGAGAACCTGCAACTAGAAGCCCACCCCGTATCCGGCGAGCTCGAGCTCGAAGACATCGACAAGATCAGCTACCGAAGGGTTGACGAGGAAACACTGCAGTCATGCTTGCAGGTCGAAGAGTTTGGACTATTGCCAGTATACGTCTGGTGCGAGAACGATGCAGAAGGCGGTCAAGTAGGCGGCACAACAGGGTGGAGACTAGCTGAGCTGCGCGCTCTCGAGGACCTCAGCGACGACGTTGCACAATGGACCAACTCCATCGCGGCTGCCAACGACGTCTTCGAGAGCCAGTCTCACCCCAACGCTCCTGCCACAACCATCCCTCAACAAGCGACAGCAGAAGACGATGACGACGACGATGATTACTGGGCCAGCTACGACCGAACACCCAACAACAGGACTCCCGCCCGCACACCTGCCAAACGCGCTAGTCCCGCTCCTGGCACTGGCCCTTCAAACCTCGCGCCCACAAACGACGAACTCGAGTACTTTGCCCGCTACGCCGCCGAAGTGCAACCCGCCCTCGACGACCACGATCCCGATGAAGAGCACCCAGAGACCGCAGACTCGACCCTGCGCGGCGGCGAGCTCAGCACAAAACAAGCGGGAGAGCCAAACACAAACCCTGCACCTCCAATGTACGCTGCCGAAAACAATGAATTCAACCACACACTTCAAGCACAAAAACAAGAGTTGGAAGCACCGAGGCCTACATCTCCAGGTAGCAGTGTTGATGTCCTTGAACGTGGTGCTGAGGATATGACAAGAGCAGAGGTTGGCGTGAAACAATTCATCAGCACGGAGATGAAGAGCATGTTTCGTCTCGCCAGAAGCGTGGGTATGGGGAGAGAAGAATTCGAAAGGATCATCAAGACCGAGCTTGACGTCTTGACCATGCTCGAAGCTGACGACTGAGAGGCACCTATCGTTTGTTCATAGCGGGAGTTTTTTTTTTTTTTTAGATAGGGGGCATACATGATATCAGCATCGGCGGTCGTGAAACGTCGTGTACAAGTTCTTTTCTTCTATTCTTTTGTAGGATACCAATTTCTCATAGACCTTTTCTCCCTATCCTCCCTAGTCCTTCGCTTATATCAACAATCTAACTTCTACTACTTTCCTACAGCCATGAAGTACTCTGCCATCATCAATCCAACGAAAACGACAACCTTCACACCCACTTGTCTGCTCCAAACGCATTCACCTCTGCCAACTGCACTTTTCCGTCTCTCTTGACCACGATATCGAATGTAAAGCCCCGTATCTCAAGCATCTCCAGAACATCATCCTGCTCAGCAGCAACCGCAAAAATATTGTCGGCAGCACAAACAGCACTCTCAACAGTCTCCCTAGGCTGAAAACTTCCCACAGGAAACCCTAAGAGAGAAGGAGTAGATGTTGCGAGGTGGTGCTGTCAGAGGTGTGTCCGGTCGTACAGTCTCGCGTATAGAAGCTATCTCTTCAACGGTAGCGGCCACGGAATTGTATCTTGTAGGTGAGCTGTCAAGATCTAGAGTTGAGGCAGGCAATATCGTGATGTTTAGGTCATCAAGGCAGTAGACTGTGAGTGATGGATTCATTTCGTGATATGGAGATGGCTCAAGGATCTTTGCTAGAATGCTAGTTCCAGGAATCGGAAGAGATGAAACAGCCAATACCAGCAAACAAGAATGAAGACATAAGAAGATGGTATCTGGATCCTTTGTCGATACCGCCGTGGCTTCAGATCATCGAACGTCACTCGCAATGAAAGTGACTCATCTTAGAACTAACTCGCCATCATAAGAGAACGTGCTATCCACGTAATGAAGAAAAACAAGAATCCTTACATTCTCTTTCTGCTACTGATACAAAACATACTGCTCGAAAGTCGTATGTTGTCTATGACATTTGATCGCAGGAGACACATGTCGAATGAACGGACGGGAACCTGTTCGAAAGAGTATGGAACTATTAAAGGCATCTGCCGTTATGTGAAAAACAGAGGGGTATTGGAAGGTCATGAGTATCGTGTTTGAGAGTGTTAGCAAAGCATCATACAGATGCGTCTGATATAGGAGTGTCATGCTTGCTAGAGCGGTTCGACGATTTTTCAGCAGTCTGAGCACCATTGCGAGTAATAACGCGATTGATCAGAACGCCAGGATGCAGGATGTTGAAGGCGATGACAAGGGCGGCCATGGGTGCACCATCGAGGGCGATGAAGTATCTCTCGGTCTCGATGACATGTCCGGTCCAACCGCCAGCAAGTTCGACTGTACGGTAGATACTTCTCATGATGATAAGAAGAATGGAGAATGAGGTGACGAGGACGAGTAGCTTCATGTTCTTGTCGTTCTTGAAAGCAGGAAGGCTGAGCTTGGCGGATGCTCTGTAGAGAAAGAGGAAGAAGAGAACGCTGAAGATGACAACCGAAACCAGCTGGAAATCGATACCAGCAACCATGATGTTGGTGCCGACCTTGGTGTTCCCAATGGGTTCAGAGTTGAAGGCTACAGCTGCGCTACCTCCGCCGACGGCTTGGATGACAAGGGAGATGACATCGACAGTACAGAAGATCCAGAGATACCATTTAGGTCCGATGGGTGAAACTCCAGGCCCAGCAATGGCGATCATACGTCCAAGGATAACATAGATTCCAGCAGTGAAGAAAGTGGGTGCTGTTCAGATCAGCACAGCTTCAACTCGCTTGTAGCATGATTGTGATGGCCTACCAATGATCAATGTGCAGATCTGCATCAGGAAGGCGTTCGCATTATAGGGGCATTCATTTGACCAGGTTCGGGCAGCCCAGCCCAGTACCTCANNGCTTCAAGTGGTTAGCAGACTGAAGTATAGTGAACGACAGAGGGTCAAATCTGACGTACTGAGACAACCGACGGCAAAGACCAGGTTCCACAGCGCTCTTGTTTTGATGGCCTGGAAGGTATGCGCAATCATCGACAAGCCAAAGAGGACGCAATAGACAATGCCAGCAGCCAGCGAAGGCACATATCCATATGCTGTTCTTTGCGATGGGTTGTAGGCCACGCAGCCAGTCGAGCCTATGGCCATGACAGCGGTGTGCTCAGTCGAATCTCTTTGTGTGCAGGGAGCCGATGGATCCGGTGAAGGCGAGCGATGTAAAGAGAGGGTGTACACAAGATGCTGTGATAGCAATGGTGATGTGAATGTGGAAGACGAAGAGTGAAAGCAGCGCCTAAACTACATTTGCCATGGCACTTGCCTGCTTTCTATATTTTAGAGCCATGCCCGTATTGCTGTAATTATTGCACCCTCCCGAAATTCATGGCATCGAAAACGGGTGACGATTGCTATGCCGTGCCCGCACCATGCCGGCGGAACATTCGAAAAATGGCATCGCTTGCGAGAAAACTAGGCCAGATTGGTGATTAGCGCTTGTTTTGACACTTGACACTTCTTCGTACATCGTATACTCGCATTCGTGTCTAGCATCTACAAATTTGGATCTTGTTGTACTCGCACACCGCCATGGGCTAACAAGTGTTTGCATGACTTGAGCGTTCTGCACTGCCTGTACGAGGACCAGCATTACGCAAAGCCTGTGTTCAAACCTCAGCAGAGTAAAAGTACTTCACGGCCCAAAGTCTAGTAAGATCAATCCTTCGACATTCATCTGCTCCACTCGGGATGAAACCCGTCCGACGAAGAATACATCTACCGCCACGAAGCTCAGCCTTGGAGAACAAGGTGACAATGCGACAGGCTGATGCGATGCGGAGCGTGTTTGTCTTATCCCCGCCCGTTACGCTTTGTGGAATACCCCATGTTGAGCGTGTGAAGATGTACAATATTATTGTTGGTCACTAATTACAGCGAGACTAATCGTCTCTCTTTTCGACGCCCATCTCCTTCCTAAGCTTTATGATAGCGTCACGAATCATGTCAGATTCTTTCTGGACACGCTTCAACTCTTCAAGATCCTTCTTGATCTGCGAATGAGGATCGTCGACCACTTTGCCAGTGGTCATGTCGATGGCGCCGAGTCCCGGGTCACGCAGAGCATCAGCTGCTTGTTGAGAGAGCATGTCCATCTCTGCACGAGCGACTTCGTTCTCGTGGTCAAAGTCGTCGAGCAGGCGGCGAGCGTGTTGAGGCTTTGATTGGTTGTCGGGCTTTTGAGGCAACCATTGTTGGCCGTTCGCCAGAGCCTTTAGCTGCAGCCTTGTCTTTTGTGAGTCGGCAATGCACCAATCGAGTCGTGAAATTTCCAGGTAGGTCTGAGTGTGCAGGTGACCCATGAGTTCGGCATTGACGCGACGCTGCTCCCTCTCCCAATCATCCTTGTCGGTGAGATACAGTTCGTTTTGCTTGGAAGCAAGCTCATAAAACAACATGGATGCTTCTTCAGCCAGACGAGAACGCCTCTCCTTCAACTTCTGGATGTGCGACTCAATCTGTTGGACACCATCATGACCCGGCTGCCACTTGTAATTTGGTTCCGGGAAAAAGACACGCTCTCCTTCGCGCATCTCACTGAAGTGTGGTTGCGGGTCTTGTTCATCGACGTCCTCCTCTTGAGCAGCCTCAGCGGCCTGTGCGGCGGCGGCGTGCATTTCCTTCACCATGGCGTTGTGGGCGCCGCCAACGTTCTTGAGCATATCAGCCATGGAAGTCATTCCAGGCTGTTGTTGTACGGCATCGGGGCTGAGACCAGCGTCTTGGATAGCCTTGTTCTCGATAAAGCGCTTGACATCCTCCCTCCACATGTTGCGTTGGGTCTGTTGTCTCGCGATGGTCTCGGCGAGGGTGGCAGAGGTGTTGAAATGGTAGACCTGGTTGAAGGATGCGCCAGCGAAGGCACCACAACTGAAGGCACCGAGCCAGCGCTGCCAGCCGGTGATGCCCCATGGTTTGCGTACAGAGGCAGCACAGCCGAGACCTATGAGCCCACCAGCAACAATGTAGTTGTCGGCATCGATGCTGAAGGGGCGGTCGATAATCTTGGACTTGGGAATTTCGAGTCCTTTGCTCTCAAGGTAAGGTCTGGCAATGAGGTGGCCGGCGTAGCGTTCGATGCCGACAGAGGGAATACCAAAGAGGACGGTGGTCCAGGCAGCGGTCTTGAGGCCTTGAGCAGGCGAGCGCTTTGTGAGTAAAGCGAGACCAGCGGCAAGGGCACCGGCGCCACCAGCCCAGAAGGGGGCTTTGGTCAAGGCAGACTCATTGAAAGGGGCGGGTCTGCTGGGGTAGGCGGGATGGATCCCTTCCCAGTTGGGCGGTAGAATTCTCATGGGTTATGCTGAGACATGGAGTCCTTGTCGACAAACACCCATTCGAGAGAGACAGCATTTCGGCAATGATGGAATCGTTTTGCGCACTGACGCCCTTCGCGTGGAGACGATGCCAAGCTCTGTCTCTCGATTAGCAGCACGTGGACTGATTCATTGATTGCTATGTGCTACAGATATTGGTTCGTGGAAGAGTCTTGAATGAGACGTAGATATGCTTCGCTCATTTGAGGCTGACTCAAACATCTGACACTCTGCTCTTTCCACAGCTGCTCAGATACGCTGGACAGAAGCTGCAGCGTTTCGGGAAGGCGCTACCGAGCGTTCCTGCCCGGTCGGCTAGATCCGAGATATAGATCTGTCGCGTCTTCAAGCTGCCCGTCTTGTCGCATCCTTCAAAAAAGCTACCGAGTACCTCGACGTCCCCATCTTCACAACAACTCGTGGCGAATCGCAGTCATGTCAGGAGACAGTCACAACCGCGGTCAGAAGCGCAAGCTTGACCAACAAGAAGGAAGAGAATTGCTCGGCATGGGCGCCACTCTGTCACGACTCAATGGCGACAGCGACGCCGACTCGACAAGCCAACCCACACAAGCTGCTAGCGACGATGGCGGAGAGTGGACTACAGTCGATCGCAGTTCCAAGCGCCATAAGAAGAGCATACACCAAAACTACCCGCAGATCACTCATGCCCCGAACGCTCGTCTCCAATCCTTCGTCAAAATCTCCGACTTGCAAAACCTCGTCCTCTATCTCCTTGCCGACGGCAGCGGCCCTCAATGGATCAGCGTAAAGCACAAGAAGGACATTGAGCGTGTCGTGTGCCTGATGGTGCCTGGACTCGAGGCAGACATGTTTAACGCCAACATCAGCCTGGATCCCACTCAAGACACGCCCGCCAAAGCCACCACTCAACACCCAGAGTCCAACGTAGAAGACACACCTCCATCCAAGAAGCTGAAGATCACAATCTCGCCCGACGACTATTACCCGGTCAAACTCGTCTCGCCGAAACTCCCTGCCCCGTTACAGCCTTTCGCCGAGATGTTCCCTCACATCTGGCCCGTCAAGACTCCCGGAGAGTTCAACCGTATGCACTCTCCGCTACAAGCTTTGTTGACATCACCTCTACCCAAGTCAAAAGACGAGAAGAAGATCAAGGGTCCCAAGCCCCCAAGAGAAGGCGCAAGATGGCAGAACCAGAGAACTCCTATCACCGAGTTTTTGGCAACAAGAGAAGAGCTGTTGGACAATGGATACGCCATTCACCCTGCATATCTGCGATCAGATGCCGAGCGTGCAGCTGAAAAGGCAAGGCGTCACAAGCACTGCCAGTCAGAAGAGGATGGCTGGATCAATCTCCCCGACATCTCGTCACTTGACGAAGGCATTGTGCCATCAGAGGAAATCGAGCAGGGCAGCATTCTACAGGGCCGCAATGTCTTGACTGTCGACTGTGAAATGATTTCCACATCAGAAGAGAGATTTGCTCTTGCTCGTGTATCGTTCATAGACTGGGACGGCAACATCGTGCTTGATGAGCTCGTCAAGCCTCCAGGCACCGTGACAGATTACCTAACACAGTACTCGGGCATTACCAAGGAGATGATGGAGCCAGTCACACAGACTCTTGCCGAACTACAAGCAAAACTGAAGGGCGTTCTCACATCTCGCACCATTCTGCTAGGCCACTCTCTCGACTCTGATCTCCGCGCTCTTCGCATGTCCTTCCCATTCATCGTCGACACCACTCTCATATACCCTCATCCCAAAGGTCCTCCTCAGAAATCGTCTCTCAAATGGCTTACTCAGAAATATCTTTCCCGCGAAATCCAGAACCGTGGTCCTCAGGGTCACGATAGTGTTGAGGACGCAAAAGCATGTCTCGACCTTGTCAAGCAAAAATGTGAGAAAGGAAAGACATGGGGTACCTCTGAAGCTACCAGCGAGAGTATCTTCAAACGTCTCGGCCGTGTTGGTGTGGAAGACGACAAAGACGAAGGCGGCATGTTGTCTGAAGAGAAAGAGNGGCAGGCAAAGACTGGCCGCACAGGTGCTGTTGTCGACTGGGGTGACCCGAAGCGCGGGTTCGGTGCCGCCGCCACTTGCACAGTATCTTGCGAGAGTGACGCAGATGTAGTTGCCGGTGTCCAGCGCGTTCTCTCCGGCCCTCAGACTACTGAAGAAGCCAATACCCCCGGCCAGCACATTCCCATCGGTGGCTGCGATTTTGTCTGGGCACGTCTCCGCGAGCTCGAAGCTCTGCGTGGCTGGTGGACCCGCACCACCTCTGCCGATGCAGCCGCCCGTCTCGCCAATACCCTAGCCGACAATAATGCCTCTGAAGGACAAGGAATCACCACCTCTGCTCTCGCCGATGCAGTGACTAGAACCACCGCATCGGTCAAAGCCATCTATGACTCCCTACCACCAAAGACTGCCTTCATCATCTACTCCGGCGGTGGCGATCCCACAGAGATGCGCCGCTTGCAATCCATGCAGCAGCAATACAAACGCGATTTCCAGACCATGAAGTGGGATGAGTTGCCCATCAAGTGGACGGATGTCGAAGAGCAAGAGCTCAAGAAGGCCGCCATGAAGGCTAGATCTGGTGTCGGCTTTGTGGTGTGCAAGTAAACTAGCGGCTGTAGTCGTTGGTTATGAGAGGTCTGTCTACGAGACTGGTGTGTTGATTGCTTCCAGTGTTGAGGGGAAGATGAAGCAAGGCAAGCGTTGTATTGTACATAGCTGATAGGCATGCCGAACGAGACCCTTTATTGCTCTTGTGTCGATATCGACATTTCTATATCAAAGCTCTACGCACTCTTGTGGAACTAGACACTTGTGAATGGATCTACTATAATTGATTACGCTTCCTAACTACAAGGGCGACCCTCTCTAGTATTTACGTAATCTGACGCCCGAACACTTTTGCTTCGATGCACATGGTCACACCCATGATCAGCGTCTCAGCACATCTCAAATCGTGCCAAATGATTTGCAAAAGTGTGGAACAAACATGCTTTGTTGTTGGGTATTGCTGATTCGCAAGCCAAACCAGATGGAAGGATGGGCTGCTGTGCGAGCAGGCAGGAAGACCTCTTGAATGGTACATGGTGGTTACATCACAAAAGCTGCGAATTTGAGAAAAGACGTTCTCGAAGAAGAGGACTATATCGCTTCTGCCCAAAATGGTGACAAGGACGTTTTTTCACGTCTTGGGTAAACTTTTAGCTGATGCCAGCAAAAAAAAAAAGAAGAGAAATAAAACAGTTATGTACAGAATGTAATTGTAGCATGGCATGAACAACGCAGTGTTCATGCGACAACATCAGCTACCGGTGGAACAACAGGAATGGTAACATTCTGAATCTTCCAGATCTTGCCATTGTCGTTTGTGAAAGGGTTTGTGTTGGTGGCATTGTTGGACTGGTAGAGGGTGCTGCCAAAGTTCTTGTCGGCTCCTGAAAGCTTGATGGTGATGTTTTTCCAGTATTGGATATCGGTCGGAGGTGTACATGACTGACACTCTACTGCAGTGTTGACCATTGTCATTGTGGGTGACGTCTTCTGGTACTCGGCGTACAGCGCGCCAGTACGTGCGTTGCGAGCGGTTTGGTACCATAGTCCGGTTTGCTGGTTGATCAGGGTGTAGTTGAAAGTGATTCCGTCCTCGGGGGTGGCGGCTAGCATGCGCTCCTCGCCGACGTATTGGTTCCACTTGTCCAGTTTGGTGTCCCATCCGTAAACCTCTGCTGAAATACACCTGCGATATTCAATCAGTACTTATGTCTGATGTTTAGTTGCAGATTGGTCATACCATAACGAGTCCGCGTTCGCGCCTTTGCATTCGCTCTCGCCACGGCTATATGAGCCGACAATGCCTTGGACAAGATCGCCCGACTCGGTTTCGTTGTTGATCCCAATCCAGTTGTAGAGGCCACCAGCTTGCGTCTTGGGCATGTTACCCGGATAGATTGTAGCGACGACGCCTGTAATCTCGATACCGTCCGCAGTGGGACCAAGTCCAATCAAAGGACCCCAAGTGATTTCGTCCTGCTCAATGCGCTTGGAAAGAAAGCCTTTGGGAGCAGCAGTCGCCAGCGACAGAAGCGACGAGACGGCGAGCAAATTTTTGTACAGCATGGTTGTGGAAGGAATGTATAGAGTCGGTCCAAAAGAGAGTATGATGAGTATGATGAGTATGACAAGAGCAACCAGGCTGGCCAAAGACTATGGTTGGCAATGCCCAAGGCTTTATTGCCAGAGCAAGGAAGGCTGTGTCAAGTCATGACAGGGACGTGCTACCCATCATTTCAGTCAAACATGCGTCAACACACCAGTTGTTGTTAGCCAAGATGTTTCTCGAATGTGTCAGGTTGAGAGATGACAAGAGCCATAGCGCCAAAATCTCCAGGTGTGATCGACAGAGGGCTGCGCCGATAATTCTCCGTATGGACGAAGCCGCGTGTCAACCAATCTTACTCTTGTAGCTATCGTGGTATAGCCATTCGTCATGCTACTTGTTGAATGTTCCCAAGAGGCAAGAGTTGTGGAGCTGAGTCAAGATTGGTCATGGTGAAACGCGAGGAAAAGAGACAACCTTGGCCGCCGAGCCAAACAGATGATTGATGTAAAGGGCGGCGGTTTGGACCAAATGGCCTCAGGCTGCCTCCAGCAAGAGTTGGAAGCTTTATGCAAGACAGCAGTAGACCCGTCGTTGGTCAGAATTATAGCAGGCATGTTTTCGTGATGTGACGTCTTTAGCGAGATTGGTCATGGTTGAAGGGTGGATGGGAAGATCCGACCAAAGCTGGGCCTCTTGATTATAAGAAACGCAGGACTCTCCTTACCGTAGAGTTGCTCTTTGATCTTGATCCCATTTATTCACAGAAGTCGCGTCTGCGGTGAAGAGTTGATGGTCATGGACAAAGTCCTTCGGCCAAAGAGTACAAGAGACGAACCTGGGGCAGAAGACGCGCTAAGAGTTTAAGCCAACTACTTAAACAAGGGGCGCTGTGGGCGGCGTTTTTTGTTCCTTCTTCCGGTCATCGAGTTTCTACCGAGAACGCGTGTCAAGAGACATCTTTACAAACTCGATTATGCATATGTCAGGCATTACTCGTTGATAACATGAGTTTTCATAGAAGCCTTTTGCCCGTGGGGATTCATCACCTAAATCTTGCATCTTGAATCCTGAATCTTGAATCTCGCCGAGAGTGATGAAACATCAAAACAACCGTTTCGTGCGGCAGGATGTTTTCTTGATGCGCAACCGGCCAGCGTCACACCAGAGCAACGGTTCACCTGTTCTTGAGCAATGCGTACGTGATGCTTGCAGAGATGGCGAGTGGTACCTGACTGAGCGACCAGAGTGTGAGGCTCATGGATTTTTTTGTTGTGCTGCACGAAGGGTCAACCTTCTCCCCAGCCACCCAAAAATAGAGCCCGTGTTCTGGTCCCGATTTAGCATCGTAAACATCAACAATGGCAAACATCCACGTTCAGAATGATGAGATTGGCACAGCAGGATACGCTATGGAGAGAGCAAGAGAATAGCTGTCCACGAGTCGGCGAGGCTGAGAAGGTCTGGAGACAGTCGTCTTTCGGTGTTGCGTGAGGCCCCTGGTGTCGTGAAAGTGGCGATGGTCTTCTGCGGGCGTTTCGAGTGGTCGTGCACAGACAAGCCTTTCCCGCCCGCCGCTGCCTCCTAAGTGTCCGAGGTGTGAAGCCTCTCTTCGTGCTTTCTGCATAGCGACTTTTGTTGCCTCACCTGTCTTCTGCTCTTCCATTGTGCTTTTGTCGTCGTCTTCGTAGTCTTTCGTGCCTTTTACTCTTCCCTCGACATTCGCTTGCACGACACCGACAGAAACTCGATCGGTGCCGAGATTCATCTCTCCATCATCCTCCACGACCGAGGATTACTGTTTTCCTGCTTACCCACGACACAACTCCTCATTGCCACAATCTCAGCACTCGTGACAACAACACATCCAACACAGAGGCCAAGCCTCAATCCGCAGCTCCAACATGGCGGGACCCGGCAGTCGCATGTCGGTCTACTCGAACCATTCGAACGTCCCTCGACCAGCCCAACCATCCGCACAGCTCTCGACCACAACCCTGCTCAACGCGCTACACTCTGTCTGGACCACCAGCCAGCCATATGCACTAGAATCAAGCACTAGTCTTGTCGTCAACACATGGGTTACTAGCATGATTGTCGGGCCTGATGGAAGGCAAGGGGGTACAGTCGACTCTGAACTGGGCCGACGTGCATGGGAGCACGCCAGAAGAAGAGCCGAGGATGGATGTGTTGTCTTGGGCTCTCTCCATGAGTCCACACCTTCGCTCCTCGTCCCCTTTCTTTCTTCGCTGCCCATTGCGGTACCTGCAACTCTGTACACTGCACTCAACGCCGTCCGCCCCTTCCTCTATTCAGTCACACCACGCAACCCGTCGACAGCACAGCATAACGGTCTAGCGGCTGTGCTCAACCTCAATCTCGAAGGCGAGCTATCAGGCGCCTCGCTCAGCCTTTNNTCTTCTTCCGGAATTAATGTTGCCAGAGGGTTGACCGACGTGCCTGCCGAGATTGGCCACCGCGCCTTCGATGTATTCTACTACTTGCTCGCAAGTGCCTCGCCGGCCGAGAAGGAATTCCTGAACCTGCAAGAACCCAAGGCTTATGCCCTTCTGAAAAAGACCGACACCTACGCTCCTCCATTATATCTCCCCACGGCCGACGATGCTGCTGCTGCCGATGACTTCCGTGCCTCACTCAAGGAGATCGGCATCAAGGGAGCTGCTCTCAGAAACATGCTTTCTGTTGTTGCTGCCATCCTCAAGCTCGGAGAGACTATGGGTTTTCTGGTTGACGAGGATGTACTGGAAAATGTTTGCGAAGAGGTGGCTGATTTGCTTGATCTGGACACCGACGTGTTGACCAAGAAGTGCGACTCCATGGAACGTCAGACTTTGATGTCCGCCATCTACGAGGCATTGGTCGACTGGGTCATCGCTCGTGCCAATGAAGCCATTCGCATGGAGCTCCGCAATGGTGGCCTTGTAAACTCTTCCAGTGGTAGCGATACAGAAAACTCTGGAGGTATCTTGACCCCACCGCCAGGCGAGGATGGTGCAGACACCGTCAACCTGACCATTCTCGACTTGCCCAGTGCCACTCTGGGCAAGGCAATGGCCCTGCGTACTGTCTTTGATGATACGACGGGCATAAACCTCGAGATGAAAGAAGACGGAGTGCCATCTTACCACGTCGGTTCTTCGATTATTCGAGAGATGACTGATGCTGTCAACGATAACGCAGCAGAGCTCGAGCTTCCGAACTCTGTGGCTACTCGTGAGCGTGAGGAGGTGCTCGATCGCCGTGAAACACTCCTCGAGAAAGTGGGTGTTGAGACCGAAGCGGACAGCTTCTTGAGACGTCTTCTATACCCAGTCGAAGGCGAGGGCATTCAGCTTGGCAAAGCCGGCCGTTTCAACCTCATGAATCTTTTAGGAAGCAGTCGTGTCTGGTTCCAGCTCGCTCTTCATCCTACGGATGAATCCCCGGCAACCTTGGCAAACCACTCGCCTCACAGTTTCCCATGGTCTGCAGGTTCTGTGTCCAGCCAAATTCGTTCGTGGAGACTTCCTGAGTGGGCCAACCATCGCAACAAGAAGCTCGACTACACTGCTGATTTTGACATCAACGAGTTCCAGGAGCGCTATGCACGCCTTGGCTGTCAGCTGGGTCGTGATGGTGTCGAGAGTTGGATTATGGAGCGTGGCTGGAGCAATGGAGAAGTCGTTATAGGTCACGAGAGAATCTGGATCCGCGAGGCTCCTTGGTGGGAAGCCGAGAGTATGCTTGATCTCAAGCCTATGGATCCATCAATGGATGCCGCTGGACCTTTCGGTGGTCAATACCAGGTGTCTACTCCCATGGTTGAGGACGGTTTCTACCAACAACCTTATCACGACAATCCTAGCAACCCTTTCCTCAGCCGTAACCAGAGTTTCGCCAGCAGAAGTCAACTCGGAGCCAAGTCTATCGCACCTTCAAAAGCGCCGACTATGCAAGGTCGTCCCGGAGACTATGGTCTTGGTACCAAGGGCGACGACAAGTATGGCGATGTTACCTACTATGGAGAGGTTGAAGATGGTGACGCCAAGGTCATCACTGAGGTGCCCATCACCTTTAGTCGCAAAGCTTGGATCTGGGCCGTATGGGCCTTGACTTTCTACATCCCCTCGCCTGCTCTTCGATACATTGGTCGCATGAAAAGACCCGATGTTCGTCAAGCATGGAGAGAAAAGTTCGCTCTCATGATTATTATTTTTATCATTAACGCTACCGTCGTCTTCTACATCGTCGCATTTGGCCGTTTACTCTGCCCCAACATGGATAAAGCTTGGAACATCAAGGAAGTCGGCTACCACGCAGCATCGAACGACTACTATGTCAGCTTCCGTGGACACGTATACGATCTCACCAAGTTCCACAAGACCCAGCACAGTGACGGTGTCACACTAACCACCACTGCCAACATGGAGCCTTTTGGTGGTACCGACGTTAGCGAATACATCGTTCCTCCGCTCAGTGTTGCTTGTTATGGTCTCGTGGGAGCCGACTCTACCCTCACATTGCAATCGAACACAACATTGGAATATCCTCAGGCCACCCATAGCTCAGGTCCTACAGCTGCCCCAGATAAGAACTCGGCGCTCAACAACATCAACTGGTACGGCGATACATTCCTGCCCAAGATGAAAGAATTCTACAAGGGTGACTTGGTGGTCAAGAAGAATAAGGTCAAGAGCGATGGACAGGACAACAACCATTATTGGTTCACTCTCGGTCAAAGAATCTACGACATGACTGATTATTTCCACACTCTGGATCTGATGAACAACCTTGCCACCTACAAGTTCTTCCCGGATGAATTCTCGGCAATAGTTCAGAGTAACCCTGGTCTCGACATCAAGCAAGAGTTCGACAAGAAGATTAGCAATGCGACTGAGTACTCCGCTATCACCCAATGCTTGGACAACATGTTTTACAGTGGCAAGCTCGATTTCAGAGATTCCGCTCGCTGCCAGGTGAACAATTACATCCTGCTGTCATTCACCATCATTCTCTGTGCTGTCATCGTGGTCAAGTTCCTGGCTGCTCTACAATTCGGTTCCAAGCCTCGTCCCGCTCCGCAAGACAAATTCGTCATCTGCCAAGTTCCTGCCTATACTGAAGGTGAGGACCATCTTAGGAAAGGTCTTGACTCACTCACATCCTTGGCATACGACAACAAGAGAAAACTGATCTGTGTCATTTGCGACGGCATGATTGTTGGAGGTGGTAACGACCGCCCAACGCCCAAGATTGTTCTGGATATCCTTGGAGTCGATCCCAAGATTGATCCTCCTGCTCTTCCATTCAAGTCTATCGGTGCTGGTGCCGAACAGTTGAATTACGGAAAGGTCTACTCTGGTCTGTACGAGTTTGAGGGCAACGTAGTTCCATACATTGTCGTCGTCAAGTGTGGTAAAGAGTCTGAACAGGTCAAGGCCAAGCCTGGTAACCGTGGTAAGCGTGATTCGCAGATTCTGCTCATGAGCTTCCTCAACAGAGTCCACCACCGTTCTCCCATGTCACCACTTGAATTGGAGATGTTCCATCAGATCAACAATGTCATCGGCGTGGACCCTGAACTTTACGAATACCTTCTCATGGTCGATGCCGATACTCTGGTCAAGGAAGATGCTCTTACCCGTCTCGTTGCTGCTTGTACAAACGACTCCAAGATTGCCGGTATTTGTGGTGAAACAAGTCTCGAAAACGAGGAACAGTCTTGGACTACCATGATCCAGGTCTACGAGTACTACATTTCCCATCACTTGTCGAAGGCTTTCGAGAGTTTGTTCGGTAGTGTCACCTGTCTTCCCGGATGTTTCACCATGTACCGTCTCCGAACAGCAGACAAAGGCAAACCTCTTATCATCGCTGACGCCGTCATCGAAGAGTACAGTGATTGCAATGTCGACACCCTGCACAAGAAGAACTTGTTGTCACTTGGTGAAGATCGTTGGTTGACCACCCTGATGACCAAGAACTTCCCTCAAATGTCCTTCAAATTTATTCCTGACGCATATGCCCAAACCGCTGCGCCCGAGACATGGAGCATTCTTCTCTCTCAGAGACGTCGTTGGATCAATTCGACTATTCACAACTTGGCTGAACTCATGCTCATCAAGGACATGTGTGGCTTCTGTTGTTTCTCCATGCGCTTCGTCGTGTTCATCGATCTGTTTGGTACTGTCATCCTTCCGGCTACTGTCGTCTACCTAGTCTACCTCATTATCACCGCATCGACAGGTGGTCAATTCCCTCTTATCTCGATCATCATGTTGGCTGGTGTATACGGTCTGCAAGCCGTCATCTTCATCGCCAAGAGACAGTGGCAGCACATTGGTTGGATGATCTGCTACTTGGCTGCTTATCCTCTTTACTCGTTTGTCTTGCCTGTCTATTCCTTCTGGAAGCAGGACGACTTCTCGTGGGGTAACACTCGTGTCGTTATTGGAGAGACAGGTGCTAAGCAAGTCATTGCTGTGGACGCCGAAGAATTCGACCCTCGCAGCATTCCCCTGCAGCGCTGGGACGACTATGCTTACGCAAACCAACTTCCTGGCCGTCGTGGTATGGTTGCTCAGGAGAAGGAGATGGGCTTTTCGCCTTTCCAGGACAATGGAGGATACGAAATGGATGAGATTCGCTCAGTCTACTCTTCTGTTCACCCGGCCTCCACCATCCTCACTGGTCTTCCCAACAACAATATGCCCTACCGCCCTCCTACTCAATCGCCTGGCCCATACAACGCATACAACCGTATGTCTAGCTACTCGCGCTTCACTGACGCCATGCCCGGCGCTAACGAGAACTCACGTCTCATGTCTATGGGCAACATGAGCGACACCTCACCGGGCCTTCCACGCAACCACAGCGGCCAATACCTATCGCAACCCGACTTGCTCTCCCCCAAGCTCTCACCTCCACCCTCGGCAGGCTTCCCTCCTCGTTCCCGCAGCCCGCTGTCTCAGACCGCATCCCGACCCGCCAGCACATTCGGCCTTCCCGGATTCCAGACTCAGGGCGTCACCGATAGCCAGATTGTCGATGCAGTCAGAGATTGCTTGAGAGAGGTTGACTTGGACACAGTTACCAAGAAGCAGTTGAAGGTTCTCACGGAGCAGCGACTACAGGTCCAACTGGATCCTCAAAAGAGAGCCTTCTTGGACCAACAGATTGATTTCGAGTTGGCAAATATGTAGAAAGAGAAAGAAAAGAGCGAAGGTGCATATTTGGGAGTTTTTTTGCTTTTCTGGGATCATAACTTGGAGTCTTTGTTTTCAAAATTATATCATGTTGTCGGTCATTTGAGAATGGTTTCTCGCTCTAATGAAGAATTTGTCTATAGGGGTATGCAAACCCAACCCTGCATGATCAATTTGACAAGGCATTGAAACAGCTACAGTTTCCACATCCTGCTCTGCACGAGATTTTGCTTGTCTAAAGTCCTCCATCCTTTTTCTCCTTCCTCTAAACCGTTCTTTCTACCTTCTGGTATGTCCCTCCAAGAGAAGAGTTTTGTATACTCTGTCTTCTTGCCTTCGACAACATCAACCACATGTTTACCCAACACGGGAAGAAACTTGAAACCATGTCCACTGCCTCCACTCGCGACCATCAATCCAACTTGACCAGGAACACGCGCAATCAANAAGGAGTTATCAACACTATCGTTATACCAACACAATCTTCCCCGTTCCAGTTCCAAGTCCAACAGATCAGGCATGTTTTCTGCGCAAAAGGCTTTTACGACGTTAAATGCGCGTTCGGGAATTTCTTGGACGTCGGTTATTGGATAAGAGATTTTGTGGTCAGAGGAAGAAGAGGAAGAGTGGGTGTAATTTGTCCATTTTGCGCCACGGAAACCGAATTTCAGGATTCCTTGGGGNGTGCGAGGGAAACCGTAGAGACCGCCTATGGTGGAAGGGGAAGAGGGATCATAGCCACCCATGTTCCAACTCCAGACTGGGAAATTGGTAGGTGAGTATTTGTGCCAGAGGTCTGGACGGGAGTGCGGGATGTTTATTGTGAGGATTGTGCCTGCTGTTGTTTCGAGGAGGGGTTGGGTTGTTGGGAGGAGGGAGGGTGTCCAACCGCCTGTTGCTAGGATTACTAGGGTTGCTTTGTGGGAAGTGTTGTCTGTGGTTTTGATGCCGGTGATGCGATTGTTAGAGTTTAGGAGAGATTGGAATGTGCCTGTGGAAGAGCCGAGATGAAGGTTTACACCTGCTTTTTTGCAGAGGTGGAGGGCGTAGGTGCAGGCTTTTGAGGCTAGAGTGTACCCGGCTGTCATGTCGAGTATACCATCTGTTGGCAGTCCACGACTTGCACGATCAAAGGGATCGAGTTTTGACTTTGGTATACCAGCTTTGATGGCTTCTTTGACTCTTTGCTCATCTGTGACTCGATATTGAGTGTGTTTGATATCCTCAGGAAAGCTGTTTTGCGTATCGATTTCATGCTGACTAAACCCTTCTTCAATTCGCAGAAAGCCACAACGATCCCATAGCTTTTGGGTGTCTTTGAGGGCATCAGATAGATCTGGATCAGAAACCATGTCTTTGTTCCATTGCTCCCATTCTTGCATTGCTGCGAAGGCCATGCGTTGGTAGAGTTCTTGGCCACCATAGGAAGCGCGAAGGATCTTGTTTTCATCTGCAGAAGCGCCATCGCTTCCTTTTGCAAAGGAATAATTTGTGGATAGAAAGTCTTGCTTGTCGAAGAGGTGGATGTTCGTGTAGCCGGCACGGCAAAGGTGGAGTGCACTCGTTAGGCCGAAGACGCCGGCGCCGACGATGATGATGGGAGCGGTCTTGTTTGGAGCAGACATGTTGTTTTACTAGATGTCTATAAGCTTGTTCGGGATGGTGTGGATACTGTCAAGAGATAGTGAAGAGGTATACTTGGCCGATCAGATAGGTGTGGTGTTTGCCGATAAGCACGCGTGACGTGCCGCGCTTCGGAAGACATCTGTATAGGTACTGACAAACGATCTCTACAACAACCTGTCTGCATATACTGCAATCGATAGGTTCAAGCTTCCTCACGCAAAGATATGGAGCGAATGGTAGACTCAATTGAAGAGCAGTTGTACGAGAGACCAGTGATGTAGCCTGGGAGAGCTGAGAATCCTGTTTCTCGAGAGTGCTGTGTGATCACATTTATAACGTGACAATCCTCACACAGAGGAAGTTATCAGGCAGTTGCTAGGCGAGAGCCGTGCGAATGGTGCAATTGACCGGAAGACCGGATCACCACTTGCTTGCGTAAGTCGATGTGCCTCTCTGCATGTCTCCAGCATTTGACGTTTTATTCAAAGACTTATAAGAACATTATAAAAGCTGAAGTCTGTTGTTGAAGCCACTTGCTTACTTCCCTTGCTCGAAGATGTCCTTGAGAGAGGTAGCCACCTCTTCATGCGAGGCTCTGCTCAGAAGGTTGTTGTCGATTCACGTAAAAAGCCAAAGGTCTACCAAGACTCGAGGGTGACGCGTCTGAGGATGAAATACATGACGCCAAGCCTCGAAACCATGCACCTTCCAAGTTTTGTTCACGTTGCGTGAGCAACTGCCGGTTGGCAACCTTTTGGAAGGAGCGTCTAGCGTATCAAAGTGTCTGATCAGCTCTGTTGACATCCATCAACATCCCGATGACAACGACATCAATGTGAAGCTTGAAGCCTTCCACCGTTCTCATTCTACGTCAAAGGGTCCGACTAGTGAGGGGCATCGCGAAAGCAGGAAAATAGCTGACAAGGTCCTCCTTCGACGCCGTCAATGGCTCGGATAGCCTGTTCTTCTTGGTTCCTCTTCTTCCCTTGAGCAAGACTCGGGAATCGTTTTGTGCCATTTCTTTGCATATATACCCGTCGTTAGTTCTACACCTCAAGGGCTGGACCCCTCGCACCTTGACGGTCGCGCTTTGGCGATTCGATGACGGTACATGATGATGACCTTGAACGGCGCCGATACAAGGCGCCGTACAGCACACACCGACCTATACCAACTATACAAAAGTATCAACAAGAGAAGGAAAAGCGTCAAGCAAATGCTGCTGGTGGAGCCCCACCACCCAAAGGACAAGAAGATGAGCAGGAAGATCGAGACAGCGCAAATCGCTACCTATACTCGAGAGAGCATAGCAATGCCGGATCCGACAACTCAGATCTCGACAACCCAGCGCACGAGAAGAAGGACCACACCCAGCACCTCAAAAAGAAGCTGGTCGGTGGTGGTGCACACGACTCTGCCGACTTGATGAACGACACGTCCGAAGCTCCTGTTCAAGATCAAGACCCCAAGACACGACGCAAAGCTATAGGCAAGAGCAAACGCAAAGGCGAGCGTGCCTATCGAGAGGTTACTGACCCCGTTACCCACCTTCCTGTGCGCATTCACGACTTGCAGCCTGGAGACTTGAAAAGAGTTCCCGAGAATCTAGGGCCACCGGGCTCCGAGTCTAGGTCGGCCACTGGTCTAGCCAACAAGAGGAAGAGTCAGGACATGCTGGCAGATGAGACGCAAGAGATTGGAAGACACCATGCCGCCCTCGAGAATCTTTTCCCACCGCCGGAGTTCGATGACATCAGGAGTCGCATGAACAAGATTCAAAGGCTGGGAATCACGATTGGTGTGGTAGCTGTCTTTTCTGCTATTGGTCTCTACAAAACTTTCGCTACCTTTCTCTTTGGCCGCAACGACGCACCCGCTGGTGTGTCATGGGGTTTCCTTTGGCCATATATTTCGAACGGCTTTGCCACCATCATGCTAGTTGCCTTTGCCGTTGCTGTCATATACTGGATACAACTCTGGACCGATAGGCAAGTTCACAGGTTATGGGAGGAGGAAATCTGGCACGCCGACAAGCATTCTGCGAAAAGTCAAGATGGCAAGGAGGAAACAACTCAGTGGCTCAACAACATGCTCACATCGCTGTGGCCACTCGTAAACCCGGACTTGTTCATCTCTCTGGCTGATACACTCGAGGATGTCATGCAGGCTTCGCTCCCTTCGGTTGTCCGCATGGTCAGTATCGAGGATCTTGGTCAGGGTAGTGAGTCGATGCGTATCTTGGGTGTCAGATGGCTTCCCACAGGCGCTGCAGCACGTTCAGTTGGCGCTGATGGCAAGCTCGCCCCTGAAGCTTCAGAGGGACACAATGACCGCGATGTACCTGGCCAGTGGCAGGTCGATGGAAATGCATCACCCGACCAGGCCCAGGATCTGGACGACGCCCAGGGCCCCAAAAAGAAGAACAGCCAGGAAGAGGCAGACGACAAGCAAATCGCCGAAGGCATGGAGGCCGAGGAGGGTGACTTTATCAACCTTGAAGTCGCTTTTGCTTACAGAACTCGCTCTACCTCGAAGAAGTTCAAGGACAGGGCGAAGCATGCTCACCTGTATATCTCGTTCTACCTTCCTGGTAACATCAAGATTCCGGTATATGTCGATCTGAGAGGCTTTGTTGGCATTATGCGCTGCAGACTACAGCTCACCCCGGATCCACCTTTCTTTTCTCTATGCACCTTTACTCTTCTTGGACAGCCCAACGTCGATGTTGCTTGCACCCCGTTGACAAGAAAGGGCCTGAACATCATGAATCTGCCAGTCATATCACATTTCGTTCAGACCGCTGTTGACGCAGCCATGGCCGAGTATGTCGCACCCAAAAGCATGACCATCAATCTCCAAGACATGATCGCTGGTGAAGACTTCAAGAAGGACACAACGGCAAAAGGTGTCATCATCGCCAAGATTAAGCGTGCCTTTGATTTCAAGGAAGGAGACCCTGCTGTTCCACTGATCAGAGAAGGCTCGGCCGATCCATATGTGACTGTAGGCTGGGCCAAGTTTGTCAAGCCGCTATGGTCAACTCGTGTCATCCTGTCCGAGATGAATCCTCATTGGGAAGAGACTGCGTTCATTCTGGTTACTGCTGATGAGTTGAACGTAGACGAAAGACTTCGTGTGCAGCTCTGGGACTCTGATCGCTTCACTGCAGACGATGATCTTGGTCGTATAGAGATGGATTTGAAGCAACTTATCCATAACAAAGAAACAAGAGGCAGAATGTCTGATCGTGTCGATGGATTCAGGGCTCTACACGCTGGCGAGGGTCTCCCGGGCAAACTCGAATGGAGTGTTGGCTACTTCCCGAAGTCTCACATCATTGACGAGCAACTGAAACGTCAGACCGAGGAGCCGGAAATTCGCTCCAGAGATGCCTTGGAGAAGATGGTCGAAGATTCTGCAAACCGCAAGCTACGCGAAGCCAAGAAGGATGAAAGCAGAGAAACGGAGCAACTCAAACTGCAGCAATACAAGGAAGTGGAAGACTCGATGATCATCTCCGCACCACCACTTCACGACTACCCCAGCGGTATACTAGCCATTCAGATCCACGAGGCTACTGGACTGGAAGTACGTGCTCACCACAATGCCGCTCGTCATAACGATGAGCCGGAGCCAAGTGGTTATGAAGAGCAGGGCGATGAACTTCCATCTTGTTACTGCAACATCATCCTCAACCATCAAAAGATCTATCGCACACGTGTCAAGCCCAAGAACGCGAAGCCTTTCTTCAACGCAGGCACTGAGCGCTTCGTTCGTGATTGGAGGACTGCCGAGGTCTATATTTCTGTACGAGATGCTCGTGTGCACGAGGATGATCCTGTCATGGGCATTGTGCGTCTACCATTGGTTGACATCTTGAAGAAACGCTCTCAGGTCAATGGCAGCTATCCTCTGTATGGTGGTGTAGGCTACGGTCGCATTCGAGTCAGCATGGTGTTCCGCTCTATAGAGAGCCAACTGCCCAAGGAACTGCTAGGTTGGGACTGGGGCACCCTTATCGTCGATCCGCGTATCACCTCCGGCCCAAACTTCCCCTCTGACCTTCAAGGCTGTCGTATCAAGATACAAACTGCTATCACTGTCGGCCACATGAAAGCTCAAAAAGACGATCACGCATGGGCAAGCCGACACAACAATGGAATTCATCTTGGTGTCCGCCGCCGCTATGCCAGCTGCCTGATAATCCAGTTCCGTAAAGACACTTCTCTACGCGATAAAACTGCCGCTTTCGCTGTTCTCTGGCTCTGTGAGATTCCGGACAACGAAGATGTATCTCTCACCCTGCCGGTCTGGAAAGGGGATCTCAAGCGCGCCACAACCTGCAAACTCGACTCGTATGGCGATAGGGTGGGTGAGATAAACCTCAAGCTCAAGTTCTGCAGAGGATTGAGCAGGTACCACAAGCGCCTTGCCAAACACGACAAACATCTTAGTGATGTCTTCGAAATCGTCGAGACGGCGAGATTCCAGATGGCAAACAACGAACAAGACGACACCTCCGCCGTCAAGAACAAAGACTCCCGAGACGACAAGAAACTCACAGATTCCACAGGCGCCAACAATGGCAGTCGTCCTCACGCCGAAGGCGATAGCAGTAACGAGGAATCCGCCGACTCTTCTTCCTCCGACTCCGAATCTGGTTCAGACACCCAAGGCGAGAACATGGGTTCTCGCATCAAGAGANAACTGTCTCATACCCGACACCGCAGTATTTCCAAATTGACCACCGGTACCGATGACGACAAGGCCGACCGCTCATCCACTGGTAATAGAAACGTGCTCGACTCGTATCACGAATATAGGGAACACAGCAAACAGATCAACAGACGCCATCGAGGCGTCATGCAGTTCAAGAGCGCGAGAACAATGTGGTGGATGAAGCACAAAGCCGAACATCTCCAAGACCGCATTAGTGGGATATTCGAGCATCATGAGCGGGCTACGGGGATTGAGAGTGAGGCGTAGGAAACTGGCATGG